GTGTTACAGAGAGAGGAGCGACAGAGTACGCATTCCGAATCCCAGTAGCAGCTGACGAGATTACGAGGTTCAATTTGAAAAGCCTGTCAATGTTTAGTTCAACTTGAACAGATACGATGCCCTGGTACCATCATTTCTTCTTTTTTTTTTCATAAAAGAACCACGAAGTTCGATCAAATTACTCATAATTCCCTACGTCGGATAAGTGTATCTAGGGAATTATAGGTCATGTCAAACGTACTGTACAACCAAACTATTATGTGTTACTAGAGGCGTGCGCGTGACCTCAGACGTTGCGGAACAAAAACCCAAACACGCTGAAATAGAACATTTTAAGCACAACCTACCAGGTGAACGTCTAATGTTTCAGAAACGCGAGACGGAGGGTACGCATAGCAAAGCGACAAAACACACGGATGGGTTCGAGACCGAGTATAGTTTCCCAGTGGTCGTCTCCTGAGGTTCTTAGCAATCGTGATGCCACTTCACGCGACCGTCTTGGCGCAATTAATGCTTCGATGCTCCGTTCCCACGCTTTCCTTTATATACGGTGTTTCCGATTACAACTCCCCAAAGTAAAGCGAACAAAAATCTGGGCCAGGGTAATTCCACAACAACAAATAACTCCGTTAGGCAACTTTCTTTTTCCTTTTTTTTTTATCGTGGGAGTTGAAGCTAGCTGCCGCGAAACCAAATCCGTCAGAACGAATGCGAACCGCTTGCGAGGAGGCGATTGGCGACGCTCAGACAGTCGCCGCCACGCAGAACTCCCATGGAGACATGGGCTGGCATTCTCGGTGCACTGTAAGCGCCTACAAAAAAAAAAAAAATGGCAAACTGTCTTTTTTTTGTGTGTGTGTGTGCAACGAGAGGCTAGTGTTTTCCCACAATCGTCTACCCACGTCCCGTACTCGACCCGTAGAAAGCCAGTTCATCTTCGTTTTCTGTAACCTCTGTGCTGGCTCATACGGGAGAGTGATAAGAACTCAAGGATGCCTCTTACTGGCACTATACGTTCATATTGAAACTCTATGACATAAAAAAATAATGCGTAGCAAATGGCTGGGCAATTGTGTTGCACGAAAAACGTGTGGCGTCTATACGCTCTCGGCGCTGTTCATCGGTTAGTTTAGCGACTGGCTTGACGCGTGGCATATGTACACTCGATGGCAATTCCTGGAATGGAGATACCGGCGTTAAGTTGGGTTTTAAAAAATTAAAGCCGTTTACAATTCCTTGTAACGCCGGTTAGAGCGCAGCTCTTGAGGAGGAGGATGGAAGCGTACTGAGGGATAGGTGATTCCTTGAGGTCACGTGACATCAGGGGGAGGTCGTGTGACGTCAGGGGGGTCACGTGACTTCAGGGGGTCACGTGACCTCGTGGGGGGAGGGTCACGTGACCTCGCGGTTACGCCGACGGCGACGCCGCTCAAGTCGGAAACGGGCCCCCAAGAGCTGCGCTCTAAAACGTGACAGGGTATCAGTTGCTATCTGCCGGATGCAGAGCGGATTCCCCACAAGGCTATCCCGCCAAATAGCACCTCAACTCACGGTGATATGTCGTGACATGCTGGACAGCCAATCGGTTAATAATTTAAATGTTCTGGGTTTGATTCCTTCCTGGCGCAAACGCTTTTCTACTGCGACGGCCTTTTCCTCCTCCCCCCACCCCCGACCCTTCTCCCCCACTCAAAACCAATCAGTGCCGAGACTCACAGCCACGCTTTTATCCAGGTTTCACTTTTGGGCGACGCGAAATGCCGAATACCCAGCCAAAGGACCGTTTCACGCTAAAAATTACAACCTAGCTGGTACGCTCGATGGCAGTATGACAGGCGATTGGGGCAGATAAAATGGTTACCGTCCTTTGATGTTCTTACAGAGATACAAAGTCATCTATTATGACACTACGCGACACAGTACAAACAGGACATCCGTGCGTTTTCACGCTTTACTGGCATAATTTACCATTGAACAAGCAAATTTCCCCGACTTAGTTTCTGCTCCGTATGAGAACATTCCGCTACGCCAGTGGATCTTATTCATTTCTTTCAGCACTTAAATAAAGAAAATAGAAAGGAAATCGATTGTTCGCGTTAGCTGCGTCCGCCTTTGTTGATAGCATCAGCCATCATGCTTTAAATTTTAAGCGCGAGAGAGGATTCCGGGGGTCGATGTAAATGTGGAGTATGCTTTCCAAATGTCTTATATATGCGTAGACATGAGGTGCAGTTGAGTATCAGGCGTTTCAACTCAAGGCAAATCGTATGGTAAGCAACACCTGGTGGATGATGGCTCATCATGAAATCAATTCCCGGTAAAATGAAGAGATGGTGCGCATTGGTGGACGCAAGACGAGGGACTAGAAGAGAGTGATCAGATGAAAGAGAGGGAAGGAAAAGGAAGAGGCTGGAAAATGGAGTGTAGGGGAATGTAGAGAAAAAGAAGACAAAAAAGAGGACATGGGTAGTGAATTTACATATATATATATATATATATATATAATGTTATCTCGTTTGTTATTTTTTTGTTGTTTTTTTACGCGTTCTGGAAGAATTTGCCTCCTCTATCTTTTTTCCACAGCGTTGTTCTTGTTTTTCTGCCTGAGATATGGTCAACGTATAATTACAGAAAATGCTGATAAATATATTATATCGGCAGTGTTGAGTTTCCATATAAATGAAACTCAACGAATTAAAGGTGTCATTGGCGCTGAAAATCAAAGCTAAATGTGGTAAACCCATCAACAGCGCTGAAATTAATATTCGCTGCCCCGCGTACATATCGCCAAGATCGGCGGCGACGTGACTTCATGAAGTCACGAGGTTGCGTAAAGTCAGGCACGTGACGTCGCCATCCCTCACATCCTGACACAGAGGCACCAAATGTGCTTTAGCGGGGACAGAGTAGAATAAAAAAAAAATATATTGCAGTGCGCAAAAAAGCTTTCACATCGATGGTCTTCAAGTTCCAATCTCTCCACTACCTTCATTTATTATCATCTCTCTCTCTCTCTTTCTGGTAGTTCGCAAAGACACGTACCTAATTGTGAAGTAATGTATGAAATAACGTGGCGACATGATGTCATGTGTCGGTCATGCGGAACATGCCGCTTTCAACGTGAAATCAAGCCCTAAAACAGAATTTGAGTTTTAAAAAAAAGGCTGTCTAATTGGCCAACTCCTTATTCTATTCAGATTCAAACCTTCCGCCTTCGGCGAGCCTTTTGTTCGACGCACAATGGCCGGGCACTTGAGAAAGCTGCGCTCTTGAAGAGCTCGCCGCGTGCCACCGTGCGAAGCGAGGGAACGCCCGACCACGGACTCAGAAACGATTCCTGGCGGGACTCCAGACGACAACTCGGGGCGAAGGACGCTTATGTTTTCATCTTGTGTTCGCTGAATTTTTCGCACTCTGTACTCTGGGCCGGGGTTATCATATAAAGAAAAAAAAAAAAACGCAGTCACCAGTCAGAACGTCCCGCCAGCGCACGACGAGCCAGACAGGCGGGCACTCGTGTCACGACGGAGCGACGACTCGCGCACGTCTCCTTTCGGCGACGTGAGGGGCGTCCCCTATGCAGGTCCCGAAATACTGCCTTGTCGGCTCCCTCACCTTCCGGGACGCAAGAACGCTAAAACGATAGACAGGGAGGGACCCAGCAAGCAGGATCAGACAAGAGCTAACACTAACTGAACATCAGGTTACCAGATGACCACGCTCATAATGTTATTATTCCCATGTGCTTTTGTTGTGCACCACCGCGCTATATATTCTTACGTTATACTGTGTTCTGTCATGAGAGACGAAGCGCTTTTAAAATGACGGGAACTGAGAGCAGTGAAATCAGCTATTGATCATCAAAATGCAGGTTGAATTAGATGGAAAACTTGGGTGCTTTTGTCGACTGGGAGGTCCGGCTTATACAGAAACAACTCAACGGTGTAAGCAACTAAAATTACGTGAAGCTTGATTTTTCTGTTTCGTTCAAGTAGGCAGAAGGTCTGGTGTAGACGTCTGCGCCGTGAATCCTGGCTGGCTAGCTACTTCACAGCAAGGAGAATAAATATGCATTGAGATGTTTATAGGGAGTCACTCAGTCTTTACTAGATCGATCGTTCATGTGCACCTATGTATGCCTACAAACATATGCACATTATAAACACACTCATAACACCCAATGCACATAACGACATACTAAGTACTTGAACACAGAAATTTACGTTCATGCGTACAGTACTGTTCTCATCTCAAACCGTTGTTGCAAGAGCTGCACGAAACAGCAATAAAAACTAAATGTCGAAAATAATACCGGAACAGATTTCAAGGACGATATTCAGTGAGCGTATTGTACTGAATGCGAGTGAAAGTACACCTGCGCAATGTATTTCTAACGTGCACTTCATACCATAAAACTCTATGCAGACGATACAAGGAAGTTCCCTTTGCGCATTTGTAGTGAACGACCTCAAATATGGTGTCCAGTAAGTAGTGTATACATGGGTTGCGCATGAGGAACTTGCGAGCACCCCATTGGAGTCAGAAGCGTCTCGATAATGCAGCGCAAGATACGCTGTCACGTACCACGGAATGTCCTATGACTGCAGAAATACTACGTGAAAGATGCGCCTTTCACGTGCCCTAAACCGCAAATATGTCTTCCCTAGCTTTACCGTCTGAAACGTCCATCGCATAGCCCGTCGAAAGGTGGCTCGCTGGCTGACTCGCCTGAACCGTCACCGAACCAACAAGAGGCGGACAGTGGTTTCCCCCACGGTTGGAAAACCATGTCGTGCTCATCTCGTATATGATATCATTCCCTAATCACTAACACTAAACGCGGCACCGCGGGCTCCCATTGTACGGGCTGTTGCCTTTCTGCGGTGCCGCCGCTCTCCTGGGCCAATAAAAATTATCATTATGATTATTATTATTACGTGGATGCAATAACCTTATATTTAAATCGTCTTTCGTCCACCTCGTGATCTCCCAATGCCCAGACTGGAAATATTCGAGACGATGACGGAATCCGGCCTGCGGTCCGAGCTCTTCATCTCGAGCACGGAACGGAGCGACGGCGCCGTGTACACCTGCAGAGCCGACAACGAGTTTGGCCGGGACGAACGCACCAGCAAGCTGCTCGTCGTCGGTAAGCGAGCCAAAGGAGCGCCCTTCTGTCTTCCCACATTGTTTATGAAACGCGTGGAGGGAAAGCCGAGGAGAAGCGCCGCCGACCTGGGATCAATGTCAGCGACACGTCATGTCTACTGTCTCATTCTCTTTTTCTCTCTTGAACGTCTTCAGAGGTGCCGGGACAGCCTCAAGACGTCAAGGTGTCAGAGACCTGGACGCGATCGGCGAGTGTCACGTGGTCACCTCCGTACAGCGGAAACAGTCCCGTGGCGAAATACGTCATCCAATTCTGGAAGGACTCCGGTGAGTCGGATCGGTTTTCCTCCTCTCACTTCGTATCTCATCTTTATTCAGCCCTGTTATCAAGGAATGTTAATGGGAGTTTTAGCCGGCTGCTGCCGCACAGACTTACACTTGCAGCGCGCCAAAGCGGTCAACTCAAACACCAAGTGAGAATATAAGAATTACGGTCAGGTGTTTCCTTTCCTAGTCGTATCGATGCCTGTGTCGGGCTTGCGACCTAAATGTGTTAGCTCAACAGTCGCAAACACGCCCTTTGCCATATTGGAAGTTTTCAACCTCAGCCACCTTAAAGAGTTTTGATTGAGGACTAAAACGATTGGTAGCCGGCATATGTAATTTTCAGTCTTCTATAATTAGCGTTTTAAGGTTTAACCCCGTTTTCAGAGCTACAAACTGCACCGTATTTAAGGTATTAAGCGCCACACTTGAATATGCAGATTCTGTTTACCGCCAAGCAGTTGAAGAAGCCAATCGATGAAATCAACGGAGGCAACTCGACGAATGACGAGGCTGAAGATATGTTAAGACTTAAAGCAAAACAAAAAACTTGTATCATTTCCACTTTGGTGAAGAAGGAAGAGTAGCGGAGCTGTAGCTTTTGTTCTCGGCGGTGGCTTCCAGGCGAGCGATCTGCTCTTCTTTCGCAAGGGGATCTGAAGCGCTGAATGCAGTGGAACTTTAGGCGATAGCGGCCTCGCGGCGGTTGCGGAAGCATTCGCGCTGCTGCGCACATCGCCACTCATTCCGTTTCCGCTCTTCTTCCTCCGAAGAAATGTTGCCGCCATTTATGAGCGACGGCAACAACCAGTTGTCTGGTTGCCGAGGCCAGAAACGTAGCCGCGATCTACGAGCGACGGCGGTAAGCAGAAAACCCAGCAAGCACAACACTCTGGACAGCTACCGCCGTCTATGAGCGACGGCGGCAACCAGAGTGTTGTGTCGACCATGGGTATCGACATTTGTCTGGTACCGGACAGGATCCTGGGGAAACTAGCCCTTAACAGCTCCGCTGTAAAGGACAATTTGCGCTGTGAACATGAGGATGGTGAAACGTCAAGCACAGTGTTTGACTGCATGTAAAGGTCTAAACAAATTTCCAGTATTGTCACCCGTCGAGCCCCCTCCGCAGAATACCGTAATTGGCAAGTGCTTTGCGGGAAGGTATTCGTTTTAGACTTCTTAGAGCCCAGATGATTAATATAATTCTGATTGTTATCGCCAAGGGAGTAAGAAAAATAAATAAAGGTTATTACGACGGAAGAGCCTTTGCCGGGAGGAATGCCAAACTCGGGCCCTCGTTTTATTTAATTCTATTCTCCTTCAAGGCGCAGCCCACCGGCTGCAGGAGGTGGCAGTGCCCGGCTCCCAGACGTCCGCCCTGGTAGGGGACCTGCATCCGGGCTCCACCTACCAGCTCAACATCCTGGCCGAAAACTCCGTCGGTGTGGGCCAAGCTTCTACGCCGGTCAAGCTTCACACGGGAGAGGAAGGTACGCTACCTAATACTCACGCCGTATTACACGCTATTCTGGCGTACACTAACTGCCTCCTCAATCGTACGAAGTGTCCAGTAGTAAAACAGAATGCAAAACCAGGCGATCTAGGACGGGGAAGCGTACGATGGGGGCACCGCGTTATTGGTGTTTCTTGTGGTCGTGTCGGCTGGAATAAATGATTTTATTATATTGGGATTTTACTAATCGCATATTGTTTAGTGGACCGACAGGGGTAAAAAGGTCAAAAGCCTGCTTTTCGGTACGAAAATTTTAAAATATAGCCGACTATTTCGTGCCTCCTTTCGGAAGCTCTCCGCCTTTTCACTGTGATACACCCGCGGTACCCAAGGCACGTCAGCCGGCCCCAGCTCACGCACTGGAAACGTGAACTGCGTCACTCGGACGTACGCGCTCGTCAACAATCATTAAGATGACAATTTGGGCCAGTTGGTTCATGATCGAAGATAGGCGCCGAAAAAACGAGGACGAGAAGAGACGTAAACACTGGCGCCAGTGTTTACGTCTCTTCTCGTCCTTGTTTTTTCGGCGCCTATCTTCGATCGTCAACAATCAATCCGTCGACGAATATTTGGATTCACGTTCGTGGCCACTGATCATCACCTGCGAATGACAAGTTCTTTATATGGTATCCCTAAAGAGCACGGCGAAAGCATGGAGCCATCGCCTCCGGTGCCCAAACACGTCACCACCACTTGAATTCTCATTTACATTTTGAGTTGAGGAGGAAGGCTAAGGAGGAAGAAGTTGAAAATCATTTTGTGGTTCCTTTAAGAAACTCAGGGGGTGGGCGAGTCCCGCACTTCTCATTACCGCTTTGCAGCCAATGAAAGCTCGGCATTAGCCGACAAGTACGCCGAAGAGCAAATCAGGAAGCACGGATCGTCAATTAACATAATAAGTCACGCTCTACGTTCTTCAAGACGTCAGGGACTATACGTGTAGAAACCGAGGGGGAGGGGGAAACGTTCGAAGAGCGAGCAGAGACAAAATCAGCTGGCGTTTCGTCTACCCACTAACCATTCCAACCAGAACTCTGTGTTCTGACGTTCCCGCTCGGTCTCGTCTCCACCCTCTCACTCGATTTCTACCCGCGTAACATATGAAGTCGCTACATACACGCCACACAATGTGCACCTTACAGCGACAATCTTCGAAGTGGCTTCGATACCTGGACGAGGTACACCTTCCAAGTCAAGAATAGCGGCGACGTAAAGAGGCATACTGTAAACGCTGAAAGGCGACATGCACTTTTCGCAAAATCTGCCTCATCGTGCGTCTCGTGTTAGTTGCCATTACATGTTAAAGAAGGCGCACATATTGAGATGACTTGGCTGATATATATGATGATCAAAGATCGGATTCTGATGGAAAAGTGTATGCCCTCGCCTTGGAAGCAAGCAGCACGTTCGATTTATTTATTTCGCCGATACCGGTAACACTGCCACCTAAGTTACTGATATTTACAGCATCTAAAAACAATGCAAAACCATATTGGCTTTAGAATTAATTAGTTATATGAGATAACGCACGGAGCTGAAAATACTACAGGAGTTCTCGGTACGGTCCACCAGCCATCTTTGTGCCGTTTGGGCACGCGAGTCCCGGACATAAGGATATGAATCTGCAGAGCAGCGCAGTACCTCCGTACAGACGCTACAATATTCCAATTACATCATTTCTGGCATCCTAGAAGCGCAGTCCGTCGTTAATTGTTCACAATCATTGCTTCGCAATTGCCTTATAGTAGCACTTATTGCACAGGACTCTGTGTCGGGTTCACGTCTATCACATATGAAATGCCAGTGGCTTTGATTTGCAAGCTCCCGCTGCTCTCTCGAACGTAAACATCAGCAAGTCGGGGAAAAGCACGCTTCCCTGTTTACGCTTTCGCCTGTTGTTGCTTTGGTTTCAGAGCCCAGCGCGCCCCCGACGGACTTCCACGTTGAAGCGAGGGGACCGAGCACGGCGCGAGTATCGTGGAAGGTGAGTTCTCTGCATTCCATCGTGGCTGACGGCGTCAAAGTTGGGGCGACTACGGTGGCGTTATGTAGGCTCGCAAAAATATTATTTTGCGGTAAAGTAACACCCCGTGCTTTTACGCACGTCAGCGTTGAAGACAGCTAAATATAGATATATAAAATGTTTTAAAAAGGGGAGTGAATGAAAAACTAACACGTATTCCCCTTTGCTTTTGACCCTTCGAGGCGCAGTCTTTCAAAGTTAATATTGAGATTAATTACACGTAAAAATATTAGTGAAATGTGTACCTAGTAGTCAAAACACAAAGTGAAGACGACAGGTTCTGTTGCGTATTTAGGAGTTCAGAAAAAACCCTGGTGAATGCATGACACCGTGAACGTGTGCGGGAAACCTAGTGTTCGAAATCGGCACCATACAAAATGTTTTTCTTTTTTTTTCTTTTTTAGTTTAGATTTGTTTTAAAAAAGCCGTGAAAGCTACTTATGCGGTTTGTGCAGGTGGATTATATGGCCAGGGGGACATATTATATGAAGGTAATCATAACGATCAGTCGGATAGTTAAAAAAAAAGACATATTGTTCCAATTAGAAACTTGCTGAGCGTCATCCAAACCCACTGAGTCAATCATTTTCAGAAATACCTTGAGCGCGTGGGAAGCGTAGTAGTGCGCTAAAGGTACCACTCGTACAACAGGTACAAAGCTGGGGCCAGTGTGTCGAAATGGAACCGAACCGAAAACCGGAACCGAACCGTTATTTTTAGCCGAACGGGAACTGAACCGAACCGAAATCTTCGCCGCCATCTTGGAACTGAACCGCAGCTGAACCGTAAAAAAAAATATAACGGTAACCGGTTCCAAACGGCTCACAGTATGTATTTATTTTTATTAGTATCACAAAATGCATATTTGAGAGTAAACAATTGGAAGCTGTATTTCTATGTATTGACAAAGTCTTAATAGACATAATTGCAATGTATGAGAAACTGTGGGGTTTTGTGATGCTCTGTATTAGGACTATGTAATAGGACGCCATGACGTGATGTCATGGCGTCAAAGCATGCCGTCAAGTAATGTTATGTCACGTGACCCCGTGACGTCCCGTGAATCACTGTGTCAAGACGATTAAAATTGAGAAAGTCACTAGATTTAGCAGTGTTATTGATACCCTGACGTCACATTACATCACGACTTCGCCTCGCGAGTCACGTGACACCCTGACATTCTCGACTGCCATGAGCCGGAGCAAAGTGCTCTGGTTCATGACAATCACGATATCCAAACATTTGGGTGATGGCTCGTGTTCAATGGAGGATGAAACTAGCCGAACTCGAACAATGTCTGAGACTCAGCCCATACTCTAAATCTAAGCTTTACCTGCCTCAGCGCATGACTATGATGAACACTAACGGTACATAGTTAGCGTCAGACCACGTGGCTGCTCGTTCCAATAACCAGCTGAAAAGGGGAAAGCTGCTTCTTTCCTTGATTTTTTTCTGCGTCGTCTGCCATTGCGCGGAGAGGAAAACTAGTGGGTGATTTTGCAAGTTATCAATATCAGAGACTAGTTCTTAGCGGAATTTACTAAAAGTACAAAGACTGTTGCACGACCCATTTCGCATCTACACATCATTGAGGCACCCATACATGTTTTCATGTTGCTGGACTGCCTCAGCAAGTTGTCCCCGAGAATAGAAGCACTGAAAGGACTAAACGTGATTTATTAAGCCGATGTTACTATACGTAAGGGATACCTGAAAAGAAAGATTTATAGTGGCCTCAGAGGGGCAGTCGAACGTTGGAAGTTGCAGTAGGTCTCACAGGAGTGTCGTTCCGCAAGCTTTAAACACCTTCGTATTTTGTTTAAACTTCACAGTTTTTGTGAGCAAAATAAAAGCGCTGGAGAATTACTGTTAACAAGTAACAGAAATATAAATGCCGAATAACACCCCCAAACGGGGGAGGGAAGGGAGTCCCCCCGGAATAAGAAGTATTCCCTGAAAAATAAAAATAAAAAAAAAAAAAGACGAGCCATTCCACTTTGTGAAGGTGGATGCCCAGCGAGCTGTTTAACACACGACACAGACGTGACACAGAATTTTGAACAAAGGTAAGAACACATTTTATGTCTTGATCGGTGGTCATCGTAACGAAAGGCACGCACACACATCTCGAGGACTATTGCCGGCCCGAGGAGCCGGAGGGAACTAGACACGCGTGACTGGACCACCACCCGGCGGAAGGAAAGGAAACTAGGCACGCAAGCGCTTGGAACGACGACAAAACCAGGGCGGTGCGTCTCCCTCCTTCTCTTCGTTTCCTCCTCCTCTCCTCCTGCCGCTGAATTTGTTCATAGGTGATATGACACGAAGTCGTGATGTCTAATTCCCCGCTAAATTTAGCGGGAAAACTGCATTGGTGTTAACGTCACGTGACACGAAGTCGTGACGTCAAATGACGTCAACACCTCGTGTCAAGTGACGTCAATTTTCCCGCTAAACTTAGCGGGGAAACTGTATTAGTGTTGAGCTCACGTGACGTCAATTTTCCGGCTAGATTTAGCGGGAAACCGACGTCACGTGACACGAAGTCGTGACGTCACGAAGCCGAAACGTCATTTCTGTTGCCGCACACGAAAGATCCACAGGACAATAGCGATAAACAGCTTCGCTGTAAAAAAAAAGGGGGACGGGGAGTAGTTTTCTAAAACATACTGTGTTACAAAGCGGTATTTGCATAAGGGAGAAATATGGGGGATTTCTCCTGAAAGCGCGCATCCCGCATCGAAAACGTCAGGATTTTGCGGTCCGGCGCTATGACATCGGTTAGGCGACAGAGGTGAGGGAGGTACGCTCGGGCGGTACAAACAATCCTGGTTTGGCGGCGGACCAGTTTGTTTTCAATAATATTTTGTCGTTAAACTTATTGGTGTCAAATGCAGAGCTCGCTAAGCTCATCTGCGGTGGTGGCAAGTGTGGAAACCGCTAAATTGGACTGCAAACGCTGATCCCCCCCCCCCCCCCCCCCCCCCCGCCTCCCCAACCCCCCGCACTTCATCGGAGTTAGACGAAGCTGAGGAGAAAATCGCACCCGCTGTCCACATCCCGCACATCCCTGCGCAGATTCCTGCCGTTTCTCAGAACGCTGCACCAAGCGAGAATAATTTGTGTCTGTCAAATACATGGCTGGCACTGAGCGCAAACCTTCTGCAGCGTCCATTTTGCACCAACGAATTCGATTTTCTCAGCAAGAACAAATCGCAATGACACCTAGTGCGATGACGTCAGGAGCGAACAATGTTAAACAGTTTAGTTCCCTGGTGAAATACGATGTTCGTAACTTTAGCAAAGGAAGATGTCCAGATTGTACAGTTCTGAGGTATACATGCAGTTATTATTTATTTATTTCTTTTATCGAATACAATTTCTTTTTTTTTTTTAAGTTGTGAAATCCACAATAATGCAGTATGTGCGGGTGAGTTGTACGGCCAGGCGGACATTATGTTCAAGAGAGAATGCAACTAATAGATGAATAATTAACAAAAATTAGCTAATTACTATTTTAATTAGACGTGTTAGGGCACATGTTTATGTTGAAGAAACGGAGGCAATGAATGTTGAAGGCCAGCCCATTCAGTTTTTTAAATCCTAGACCGAGCACGCCGTGGGAGCTGCGCGATATCACTGAAAGACATTTTAATAATGAGGGGGGGGGGGGGGGGTTGAAAAAGCAACCTGAACATAACCTACTCAACAAAAAGTGAGTGCTTCGACGCGCTGTGAAGCAAAAAGTGACGCAAATTTCGTCATTAACACGGGACCTTCCGGCGACAAATCAGGGTTGTCCTTCCAGCGGGCATCGCGCGTTTAGTTTTCGGGTGTGCACAGATTTCCAGAACAAAATTTGACAATCAATATACTCCAAGTGCGTGCTCGATCCACGATCTAAAAAAACGAAAACTGGGCTGGCCTTCAACATTGATTGCCTCCATTTCTTTAACATAAACAAGTGAACGTAATTAGTGAATGTTGGCTAATTAGTCATTTATTAGTTGCATTCTCCCTCGACCGTAATGCCCGCCTGGCCGTCTAACTCACTCGCGCAGACGGCATTTCTTGTAGCTTTCACTGCATTTCTAAAAACCATAATCTGCATTTAATTGAAAAATACATACAAAGAAAACCTGTACATATAGCAGGCTCGCGATTTTTTTTTTCTTATTTTTTTCCAAGGGACGATTAATGACCGAAATTCTCTTCCTACTGAGGAACTTTCCTCTTCCCATTACATGACTGCATAGGTTTCTTATTGATCCTTTACGTCTTACTGCTGGTTGCTTCTTGTGTTTCTGTATAATTTTGTTTTTGTTGCATTTTTGTCGAAGGTTTTCCGGTATATGTTTTTCTTGTAATGTGGATAGTATATTTGGGTGTATTCACTCCTGCTTGGACTATCATGGTCTGCGTACGTAATAAATAAATCTACAATAAATAAATGATATGCGACAGTCTAATAAAATGTTAGAAAACATGAATGATAAATGCCAGAGTTGTAACGTGAATGGCCAAAACAAGTACACGTAAAACCGCACATAACATTAGCCTCCCGAGACAGTGTTGAGCAAGGTTTTAGAGCTCATGCGAGCCGATGTCCAAATGATATATATATATATATATAGTCGGCTCTTCGTGCTATAGGAATATCATTACATCACTATGCAATTCCTTTATGGCATCGCGTATCGGGAATCTTTTAAAGGATATCACTTATTATCTCATCCTTTCTTGCTCATTTCGTGTGTAGTAGCCCTCAGATCTATTATGTGCCGCGCAGTCATTTTCTGCAATACCTCGCGAACCCTGCGTTTCACAGTGCCAAAACAGCGAACAAAAAGCACGTTTCCGCAAATTCAACAGCTGACTGGTTTAGAGTAATCGTCCCTTCGTGTCGGTCTCCAGCGGTTATGAGAACTTCATACAGGCAAATTTATCGATGATAATAAAAAGTGTATTTAATGATTTACTGAAGATTTGACAACATAAATAAAGGGCCGATCACCGTAAATATATACGTCATAAGTAAAAGCACCCCAAAAGTATCCTGAAAGATGTTCCGGAAATCGTTTCTCGAGTTTTTACCCTCGATAGGCACGTGTATAAGTTGATTTGAGGGGAGCCTTGGGGGGGGGGGGGGGGGGGGGGTGGGGGTAATTTATTGTTTTGAAGCTGATTCAAATAACTGTGTTCCTCACACATATATAAGTTGGTGAAACATATAGAAGAATGTTATTGTCCCTTTTATATGTTGAGCAGCAATTTTATGTGTCTGAGGGGCTTGGACAAAAACAAAGTACACAGGGGCGCGGGGCTTAACAATGACGATTACGCACGCAGGCCGTCAGAAAGTGACCGATTTAGTAGCTGCCATGTCGAGTAGAGCATGAAATGCTACTTTCTTCTATTTAACGAAAACATATCAATGATCAAGGGTGATGTTTATTTGCAAATTGAATTGACCAGCATCTTGTCAGAACAAACTTTCAACAGCAATGGTATGCCAGTTTATCCTGTATAAGAAAAAGTTCACTCGGGTACGCGCTATTTTAGGCCAAATTCGATTAGAGTACGAAGGTTCGCATAGATTAGAGTGAACAACTTTGACCACTCCTTTCTGCATGCTTCTTCGCCTGCATCACGGTGCTGAGTATAACTAATGTTAGTTAAGAAAACAAGAGTTGATTGTAGCAAAGTGTTTTTGTAAAATGTAGACTGAAATGGCTTTTCCGAAAACTTTCGTGACATCTTGAAAATAGTGATGATAATAATTTCTGAAGGAGAACAAGGGAGACAAAGATTATGTGCTTATCTTTTGTCGCCCTTGTTCCCCTTCTGGATTATTACCGCCACTATTTTCCAGCCCGCTTGTACATTTGCATCAATTGCATTATCAGTGAAAATACTATTGCTTTTAGCTCAGTTGCGTCGTCATCGTATATATTGTGAAACATATTTCGTAAACTATACTTCACAGTATGTTTGGCGACGAGGTACCCATGTCATATTTTATGCACCTTAATTAATTCCTTAGTTCGAGAGCACAACTACGATTCAACTTTTAATACTGCGAAGTAAAAATTGTACTAATCACGGGTGTTTTAGGCGGCACTTGGTGACAAGCTTCCGATTCAGGTAAAATGTATGTGACTCAGGTAAACAAATGGATGCTGACTGGTATAAACACGACGTTTTTTTTTTTTTTTTTTTTTTTTTTACGTTCATTTATTTATTTTTTTTACTACTGCATTGAAATTAAATAACTCAATTTTTTATATAAAAATAAGTTATACGAATGATAAAACGAAAACATTACAGTTACGCGTTTCACGGCGGAAATGGCGCATTCAACCAAAACAACGCAGAAAATATATTCTCAATTTAGCGGTTCAAACCGGTTCGAACCGGTTTTAACCGTTGTTTCTGCTCTCCGGAACTGAACCGGCCGGAACTGAACGGAACCGATACAAATTTCGGTTCTACACTTTGGCTGTGGCTGTGATAAGAGACGAAAAAAATCGCACGGACACCTTATCGCCCCCCCCCCCCCCCCGCCCCCCCTCACCGGTAGCCTTTCTCCTTCTGCACGAGTGGTGACTTCAACGCACTACTGCGCTTCTCACGCACTCACGCGCTCAAAGTATTTCTCAAAAATTACTAATTTAGTGGTTTTCGATGACGCTCAGTAAGTTTCAAATTGAAACGACATGTCTATTTTCACCCATTAAAAAGTTAATTAACAATTTTTACTTAATTAGCCGACTAAGCGTTCCGATTAGCCCCCTATACCATGTCCCCCTGGCAGTACAGCTAACCTACACAAACCGCATAAGTGTAGCTTTCACGGCTTTTTTAAGACAAATCTGTAAAGCCTTAAAAGAACACCATGTACATAAGTTTCCTTTAACAGCCGCGGCGTGCAGGGATTGAACATGTAACGCGCATAACTTGTGAAAACGTGACGTCGAATACTTTAAACGGAATGCGAGAAAGACGTTGTATTTACAACGTAAATAAAAAAAAGTCCAGGTAACACTGCTGTGTGGTGTTGCCTAAGCTTCATCATGACCTTTCCAGGCGATATCGTTGACTAAAACAGAAAAAAATATATTACTGGGATGACATCTTCAAACACATCCGTCTCAACTTCACTCCGTCTTATACTTAGTGTACAACGCTGCCAAAAATGCTGGCGCGAGCTTGTCTTTGATTTAGCGTTTAAAGGAGCTGCGCAACGATTTTAACGTTGAAAGAATTGGCATTTTCTGCCTTTGATTTTGTTCACCTTGTCACAAATGGCAGAAAACACACCTCCTTTCATCGAAATGTTGCGATTCCGCCGCGTAATAGCGAGGCAAAACTTGGAATATTTCCCGACCTGCAGCCACGAGCGGCGGTCATGAGAAACAAGCGGCGTGACGTCACTTGGGTAGTTGTAAGAAAGATAACAAGTTGTGCGATTACCTGCTCGATAAAAGGTAACTTTTTTATAAGTCTTGTCGTTCCAACATATATATATAAATGCGTCAAAACCCTGGTATCATCGACAAAACTTTTATTTACGCAGTTTTAGTGGCGCCATCTATCCTAGGTCCACAAAACCGCGAACAGCCGCCAGAAGCCGGAGGGGGAGGGGGACAGCGCCGGACGGGTGGTCACGCGGTCGCGAGCGGATGAGTTCTCGCTGCTCGCTGATGGCTCTAAAGAGAGAACTTTTCCGGAACTCCGCGCCTACTCAAGTGACGTCACTGTGCACGTGACCCGGAAGACGATGCACGAGTTGAGAGGCGACAAAAACCTGGATCTTTTTCATTTTTTTAAATAAAAACTAGGGTATCCAGGTAAAATCTGTTTTCTGTAGATCACTGCAGAAGTGTCAGGCATCAACTTCCACAATTATTTAAGCAAAGCCCTGAAATTGTTGCACAGCTCCTTTAAAGTGCACGGGCACGCTGGATATGAAACCATGTACTCCCGCCAGTAGCTTTTACAACATTGTGCACTAAGTATGAAACGGAGCACTCAGACATTCACAGCTGGAATGAGTTGCCATCATGTAAAAAACCATGACACCTTTTGTTTAGCTGTATTTCGCTTTATTGCTCTGAGTAGAACCTATTTGATCGTATGTTCATCCGGTCCCAAGGCCCGAAGTAGCGCTGCTGAGATTGGAAGCTTTTATAATCAGCAAGACACAAATAGCACGATTGCAAAGCACAAGTGCAGGAATGGCGATTGCCCCGTTCGCCAGGTCCTTGTCCATGGCACTACCTGTGTTCTCTCGCTATATTTACCCGACTAGCCGAACCGGTCATTTTGGTATTAAACTTCTTTGCCAACCAATGCTTGTGCAACGCAGCCGCCGCCTCCGGACGAGTGGAACGGCGACCTGCTCGGCTACTACATCGGCTACAAGCCCACGTCATCGGGACAGCCGTACTCGTTCCGGACCAGCGAGTTCAAGCCCAACACGAGCCACGAGTTCTTCCTCACGGGCCTGCAGCGAGGCACCGAGTACTCGGTCGTCGTCAAGGCCTACAACGCCGCTGGCTCCGGCGTCGCCTCCCACGAGCTGCACGTCAAGACCCTCGACGGAGGTAGGGCGTGCGACCACATCCTCCCCAATAACTTGTTTGACTTAATTTTAGATGCAGTGAACCCTATGAATCTCAGTCACAATGGGAATATGATCGGTAATGTGATTCAAATTTCTACATATCGGGCTTCTACAGCAAGAATAAGGTTAGTGACGAACGGGCAACAACTACGCTCCGTTTCAGCTTTCGAGATGAACCCCTGAGGACGCTACGGGCCATCGAGGCCAATCACGTGACCTTCGAGACGGCCGCAGAGACGTTGAGGGACGCGTACTCACGTGATATGTCCACGGTGCTGGATTAGCTGGGATGGCCCCCGCGGTCCATCGCAAGTCGAACCGGAGCATAACATAACTATAAGGATTAGAGCCTCCGAGAGCCAGGCAATTCTCGGACACAACTTGCTTTAGTAATCCGGAAGCATGAAAAATAAGCGCGGATAGTTCCCAAGGTGCTCGAGCGCACGCAGCTTTCCCAAAAGATTTCTTTTAAAGGTTGTCCCAGTGCTGGTCGGCAGTGTGTGTGCGTTCCTGCAACTACTCATGAGAGAGAAAAAAAAAAAAAAAACTCCCGGGTTAGCAGAAATCAGTTCATCCATGATATTCCTAAAGACTGCACGAAATTGTGCGATCATTTCCTAAGCAACGTGTTGCCGTCGGTGTTTTCCTATACTTGCTGCTCGTAACGAAGACCTCCTCCAACTACGTGAATAGCGTCCACACTCTAAGAAATGCCTGCGCGTCTACTTACCCCCAAAACACTCAAAGAGCCAATCTCTGCGATCTACGAAATCGGCTCAGCGAATGATGAGGCGGAACATCTATTTAGACCACAAAATGAAGTCTGCTCTGTGGCATTACGCAATGCAAACATGCCGTTTTGCATTGCGTAATGCCACAGAGCAGACTTCATTTTGTGGTCTAAATAGATGTTCCGCCTCATCATTCGCTGAGCCGATTTCGTAGATCGCAGAGATTGGCTCTTGGAGTGTTTTGTGGGTAAGTTGACGCGCAGGCATTTCTTAGAATGCAGTTGTAGCGGAAATACGCGATGCAGGAAAGCGTACCAAGGATTAAACAAAAAACAAAAATCAGTTCATTCTTTACGAACTTTCCGAGATACGTTCCGACTGAGCTCAATGCAACTGTCGAATGTCAAACAGCACGTTAAAAAAATTTAAAAAAAAATTTTTCACTGACCACGTGTCTAACTGCCACCTTCGGTTTCGGTAGGTAGTATATACAGTATACTGGTGCCGTAAAGCAACATGTCCCAGCGCGGCGTAATTAATCCGGAGTGTCTCGCGCCTGCCGCATTTGTTTTCAGACGTGCCGCCTCCCCCGAAGGTGTTTGTTTCCGGCACGAGTCATTCCTCCATCACTGTCACCTGGCATCAGCAGTTCCCGACGGGCGTCAGAGGTAATGAAACTCAAAGCTAATTTCCTTTCGGGCATTCACCTCTAACCCGCCCTCTTGCAAGGGCGATCACGGTGTGTAGTGTCGACGTGAGTTATAAACCGAAAGGAATGTTGCTTTCCTTTGTTATGGATCCCTACCACAGCAACTGCTGATCGATTCGCGTCTTACGGTAAAAGTAAAAGAAGTTATCTGTTCTCGGCATTTTAATTCCCTTAGGCCAGGAGTCTCCAAAAGTTTTGGCTAAGGATCCGAATTGGAGACCGGAACGCAGTCTCGGGTACCGGAAAATAAATAAGACAACATAGACGAGGAAACATGAAATAGATAACCTTGAATAAGCATTTTCATACAAAAAATATGTAACTAGAGCAATATTTTTTTAATCCAGGTGAATAAATGTGTATTGTTTTCTTTTTTTCTTTTTTTTTTCGATCCAAATGTTGTAATCATGAGAATACAAAACAATTGTGGCCCAGAGAACTCACAAAGCATAACTCACAGCGTGTATGGACTACGGCGTATTCACACACGACAGAAGGTGTAGATCTCATGACAATTTATGCCAGCGTTGTGACGCAAGACACAAACCACAATATACATGAGAACGCGAAGGAATTTCGTCATAGCTAGGCGAACACGAAATAGGAAACTACGAGTAGTAACACTGGTGATGACAACGTACGATAAAAATCGTGGCGAGAAAAACCCCGTTTCGATGCCGTTTTCTCATCCTTTCTGGTACCTACCTTTACGCTTTTGGTGCGCGTCGCGAAGCCATTGGCTTTGTTTGCTTACGCGCGCTTATTTCCGATTTTGTAGCAGCGGGCCGCGGGTCGTGCGTCACTGGAAAAGCCGTGGCTCTCTGCCGGCTGGCCAGAACACCTCCGCGGGCCGGATCTGGCCCGCGGGCCGGGGTTTGGAGACCCCTGCCCTAGGTCATCGTGTTTTCTGCGTTCACGCTTGAGAAGAGCGTTTAACCTAAGCTTTACAACGGAACAAAACAACTGATGTTCGGATAGGTTGTGATTTTAGTTTGCTTCTGCACCCAAGATTAGAGGGAGTGTATTCAAGATTCACAGAACTATAATCAAAGAGACAACAAGCGGCCGAGAAGGAGCAAGCAGATACATCCCGCAGGGACATCGGCGACTTTTCGCTTACCCGAGTAAACAGCGATGTACTATAAGTTCCAGCCCCCAGCTCAATGTCCGAGACAGATGTACGTCAGTTGTTTTCTGTAGGTCTACTATCTTCAGTTATCCTTTTAAGCAGAGCGAGTTCGGAGCCCCGAACAAACCCTCCCTCCAATAAGTGCAACGATCCTTCTTCTCCCTAACACATTCTTGAAGAAAACGAAAAAAAAAAAAAAAATATGCAGACACCATCGCATTGAACGATATTTAAGAAAACAGAAAGAAAAAAAAAAAAAAAAAAAGAAAATGGCAGCATTTGGAGTTTGAAATTCACTGACAGGTTAAACTTGAATTTGACCTTTATACAGTCTTTCTAGTTTCAGTAACCTACACCTAGCTGGACCTCGCTGTCCTCTATGGTACTTTTGTTGTTCGTGCATAAGTAGATTTGGCGGGAAGTCAAAGTCATATAAGAAGAAGGTCATCTACAAGTGCTCTAAACCTTTTTTAAGAAATCCAGTGTATACCACACCCCGCTGTATCCCGCTCACCATTCCTTCTTTGACAAGCTCAATAATTTAAAGGCAGTCAGTATCATCATACACCAAGTGACCAGCAGAGTCAGGTGCAAAAAACTAAATGCAAGCATTTCTGTCTCTCGAACTGCATGCAACTGCATGATACAGATCGCCGTGCTGCATACATGAAGGATCTCCTGAGGGAATACAATCAGAACAACCTTCTTGTCCATCCCGTGGAATTTGATAAAGCGTTTCGGGTTATCGTTTCAACGAACTGACATGGGCGGCCTTGGCGCAGGGTTCGTGCTGCACTACCGAGCCGAGGACGGGCTCCAGGACTGGAAGGAGGTGAACGTGGACGCCCGGACGTCTTCTTACACGGTCCCACACCTCGAGTCAGGCGTGCTCTATCAGCTGTACGTGAGCACCACCAACGAGTACGGCATGGGAGACCCCAGCGAGATCATCACCGTCCGTACTCACAAGAATGGTATGGACATCCAGAAGGACAAACACGAAATCCGTGGGCACCCTTCACAGGAGGGGTGCACACAAAACCAACTTGAATGGTTTATAAACGCTATCCGACAAGCGTGGCAGGGAACGGCCCGACGCAAGCCTTCATAATAAGGAACATACGCGCACAACGGCCCGACAAGCGCCTTTCGATTTTTTTTTCTAGCTGGTAATAGTTTGGACAGGAAGGGGACTTCAAACAGCTGACTTTCGGTTGCTTTGAATTTGTACTCGAAATCGGCCCACGAGCTCACCGAAACTTGCTCGACTGGGGTTGATGAAGGTACGGCACAAATGTGAGCCTAAAGCGCTAAAAAAAAAAAAAAAAAAACGATACTTTATTGCAAGATCTATTACTCGTGATTCACGTCTCACCGGCGCCCCGGTTCAGCTGGGGGGTTTGAGACCACATTGAAATTCGGTAGAGATCCGAGGTACCCCGAGACCCTGCTGACTTTAAGCACTGCTCCTATTCCCGACAGGGTCACAAGAGACGAGGGTTAGGATATGCCAGGCCATCCTTCGTTTCTTCGAGGCTACGGGTGTCCCACCACTGCTCTAAGTTCCACTGGCAAGCTTCAGCCCTCTTCCTCCTCTTCTCAACAACTATCGGTTTCCCTATTCCCTAGAAGAACGAAAACAAGATTACCCCTCTTCCTTTCGTTCCGCATTTTCCTTGCTTCTTAACGTTGCTTTTTTTTTTTTTTTCTTTCAATAAGCTTTCGTACTTTTTTGCTTAGGTTTTATTTAAATTGTTTTAGCATCCCACGGACGTCTACCTCCTGCAGAAACTGTGTTATTACGTGTCTTATGTTTTACTTGTTTCGGTGTGTTGGCTCTTTCAGTTCTGTTCTGTTAATAAATACATAATTATCGAGGAAGATCTTACGTTTTCACTTCACCCATACATGTCTGAATACATAAGTTAGAGCGCGTTCTACACAATATAGTGCAGCTATTAGACAAGTTTGCCTAGAGCTTCCCAGTGAAGCCCTCATCGTTCAGTGATTAAGCCCTTAATGTTGAGTTACGCAGCGAGGAGGTTGATGCCAGTGAAAACCCCATAGAAGCGCCGATTAATCTGTGGGACATGAAGTCGGCGAATAATGTATTAAGAGGCAGGTTAATCGATTGGTTTCGCAGCCTTAAAATTATATTTATTTCGTCATGAAGCATTTAGCCAGACTCAACTCCAATGCCAGACTGTCTTTCTCCTTTTATTTCTCTTCTTTCCTCTTTAGCCCGGTGATGTGAAAGCGACGACCGAACATAGCACCAGCAGAATTGGTTCGCCTCCCAAAAAATGGGGGTATACTTTCTTCGTATCGCGACAGGCCAGCTACTACCCCTCTTTCAGGCCGGATCGTGACCGCGAGCAGGCCGTTGTCCCTCGCTCTTGTAAGTCACTAAGCCCGCGGGGTCACATTGCTCAGTCATGAATCATACAAAAGACACAGTTTCTCTGCAGACAAGATCACATAATTGTCTGCTGACACGCCTCGTACGTGTTGTGGAACCATGTCTGCTTCATGCGTATGCTTCGTACATGTCAGCAGGTGGTTTTTCAATGGCCAATGTGACGTCATCGCTGTGGGATCGAGCGAAGACACCGATTGGATACGAGCGCAGCGTCGGTGCTCGGCTGGGCCTCGTGTCCAATCGACGCGTCGAAGCACACTCGGCATCGCGCTCGGGTTCAATTGCTCAATTTGGCGTTCCATGGAGGAAGAGTGGGACGTTCGGAAGCCTTCACTATTCTAGACGGTGTTGACTAATAGATGCTTTTTCTGGGTCGTCAATGGCAAATTTCGAGCGCTCAACCTTATCAGCTATAAATAAATAAATAAATATATTTATTTGCACCGCGGAATAATATGTGTCGCGGCATACAACGAAGATGCCTAATCTCGAAACCGTAAATTTACTGCTTCTATGTGTTTAATGCCGTGGCTGGACCGCCCGGAGCAGCTTGATACTTCATCTTCCTGGCTGCCTAAATAGGACAGCCTGAACTGGTTCGAATCAAGTATGGATGGATTTGCTGACCAAACCTACGGCGTTCTCTGTTAGTTCCTCAAAACACACACCCTAAAAAAAAAAGGTATGAGTTTATTTCCCCGCAGAACACGGACACCACCAATCATAGCGAGCAATAGAAGGATCCCAGCGATTGACGAATCTGAGAATATATTTGGACATGAAAAATGCTACGTGCGTAATGACAACGAGTTTTTTTTTTTTTTTCCTGATTGTATTACAAATTAATCATTCGCTAGGATGCTTCTATTAAAAACTATTTAAATAGCGGGAACAAAACAGGGACTTAAGAGGGCACATATACGGCGAGGAGTAGCGCCAGTTTTTGTCGTATATGTGCCTTCTTTTGTGTCTGTCTTGTTCACGCTATTTAATTAGTCTTCAGTATGAACCAACTAACCCAATCAATCTGCATGATCCTTCTGTTCGCCGTGATTGGCTGCCTCCGTGTCCTGTAGTAAAGTGAACTCACAGACCTTTGTTTAAGGTGCGGTAATTGGTTCTCCAAGAGCTCTATGGGAAAGCAGAAACACGGGCATTTCTTAGAATTCACAGTCAAAGGCACGGGCTCCCGATTAAACCTATGCACGCGCACTTTCCGCTTCTCAAGTGCCTCAGAACGGTGTTGCTGGCAAAGAAAGCTGCTAGATAGTTTCTTAACATTTGCCTTGAATCCTCCAGTTCGCTCACATTCACCGGAACACTTCGCCATGAATCCTCAAAATTAAGCATTATCTCGACTACGTTTTACTTTCAACATTCACTACTGGCGTCTTCCCATCAGTTTAGTTTCGCTTTTATACATCCTTCAGAGAAGCGACGAGATACATTTCCAAATTTACGTGAGCTAACAGACCACTCATGATCAAATAATTTCTTCATCACAGGTCACGTACATTTATTTGTTTATTTTTATTTATTTCAGTACCCTCAGGGCCCGACGGCATTACAGAAGGGAGGGTCAAGTACAAAACATAATACAAAAATTAGAACAAGTACAAAACTTTAACGAGACAAAAAGCAGTCAGGGTGCCTGCTGACAAAAATGGCTGGTTTTTGCATCCCTAAAATAATCAATTGGTGACATGGACAGTCAAGATGAGGTGAGGTGGTTTCACTCCGATGACGACCTGGGAATGAAAGAGTCGAGGTAGGCGGAGGAGCGACACTGGGGAATTCCAACTTTATACTGATGATCAAGGCGAAAGGAGATGTGCGGCGGAGGGAGAACGAGTTTTTCTTTTAGAGTGGGGATAGAGTAGTAAATTTTATGAAAAAGCGATAGACGAAATACTTTACGGCGCCAAGAAAGAAGGGGGAAAGATAAGTTAGATTTTATGGATGACACACTGGATGAACAATGATAATTACAAAAGATAAATCGCGCGCCACGGTTTTCAATGGCTTCAATGTTAGATACGGGTGTGGTGTGACCGGGATCCCAGATTGCTGCAGCGTACTCTAATTTAGAGTGTACCAGGGTTTTGAATAAAGGTAATTTCAGTGACATTGTAGGTAAAATTTGGTTTTCAGTAACCGAGCATGGAGTTAGCGTTAACAGTGATATGATAGATCTGAGCGTTCCATGACATGTTATCAGTAAAATGAACTCCAAGATATTTGTAGGAAGTTACGATTTCCAAGGGGGAGGTACCAAGGGCGTATGAAAGTGGTGATGAGTAACATCGGAAATACACAGATCACTTTGCATTTGTTAATGTTAAGAGATATATACCACGTGTTGCACCAGTCCAAAACAGTGTCTAAGTCAGTCTGCAGAAGTTGAGCATCGGAGTTATCGGTGATTTCGCGACAGATGATACAGTCTTCCGCAAAGAGACTAACATAGGAAGACAGATTCTAGAGGTAAGTCGTTTATGTAGATTAGAAATAATAGAGGATCTAAGACGGACCCTTGTGGGACGCCTTAGGTGACGGAACTGAGGTGAGAATTAGCTTAATTAGTAAAAACCAGCTGAGATCGATATGTTCGAAAGTGTTTAATTCAGGATAAAACGATGGAGTCAATGTTAAGTTTACTAAGTTTGAGGTGTAGAAGCTTGCGGGAAACTTTGTCAAATGCTTTTCTAGAATCAAGCAAAACGCAGTCAACCTGGGATTCACGATCTAGAATAGAAAGTAGGTCAATAGTAAAAGACAACAGTTGAGTTTCGCACTGAAGAAGTTTACAAAAGCCGTGCTGAGAAGGAGTGAAAAGAGAATTATAATCTAGAAAGTTAACAAGGTGCGACTAAATGACATGCTCCATAATTTTTTAGGGTGTACAAGTAAGGGAGATATGCCGGTAGTTATAAGGACTATGTTACCGTATTTGTGAAGTGGAACCACCTTTCCTATTTTCCAGTCTTCGGGAAGTGTAGAGAAGTTGTGCGATTGTTCAAAGATTTTGCACAGAAAAATAGGACTATATACTTTAGATTGTTGCAGAAACGTAAACTAATGTTGTCAACACCAGAAGATGACAATGATTTTAGACTTTCTATTAGCTTCACTATGCTGTCAAAACTGAAAACTAAGGGCAGAAAGCTGTATGAAGTTTACATTGGGAGACAATCAAAATCGTAAGAAAATATATTAACAAAAGTACCGTTTAGAACATTGGCACACTGACTACTCGGTATGACACCACCATCTAAACCTGTAAGTGATATGACTCGTTCTTTAGATCCATTCACAACGTTCTAGAATTGTTTAGCATTCTTTAACAACATTGAAGGTAAGGCATGATCGAAAAAAAAAAAAAGAAAGTAAGTTTTACCTTCGTAACTGTTGCCTTATATGTTTCAGCTGCACAGTGACAAGCATCCCAACGTTCGTCACAGTCGGAATGCTATGCAAAGCGAAGAAAACGCTTCTTATCGCACAACCGTTTAAGTGTGACATTATACCAGGGGAACGTAGGGTTGGAGGTAATTTTTCCTACTGGAATGGAAGATGCAATGAATGAGTTAACTTTGTTTTTGAACATGTTCCGATTCTCATCAACTGAGCGCTGATCAAAGTTGTCTAAAAACACATCGAGGTACTCAGCTAGTTCGTTGTTGATTAAGTAAAAAATTCCTTTGTTGTGGTCGTAATAATGTCTGGTAATTTTAAGAGCATCACACACGGTTGTGCGTAAGTTGAAAATGCAGTGCTGAGTGATCACTAATGCTTGGTAAATGAGTAACAGGAGAGATAAGATCCGGAGCAGTAGTAAGAATGAGATCTTACACACTAGCAGTCGAATCAGTAACTCGGGAAGGCTTAAGCATATCCTGAGGCAAGCTGAAATCTGAGCAAAGGTGAAGTCTAAATTCTGCGAAGAACAGCTTACAGCGAAACTCACCAGACCAATCAATGTGCGGAAGGTAAAAATCGCCTAATAAAAACAGCGGTGTCAAAGGAAATCTAGAGCTAATAACATTCAGAACGTCATTTAAATTAAAAAAGAAACGTGTAGTGGCGTTAAGCGGGTAATAGGAGGCGCACAAAAGAACACTCTTATAAGTACACTGTAATCGTATACAAAGAAATTCGAGTGTGGTAGCAACATTTACGTAAAAACATTCAAACGATTCATTCACTGCTATTAAAACCCCGCCTCCCCTCCTGCTCTCGAGCTTCATTGTTCTAATTACCTCAAAGCGGTACTTACGAAGGATGCGCCCTCGTGTTTACCTCAAAGCATACCGCGCATGACCGCCGTAAATTACTGCTCGAGGCGCGCAACGTAGCCCTCGAGACCGCCAGGTGAAAAATCTCTACCCACGCCGACCCTGGAAACGAAAGGCCAGGAATTCTGGGCGCAGCCCGGCCTCCCGCAGGGTCAGAGGGTCCCTTCTTCACGGTCCGCGGCTCACGGGAGCCGCCTCCCTTTCAGCCGTCGTCGGCCAAGAAAAGGCAACACGGGCGTGGCGCGACGAGCGTCGTCGGCATACGGTTCGTCATGCCCGAATGACTCGACGCAATCCTGTCGCGGCTACACCGTGTTTCATCTTACGTGAAACCGCGGGGGACGCTCCGAACATTCCCAGCCAATGCAATGTTTTGCATGTACCACGTGACTATACGTGTTCCGCGCGTCGCTGCGCTCTTCCCGAAAGTCACGTGACGCTCACGCGGCATTGGATTAGTGTACATGGCTCGTAACGTCCACTGCGGTCCATCGTAGCGTGAAGCGCAGTATAAAGACATGCAGTCGCGTCTTGCAACAGTCACTGGGCCATCCGCACCCGGCTGCACCGTAAGATCCAGGCTCACACGCGGTCAAACCACCATTCCAAAGAAACCGCGGACCATTCATTCTCAACGCTTGATTAGTTTACCCGGCTAGAGACCGCAGCCGCGTGACACAACATTCGGTACTTGATTGGTTCGTTTTCTAGACGAGCGCGATGAGCTAGCCCGTCCCAGATACGTGATTGGCTGTGTTGACTGATAGCTTCCGCTTCGGTCCATATTGGTCTAGTGGGCGGTGGGAATCGAGCTTCGGAGTCCGCTTTGATGAGGACGCCTTGCGGGACTGCCTGTACGTAAACATGTTCAGCGACGTTCCGATTGGAAAGATGCAAATCACCGCCGTGTCCCGGTAAGGACCGGATGCCCTAGCTGTCAATCACTGTGGCGGGGTAAGGAGTGCACGGCGCGCGGGCGTTCTCTATGGTTTCGCGGTCCGCAAGGAACCAGTCGCGGCTGTCGAATTTCTTTTCAGAAGACTCACGCAAACATCCGGTGTCTTAAGCGGGGGTTCGCCGATCGGTACTTGTACCGTCCGCGTCAGCGTCAACAGTTCAGTGACGTTAGTCGTTCTTACAAAATATAGGTACCACAGGGAGAGGTACTTGCATTTACCATCACCGCCAACGAGATAAAAATATCCAGATGTCGCTTTCAGACGGCCAACTCAGGCGTGAGGTCGCAAAATTTGAAAAGGCTTCGGTTTTACAAAACTCGGCTATAAATGCCAGAGACCTTATACGTCTCAGGTACGCCATTATCACCCACAGTTCGTTTCGCCCCGAAAGGAACCTTTCGTGGGGAAACACTTCGTGTCGCTAAGAGCTTCTTCGGGGCAAAGTCTCTGTGCGAAATCCCGCCAAAAGGCTTCGCCTTTTCACAGACGTATCCCTAGACAAGCTAAGTACCTGAGAGAAACGCTAGCTGCCACTTTATAAGCTGGTTCACACACTTGCGTTTGAGCATGGTAGACTACGTTATATACCGTTTGCGGCCCATGTGACCTCTACGACCAGAAAACAAACTAGCGCCATCTATCGAGTAGACCTGAAACGCTTCCGATCTGCGTACTTTTCCTAATGTTCTACGCATCATTCTTTCACCATGGGCTTGAAACACTTTTGACAATGTTATATGCGACCGTTTCTAATGATTCTATCCCGCAGACTCTGAAAAACCTTGTCCAGTTAAACGCAGATTAGAAGTGTTACAGCGCTGCCTCATAGATGGCGCCAGTGTGCCCTCTCGTCGTAAGAGGTGACAATTGGTTTCAACGAATTCACCCACACTCAAACGCAAATGTTTAAAGCTGTCTAGATGCTTCCAGAAAATTCCTTGAAGCACCTTCGTGCTTCGATTGTTCACCCCGGTTCCTACGCGTCCCCACAGGCGGCGTGATGCAGTCCCCGATCTTCGGCGACGCGAGCACGCCGCTCTACCTGAACTTGTTCATCATGATCCCGGTGCTGGCCAGCCTGGTGACCATCGTGCTCGTAGTCATCGTCACCTGCGTCTGCCTGCAGCGCATCAAGCGCCGTCCGAACCAGCCGCCAGGGCCTCCACCGGGAACCATGGATCGACGAAGTAAGCAGTACGCCGCAGCCATGGAGGGACAGCCGCAGAGTAAGCGGTGTTCATCAGTGTTTTCGCTGTCGTGGTGCATTCAAAGACCCGCGTTCATATTGGCGAGGAGATCGAACTATGGAGGGCGCTTTGAAGAGCTTGTTTTAGACAGAGCGCAATGTTTACCCAAAACAAGGCACGTGGACTGGATTCTTTACGTCACCTTCCTCGATCGAGCCAACACTCCTATACTTCCGTTTCAGCTTAGGTCCAGATGCAGCCGACGCTACGAGGTAATGAGACCAATCAAGCAGCGTCGAAAGCGCAAGTCACTGGGCCTTTTCTCTTTATGATTGGTTCACCGATGATAGAACACGTGCAAAACATGACGAACACCACGATGGTATGTTTTTGAGGCTGTCTGATTGGTCATGTTAGTTCGTGGCGTCGGCTGCGTCTGGATTTAAGGGGAAACGAAGTATAATGCTTTCTGATCTAGAAGGCGTTAATCGATCGTGGGGCACAGAGGGGGAGACACCAATGCAATGTCAGCGCTCCCCTGGGATTAGTGTTCATTGACACCCCACAAACGCAGACTGCTGTTTTGGGACTAAACATTTTTCCAGTCTCGTCATCAGTCGAGCACCCTCCGTGGATTGCAGCGATTGGCTCTCACAAGTGATTTGCGAGAAAGTATACGCTCCAGATTGCTTTAAGTGATGCATGGTCGGTGTTCCAAGCTCATCGCGGTAATTTACACCCGCGGTAAATATTTAAGAGTGTGCACTCAGCCACGTCTGAACTTGTACCGGTATCTTAGGGACGGCTCAGTGTAGGTGGTGCTTTTTCCCCCTACAAGATTACACGTAAGCTGTTTCAGGTAAGAGCTGAACGGCTAACACTTTAAGAAAAAGGTACTGTGGCACTGAGCACAGTGAACCGCCATGCTCAGTACCACAGCGCAGACCGTTCTTTCTAGGCCTAAACATATTTTCGTGCTGGTCATTTGTCGAGCTCGCGCCATAGACTGCGGCGATGGGCTCTTCCAAGCGCTATGCAAAAAAACGTAGACGTGCGGGATTTTTTTAGAGAGCAGGTGCACTCGACAGTTCCGATACCGACGACGCCAGCTGCAGGGTGGCATCTTGTCAACACACCAAATATTTCACTTATCTATAGCTAGAGCAGCGCAGGTGCATGGTCGAAAAAGAAGTCAACTCGCCAACGATTGATTGTCTTTGCCGCAGTGACGTCGACAACAGCGAGGCACGCGGAGAAGGCCCAGCAGGCGGGCGAGTACACGGGCCTCTCGCAGCGCTACGTGGAGGTGCAGCCGCCGCCCCTGCCGGCTGACCACCCGTGCGCGCTGTACCCGGCGCCGTGCGCCACGCTGCCCATGACCGAAGAACTCGAGGCCAAGATGGCCAGGCACAACGTCAACCAGGAGATGAAAACGTTCCTCGCGCAAGTAAGACACACGCACTCTAAAATGAGTCTGTGAGTTCACCTTTTTCAAAACACGCAGACAGGAAGTCACAGCGAAGCTCATAATACGGATTACATCTGGAAAAGGCGATGCGCATATAGGGACAATGGGCAAGTGAAACTTCATGTTCATTGTCCATGCGGACATCGCATTTCTTCTTTGTCTAATTGTATTCTGATCTTCGTAATCTGCTGGAATACCTATATTGTTCTCTTCGATGGACTGTCTCCGTGTTCTGCGGGAAGGTCACTTAACATACCTTTTCTTTAGAGTGCATTCCTTTGAGTTACCGCTTGGTACGTGACGGCAAATGTGAAACTAGCACGTAATCGCCGATGGAACGTAACCCTGCACTTCAAACCACGGTTCAGCATGCCAGTATAGGTCCACTATTACGATGTAGAGCACAGGCTCATTAATACGAAACGTTATATACCAACTCGGTGTTTACCAACAAGCGATTCTGACCACTCGAACCTGTTCTTCGAAGGTCGAGGCGTATACGCAAGTCCCGTGCTATATTCAGTGACACACCTCTGACGAGATGTCAGAGGCGTAAGTTGGTTTGTGAGATGCTACCTAAAAAAAAAAAAAAAGCTAAAGAAAACGGTGCCATTATTGTGAAATCAAAACGCCAGAGAAGACGAAACGCGTCAGAAGGAATTAATTGCATCAGCTCCCGGAATTACAACGCTTCGCTGGAATACAATATGGTGACCCAACTTTTAACGATCACTTAATAGAAAACGTTCTTCCGATCTAAGATTTACCTGGGGGTCCTTACAATCTACGCAGAGCCTGTTTAACATACTTGAAGGTACAGTGCAGATATCTTTAAAAGTTTCTAAAAGCCGAGCGTGCTATTGCAGACAAGATACGGAAAGTACACTCCCCGCAATCAACCCTCTACTAATGCTGGAGCGTCAGACTACACTCTGTTATGCGCACTCTGATAACTGATGTCTCAACTTCACTAAAAAAAACACATTTAGTTTCGTTGTAAAACAGCGCACAAAATACAGAACCCAAAGGAAGAGACGCGCTTGTCTTTCTTGTGTCTTCCTTTGGCACCAGTACCAACAGTACCAACTACCGCAGTTTTCAACACTTCGACAACTAGACCTCACATAGCGTTTCCCATTTCCCTTCTCGCAGAACCGAGAACTACCCACGCTTCCGATAGGTTCCAAGGCGTGCATGTCCATCAAGAAGGACCACATGTACGAGAGCGCCCAGTGATGCAACCCATCCGAAACGCCGACAGAGCTCATCTCGATCCTTGCCAGCACACCGCAGAGGCGTCCAACCGCCCGTAGCGCCTTCACCGAGTCCGTGTGGTGTGTGTGTGCGTGCTCCACCCTCGTGTAAATAGCCCCCACGTGCATTTAGATCTGCCACGCTCCCGCCAACTCCGGTGGATGTGCAAGTTCCATGGTCTCACCATCGCCCATCAAATCTGAAACGCCACTGTGGCGTTTTGGGGTGCTCCAAGTTTTTATCTGGTGCCATGTAACCACGTTGCGACGGCGTGTTTCTGCTTTCAGATGGCTGCGGGGAGGACTGACGTATACGGCAGATGGGATAGAGTTCTCTGAAAGTCTTTCTTTAATGTGTCGCTTTCAGATTCCTTCGTTGATTGTGTACCAGATCGATGTGCAACTGTCATCGGAGGCCACGGTCAAGGACACCAGAAAAGTACGCTTTGTTCGGTTGAAGGTCGCTGAAATACCGAGAGGCGACTCAGGCATAGCTCTTTTCAAAAAGAGACCAAAAAACGTTCCTTTGTTGTCTGATAATGTACTTGACCATCGGACGCCATGGTCAAGGGCACCAGAATAGGACGTTTTGTTCGATTGAAGGTCGCTGAAATATCGAGAGGCAACTCCGGCGTGGCTCTTCTCAAAAAGCATCAAAAAACGTTCCTTCGTTGTCTGATAATGGGGTTGGAACAAATCTTATCTGCTATAAAATGCAAGCATAGCCCCTATACAGAAGGCTATGATACCAGCCACTCAAAAGATGAAGAAACATTGGAAAAAGTGTGAAACCAAAGCCGCGTACCAGGCAGCAGTCAATATTGTAGCTACAATCAAACACAGCTTTACTTTAGAGCCACAGAACATACACCAGCACTACCTTCCAACACAGACATACATGCTAGTCCCGAAGCTTGCAGCGAGCGTTTTGTAGTAGATTAAGTTCCCGGGTAGAGATATGTTTTGTTCTTCTTGCCACTCATCGATATTTTTATCAAATCCGGAGTCGGGTGGGAGATCGTACGTTCCTGTGTTCTTCCTCTCTTCACAGGTGAACTTGAGGTGCGACAAAATAGTGCTTCGATAGTTTCGTATCGTGATTTTTTCCTGTGCTCATTTTTGCTCAATCCTTTTTCAAATGGTGCGTGTACGATACGTATAGAAGTGTACGAGGGTAGCTATGCTGGTTTTAGCACCGTGTGCAAGCTGTACATATTACGTGTGCTCTTCAAGCGTTGTCGTCACCCAGCAAAGGTTGTTATATTTTTTGTCCTACTTTCTTTACGTGCCATGAAGTAAAAGTAGGCTTGACATTTATAATCGTCTAGAATAACCATTCCGAATTTTCAGCTACGCGAAAGTACCGACAGGGTGGTGTTTGAAGTGATTACTGTGTGCATGGTGCCATAATCGTTTCCGTGTGGACCTCTCCCCAGCCGATCTCGAAAACGAGCAAACGTAGTCTTGTACGAAATATAAGACATGCAACGTTTCCGCGACAAAAAAGAATGAATTCAGATCCTGTGCGTTTCTTTTTTGAGATTCAAAATTACCGAAATGACAGCTCTCCGTTCGGAAAGAGAGAGAGAGAAAGAAAAGGTAATTGTGCCCAGACAAGGAGTTGTAATTCGACAATTGACTCATTTCTCCCGTGGTAAACAAAACCCATATAAAGGACTTTTTTTATGTTGATATTGAACGTGAAACAAACATTATTTTTATCAGAGTTTGTTAAGAAATATCCTTTCGATAACCTTCCTGAATCACAGCTTCTTCGGCTGTTCTCGTAGTCTCTGTAAATATTTGTGTCTCTGCAAGTATGAACTCCCCACGAAAGAGTTTTTTGCAACATCTTCCGCCGCCGAACTGTTGTGCACGATCTGTGGATGGTCTAACGCGTTGACGTTACGTGCTTGTGACATTGGTTCCGTGTTGTTGAGGGCGTATACTATGTCAATATATAAATATATGTAAATGAAACGAAGGAAAGAAAAGAAAAAGAAAGGAAGGGCTGTTGACATCCCCGGACGAACAAAGCAATCTTCTTTGTTGCCCCTTGCCAAAGACAACAGTAACAATTGTATGCGCACTACCATACGGCCATAGCAATGTAGCAAGTGACCAATCAAAGCCTTCTATCTCTGGTTCACAAGTTGTGCAATGTATTGCGAAGACGTGAGCGCGTGCAACATGAAAATGGTTCGCCTTATGCGAGTTCTAGTTCAGTAATGACCTCCTTCAATCATAGCTATCCCCTCGTACTCATGCCTTCTGCAATGCCCTACGTAACGTGAGAAGCAGAGTAGAACGTTGCGCTCCGAAAATCGCAAATGGTAAGCATTCCACTTTTATTTACTCATTTTCCATTACGCGCGAGTACGGACGTAAAAGCATTCAAAATGACCGATAGCGCTTGCGAACGGACATCAACACGGGTGCACTGGCTCATAAAGTACGGACATATCTACATCGCTATGGCCGTTATCAAGTTGTTCGTACCCTTTACCGATAGAGTTGTTGTATAGAAATCATTTTCTTGTTTTGTGCTTTCAGCAAATATATATATATATATACATATGAGTAAACCAACTGTGGTAGGCATCGCTGGTCGACTCTGAGGCGTCTCGTAAGCAGAGACGTCCAGAAGATGAGTATGTTTTATAGGAGTTGGCAACGCTGAGCGTGACGTCACTCTCTTGTACAGTGCACGGTGATTTGTTATTTTGCTTTCCGTTTAGCCGTCGTGTCCAATTCCGTCGTACGTGAAGGTGGATGTCTGCGTGCGTGTATATTGATCTGCCCCACTCGCAAAAAGCAAAGAAACAAGGGGGCTTGTGGCTAAGACGCTCCGACTTTTCGACGTTTGCTTTTGTAACGGGACGATCCCATCTTTGTAAATAAACTCTGCTCCCTCGATCTAATACGGGACCCATGTTTTCTCTCCGCGTATCGCATCTGGCAAAGGTAAGTCTACAACGGTTCGTTCTATCAATTTACCCCATTGAAAAGATGAACATTGTATATATCATTCGCTCAATAAACATAAAGACTTATATACATTTTATTGGGTGCATACAACTTCTCATATGAACATACATGTTCTCAAATGTTTTTTGACACATTCACATACTTTTTTCCCTCTCACTAGGGATAGAACACGCATTAAAAAAGAAGTTAAGTCTGTAGACTCAATTCACAATCGCATGATTTCCCGATCTTTATGTCGTTATCATCCCAGTTCTAACTCGTCTTCAAAAATGTCCGATATACAAATACGAAATAAGCCCGCAAGATGATTTTTTAACAACAGCTTAAAATGTATTTGTAAGCATTACACTAATATGCATTTATCAGTGATCTCCCAAACCCCTCGCCTACTTAGTTTCTCTACTTCTTTTCAGTTATCCTATACACTAAACTGATGCTTCGTACAACCGCGAAGTCTTGCCCAGTTTCATACAAAAGCGTTGAAAAAAAGTTTATAATGCAGCCTATGGGATTCCGGAGGTTAAAGAAACGGCGTCCGAGTCCACAAGAGCACGATGCGAAAGTCTGCGTTTTCGGCGCACCTCGTAACTTGTAAGTAGATAAACAGAAATTGCGCAAGTCTTGATGCACGATATTCCTGCTTGGCGCCGCCACCAGCTGCACGCGACGGGACCACGCCCAAGCTGGACTCACGATCAAACCGAAAACGCGGCTTATCTACGACAAATGGGCGTCAAATTAACAACCTCGATGATTCGAAGGCGTCCAGTCACGTAAGGTGCGAAAAGTAGCCTTAGCAGAATTCCTCCTGCCATATTTGGTTAGCATGGACCTCTTCAAACTTAAATAACCAAGATATCAACCCAAACGAGGTTCACCTAAACTAAAACTCTTTTCAGAGACATACATTTACAACTGGAACACACCGGTCGTCATGGGCCGGAATTCTATAAGTCAAAACGTGTGGATGCCCTGAGCAAATGGAGGTTTGCGTGAAAGCGGATGGAGGTACAGGGGCCATTACCCGATCAAAGCAGTTGCGAGACTGCCCGCTAGGGCGTTCGAAAGACAGGTTCGGAAAGGCAGAAATCGATAATTGACTACGTTTACGATAGAGTACGATCAGCCCGAATCCCCACTGCGTATCCAAACATGGCGCTGGATTCCCGTTTAAAATGGCGATTAATCGATAGTCTACGAAGCATCAGACAAGGCCCGTCAAAAACGCCGCTATTGTGAAGCGTTCGAGGTGGCGCTACCGATCATCTTTAGGGAACACGTTCTCTCGTTGACATTGAAATGGGCGTATTGTACGCGAACTCACCATAGACTAAGTTAGCGGAAAAAATCTTTAGTGTTCTCAGAGTACGAATGTCGTGTAATTGGAACGAATAAAAACAGTCGGGCGCACGGAGAATGTACCAGACCCTGCGTCTAATACGCGGGGCTGGAACGTAAGGTTCAAACGAAAACCCAACAGCGCGCCCTGCTACAAACAAAAACCGATAAAAAAAATGCTACGGAAGGCTAAATGTCGCGTACGTTCAAAAAACGGTGTGCTATTCTACACAGCAAGTTGAAAACCGTTCGTTATCAATTTCCTGAAAGAAACTGAAAGTAGTAGAATCGGGCTGACTACCCGTCCCGCGACCCGCGGGACTGTTTCAAATCAAAATGTCCTGCATTTCAAACGGTCGTAAAATTCCCTACACAACTCATGGCGCTGCCGAACAACGGGGCACGAGGAAGCCCGGAGGTCGCTGGTACACGTGTGAATCGCGAAGGTACACCATTTTTTATCAGAGCATTGCGGGAAGTGACCGTCGTTCTTGCAGAATTGACACGCATGCGCTGTTGTGCTTCTCCGGCTTGGTGACAAAATATTGCAAGTGAAAATTGCTCGCCAAAAGTTGAACAGTACATTATTGTACGAGAAAAGAGTCAAAGTACAGGCTAGCTGGTGGAAGTCAACCATTTCGTCGTTTACCCTGAGACTGGGGTTTTTTTTGAAGAGCAGAAGTAACAGAAAAAACAGAGAGCGAGTTTGAGACCTGTCTATTTTTTCTGTTACTTCTGCTCTTCAAAAAAAACCCCAGTCTCAGGGTAAACGACGAAATGGTTGACATTACTGTAATTGTTTTTAAATCGTGTTGTGTCAATGCAAAAACATTGCTATAAAAAACTTTTTTTTTCTTTTGTTTTTTGTTGAAAACGATTACACAAGGCAAAAAGACTGCAACTCACAACTGTCAAAAACAACAACATAAGGTTCGAAATTTCTGTAGGAGCATCTTGGTAAAAATAAGTATCGACCGGAAACAAGAAGTACTAAAATGCTCACTGCTTGTTCTTTTCTTTTGATGCATTGAGTTCTGCTGCGCGCGATTTTATGTTTTCACTTTAGACACATTTATTAGCATATGTGGCATTAATACTTAAAACATATCACTGGCAATGAAAATTATTTGAGCTTAATTGCCCTAATACAAATCGCAGCTATACAATCTGCTTTCGGACAAAACAGGATATTAAATGTGTTATCAGAGCCACATTTCGTGGCGTATGTTAATAAAATTTCATCAAATAGTTTTTTTTTTTTTTTTTGCGCTTTTTAATCCGAGACTGGGCAAGAGGTAAATAAAATGGTTCCTCCTTCTGCCCCAGTCTCGGGTCAAAAAGCATCACGGTAAACTTCCCCCCGCTCGACTGCGTACTAAGTTGTTGTTTTGCAGTTGCCACATTTTAAATATATTACAGTTCTTCTCTTGAACCCCCCTCCCCCCCTTTCGCCCCCCCTCCCCCTTCCCCGGGTCAACGTGTCCCGCATTCCGCTAGCAGGAAGGTGGTCACCCTCAGTAGAGTCCAAGCTGACCGTGTAAAATAAAGCAAACAAAAACGAAAAATTACACGCTTTCCTCGAGAAGCTTTCTATTCAATGAGAGAGGTATGCAGTCAAACTGGGAACATAAGAGGTCTTCTGCCTATGAGTTGCATTCATTAATAATAAGCGCTTAGCCCTGAGGCAGAACTCAAGACGCCGCCACTTACCGCTGTAACTACTTCGCTTGATGGTCTAGGAGTTGTTTAGGTCCAGTCATATATCTTAAACAAAGCAGACGGCACGCGATTTCCAGAAGAAGGTTCAATCAAGGACCAGTCGCACTACTCATACATGCGGATTAGCCCACGTTTCTCCCCTGATGTATGTGTAACTGGTGCGACAGAATCTGTTGCCTCGTACATATGTGTGAGGCGTGTTCGCAGACAATTCTGGGATACATGGCTGCAGCGAACACCATGCCTTTTGAAGGGTGTACTAGCAGTCTGACCGCGGCTTTAGAGGCTCTCATGAAGGTCACCTTAGTAGCAGACAACCTGCAGCTAAGAGATGCAACTCATGCAGTTCCCAAAAGACATGTCTTCAAACTAAACGCGAGTCGTTTCAAGAAGGCTTGTCCTTTCCAAAAGGAGAAAATTAGCCTATCATGCAAGACAATATTGACTAGCATAGCGCAACATTGCGGTACATATAGCTCAATCCCGAATTGAAGAAGACTGAGAAATTGCTTCAAGTGCTGTGAATCCAAGCGAGTCCTGCTTGCGGCGAAAGCAAGTTGAGATTCCCGACGACATGTGGCGCCCCGCGTCCACCCTTGCGTCGGATACGAGTTCACAGCGTCCACCACTGCCTGACGGCCATAACGAACTTTGACGAGCCGCAAGTCCAGCATCAGATGAATAATCCCACAAAGCTAGCTGAGAATACCGATCGTAGAAAGTAAGAAAGAAAAACGAAACACTGTCCAAGAAGGATGCATCATAACCCGGCTGCTCTTTACATGTGGATACTTCTGTCCAGCTTCGTGGCTACTACATGGGGAGCCGGTGCGTATGAAAACGTTTCTAGTCTTCAATAGTTCTCGAGTTGCGTATTTTTCCTGCGGGGCTCTTGTCTACTAAAATTAAATTTCTGCTTCAAAAAAGACCTGTTCCATACAGTTGCTGTAAATGGCAGCAATTGCGTACGTGCACACAACGCTAAAAACAAATGTCTGACAGCGTTTTCAATATTTGTAAACATTAGCTCAATCTGAAAGACAATCTTTTTAGCGCAAACCCAACAATTACGAGCGACGAGCTCTTAAGAGCCGTCCAGGTTAAAATATTAATTCCCAACTTCCTCAGGTGGTAGTGGCTTTCCTCCCAGCTCTTGGATTAAACACTCATCGCGTCAACGTCGGATACAAATTTTAAGCTCATATCGTGATTGAGTGTACTCATCAAGGTAGCTGAATTATGTACAATCGACTCTGTCGTCTTTACTGTTGTTTCTTGCATCGCTGCTTCCAGAGCCGCCCAAGGTGAACCCTTTCTCCTTTTTGAAGAGGTGGCAGACGGGCGAAAAAACTTCAGTGATCTGCATGGTTACGTCGGGGACACCGCCGCTCAAATTCGTGTGGATGAAAGACGGCAAAGAACTCTCGGAACAGAGCAGTAACCTTAGGATGAAGCACGAACCGGGTTATTCAATGCTGTTCATCGAACCCGTCGATCTCCTCAGCGGTGGAAACTACACCTGCGTCGTTAAAAACAAGGCTGGTCTGGATTCTTACACCACGTTCTTAGACGTCGAAGGTAAGCAGGATGAACGTCGAATGTCGATCAATCTCCGAGGTGCGCATTGTGAATCGCGCCTCTCGTTCAGCACCGCCTAAGTGGGTCCAAACCATAGGAGATGGAAAGATTGCATACGGCAGCGAAGCCAAGCTACTGTGCCAGGCCAGTGGTTCGCCAGTACCCACACTCCGATGGCAAAGGTTTAACGGTAAGCATCCACTGAATACACAGCGTCACTTCGATATTCAAACAAGATATTTATAACGAATCTAAGTAGTTTGTCGTGCATGCTTAACAGGCGATTCTGCTTGCCTAATAGCACACCTATCATTTAAGAAGAGTTTTGTGTCACATGTTCCTCAGCGGGTACTACAAGAATTACTCGAATGAAAACCAAATAATCAAGAAGACGCAATCTTTGTTTCTCGCACTCTGTAATTAACCTGATATACTCTTTGGTGTTCTTTCTTTTCCTTCTGTCCAGAGGCTAGTCAGACCTGGTGGACAGTGGATGTAGCGGGCGAATCTCTCGTGATTCCTCGGGTAACCCTCAACGAAACAGGGCGATACAAGTGCTCTGCCGACAACGGCGTCTCGCCCAGCCTGGAACACACCCTCACAGTTGCCGTATATGGTAAGTTTCAATCTTCGTCGCGGACCTATACTACTGGACCTTCTCACGGATGACTGTGGGACAAATTTAAACAGACCACAAGCGGGATATTCGGGACGAGGGACTCTACTCGTTTTTCTTTCATCTACGTGCACGAATCATAAGAAAATAAAATGACAGAACAGTCGGAGTTCTACCCCTGAAAAAGTTCAACTAAACATACTGTGATGTCCCATTACGGTTGTAGTAGCGACGAAAATGTGATATTCCTAATGCGGCCTGTTTCTTCAACGGCACCCTTTCCCCTGTCGGACGGGAATGTAGTTGGTGAAAAATAGTTTCTCTAGACCGACGACATGTGGCGCCTGGTGTCCAGTGCCCCTGCGAAAACTCTACTGATAGAAGCATGCCGCCAAGCAGCTTTCTCAGCCCCAGTCCGCCATTGAGCATTTGTTGATGCTCAGTTCCGGTGTGCAAAATCGCAAGGGTTAAAGGAAGACCTTTCGTCAAATCGCGAGCAGTTGGAAACTTCAAGTGCATCCTGATGTCTTGAATCCGTCTAATCACAAGAAAAATGCGCTCCTGCGGAAGCTGTCTTCTTTTGTTGTCGCTCTTCACTCCCGGAGTGATTCCAATCGGTAAGCAACCAAATTCTTCTCGTACCTCAGCGTTTCATTTGTTGTACCGTGGAAGGCAAACTCTGTTCAAGCTTAACAAAACATTTTTCTCCGTAGATGCACCGAAAATTCAGCCCTTCAGTTTCCCGCACCGGCTCAAGGCTCAAGGCAAGACATCGGTGATGTGTATCGCAACTGACGGAACACCGCCCTTCGCGTTCTCGTGGCTGAAAGACGGAGCCGAAGTCACTACGATGAAAAACATCCGGCGAGAGAAAAAAGAAAACGACTACTCGGTGTTAATAATTGAACCCGTCGAAGCGACCAATGCTGGCAACTATACTTGTATCGTAAAAAACAAGGCCGGATTTGACAGTCACACCACCTACCTCGAAGTTGAAGGTATATACTATACTTACAAAAAGTAAGCAGTGAAGACGTTACGTTTTGTCTTTGTTCCAATAATACAGCTCCCCCAACATGGAAATCTGTACCGAGAAATGTCGACGTCGTTAAGGGTGAACCGCTCATCGTAAGCTGTCACGCCCATGGATCTCCTACACCGAAAGTGACCTGGATGTTGAAGAAAGGTACGTATGCCATCAATATTGAAGATAAGAATGTACCTGAAAATCCAAAGCTGCTTATCATCATGACTATGAAAAACACAATTAAAAGCCGGCAGCTCACATAGTTTGATGTTGGAAAATTGTAGTTGCGACTCGAGTGTGCTTCAGTAGCTGTGAATGCTTGTTCAGTGTGACCTCATTACAAACTATTGCACAATGTAAATGAACTCGGTCTTGCCTAGTTTTAAAACTTCGTTTGTATATACCGACAGTATAAGTAGGCCGGTTCATTTCAATAAACTTCCCAGATCTTAGATATAATGTTTTAGTTTTCGCGCACCAAGCTTCGACAAGTTGCAAAACTGACGTGCATTGAAGGCAAAGCGCCACATTCCGATTGGTGACCAAAACGTAGCTAAAATCAACAAAATGTATAGTGCTCTAGAAGGATCTGAAAGTGGAATTATTCACTTGCCTGCCTTCAACGTAAACATAAACACAAGAGAAGCCCTAGTTGTACCTCATCAACACTTTTAACGAATGTCTTCACATTGTTCATGTTTTTAGAAGGAGACGACAAGTGGAGCCACTTTGCGGATGCAGGTGCAAGCACTCAAACGCTGGACAACGGAACGCTCATCTTGTCAGGGACGCAGGAGTCGCAGTCTGGTTCGTTCAAGTGCGTCGCAGACAACGGACTTGGAACATCCATTGCTCATCACTTTTCAGTAAAAGTGCACGGTGAGAAAAAAATCAAAAACCTTCCCGCTGAGTTCTTCGTGTGACCAGTGCACGTAAACATAGGCATCAAATGTTGCTATAAGTCATCGTGGACGATAGCACGATTTAGAGATCGAAACAGGTACATAAGTTACTTGTGGTTATAACTATCACCTGCGGTATCTTAGTATACTCATATTACGAAATGACACTTTTGAGACGTATCATTTTGATGAAGCATATCCGCAGCCGTCAACATGTATGTGCGGATAGATTATGTGCGTATCTCAACAGTGGATCGCGTAAACTGCGCTTTCCCGCCACTGAACATCGTACACCGCGGCTGCTAGCTTTGCCAGCGCGTAAACCCAAAAGCCGGCACTATGTGGCGCACCCTGCCCGTCCCTGGCCTGAACAAACGTATACCGGGTTCTGGCGTCAAAAGCGCCATGTTCTACCAGAGGCTCCTCCGCGGCTCAATCCCGCGAATAGCGTAGGAGTTCGCGGTTCACAGTGCAGAGTGCCCAAAAGGGAGGAACTTCAAACGACGATGAGATCCACCCCCTGGATTTTAGAGACCAAACATTCCAAGCTGCTGCTTCTTGTGCTCATCCAGGTGGCGACTGCCGTCTCGTCCGAAAAAGGTTAGTCCACATTACTATGAAAACCAACCCTTCGTCAAAGCTATAGCCGTCTTCAACGGTCAGTGCGAACATGTCCTCGTTTACATCGTCACCCTTGCAGTGCCTCCCAAGATCATCGCGTTCCACTTTCGGAAGACCATTAAACCGGGTGAAAACGCGAGGACGACCTGCCTGGTGGAGGCTGGAGACGCTCCCATGACGTTCTCCTGGCTCAGAAACGGCGTCTCGGCGTCTCTGACTAAAAACGTGCAGATTCAGTCTCAGGGGGATTTCTCGATTCTGAACGTGAATCCTGTGGATGCGACCAGTGCGGGGAACTTCACCTGCATCGTGAAGAACAGAGCCGGCTTCGACAGCTTCACAGCGTACTTGGATGTAGAAGGTATGCAGGAACAGTTACTCTAAATCTAATACGCTAGCGGATTGTAAAGAAGTAGTCGGGACGTCATTTAAAAAAAAAAATTATAATGAATATATACTCGTAGACAGGGGGTTGTTCGTGTACAATCTGTCGAGGTAGACACGGTGATATCTTGACAATCAATACGTTAAAATTCCCTACTTGATGACACCGTATGAAACCAAAGCGATCGTTATGGACAAAAAGCTCAGACAGTTCGACTCATTTCCTGAGAGTGAAGAAGGAAGAAACTACCTACCCCATAAAAGCAAGCATATCTTAGAGAAATATCGTAATATTTTTCCATTTCTATATAGAATTTCTAGGCGTTTCTTGTAGATGCAAACACGCCAACCAATATCTTCAACATCTATTAAGTGGCTGTTTTCCAGATAGAGTTGAAGCAGTCTGAGAGAAAATTAATGCTGGGACAACAAAACTCTCTGAGAAGACCCGTCTGGAATGAGCACTGAAGATCCTGTGTGACACGCCAGATGGAAAAGGCGTTCAGGCTACCATGCGTTGGCGTACATAAATACTTCGAAAGACAGACCAACGAGGACAGCTTGGATACGCTCCCGCGAACGAGGGCAACCCCGATAAACCGCAAATTCGCAACACAATATTACTGACGATGCAAGTGAAGCCTGCAGCGAACGACCAGAAACAGAAAATGTAGGGAGAAAAACAGCGTAACGAAAGCGTTCAGCAGCTTCAGATAGTAAAAAAGGAGAAAACCTGCGCGACAATTTAAAACTTCCGTCCAGCTTTGGAATAATGCGTAACGTCGACACGACGTGGCGCCGCATGTCCACAGGTCGGCGTTTTTAGACCCGTTGCAGCACCCTATAGAAATCCAAAATGGCAGCGTCCTTTTTCAGTGACGAGGCCCTACGAAAACCTGTATTCATTGCACCTGTAAGCAAGTGCGTTTAATTCGATAGGGTCAAGATGGAAGCACAGTTCCTCTTGTCATTCGCTGGAATCTGTATCGCAATTACCAGTACAGAGAAAGGTGAGAATGATTAAGGTACCTTGACTTATAGACTCGCTTGCTACAGGGTCGGAAGGCAACGAGTCGGTGACTAAGCTTCGCCTTCACGGGCTTTGAACATTCTTGTAGTGGCTCCCAAGCTGCAACCGTTTCATTTTCGGAAGACCACCAAACCGGGAGACATTGTGAAGACGACTTGTGTGGCGGAAGCTGGCGATCCACCTCTGACGTTTTCCTGGCTCAGAAACGGCCTCGACATATCTTCGCTGAAAAATATTCAGGTCAAAACGCACGGAGACGTCTCGCTGCTGACCATCACACCCGTAGACGCGGCCAGCGCGGGAAACTTCACTTGCATCGTCAAAAATCGAGCGGGATTTGACAGTTTCACATCACTGCTGGAAGTTGAAGGTAAACATGAGATTGCTAAAAAAATAAGAAGAAGAAAACAACGACATCGATTAAATATTTGCGGACTAACAGCCTGCCCACTATACATGGGCCAGTATAGTTCGGAAAGTTGCTAACTGTAACAACGTAACCGGTGTTCTTAGAATGTCAGACTCTTCATAGCCGCCAAAAGCCTGAAAGTTTATTGCTTTTTTTTTTTTTACCAGCCCCACCAGAATGGAAGAAGGAGCCGAGTGACAAAACCGGCGTTCTCGGAAGTTCCGTAGACATGGATTGTTCCGCCACAGGATCACCAGCCCCGAAGATCATCTGGCAACGTGTCAAAGGTGAATGTTTATAAGTTGGAAAACTACAATTATCGCGCATGAAGTTAAAACAAACAAGGGTTTAAATCACAGATAACTCTGCAGAACGACCCATCGACGTGATGTTGCAAGGTCGAGCCGTCGTCTACCAAAATGGCACACTGGGCTTCCACGAGCTTGAAGTGGAGGACAGCGGAAGCTACACTTGCACCGCCGACAATGGTGTGGCGCCGGTTCTCAAGAAGACCGTCTCGTTGAAGATCCACGGTGGGATATTCTCGGATTGCATTTTAGTAACTAAGAATCATCGCTGCTTTCCTGGACCGTCTTCAAATTTTTATCAAACTCATACTAGCAATCGTTTTCAAAGACAACGTCCTGCTATACACGTCTGCAAGTCCGGTCTCAGGGCGCCGCCATCTTTCCCCGTGGGGTACGCTCTTCGGCGCGGCCGTAATCCGATTACGACGCCTTAGCAAGGCTTCGTAATCGGGTTATGGCTCGTCCAAGCGCACCCCAGCCAAGCAAGATGGCAGCGCCCTGAAGCCGTGCTTGCAAACGTGTATATAAATAACGCTTTCTGCCCTTCAAACGGGTACAAAAATTACTAATGTGTCCTGTGGACGTACATTAGCGGGCTTCTTTTCTTTTTCTTTTTCAAAATATAATTGAGGTTACGAACACCGCTAATTTTTTCTCAAAAGAACTCAAACGCGCGAACGCTTCCTATCGATGACGTATTTACATCTGCCTGTGGTAGCAACGCTCGACGATATGTGGCGCAGCCTGTCCGAGACTCAGGTCTATGTCGGCGTCCCTGCCTAAGCGCCATATTACTTGTAACTTGACTATGCCTTGTCAAAGAGGCTGGTCGGGGGTGTTTGAGAGGCATACGCTTTGAATGTATCATTAGAAAAGTATACCCGTGCTTCAAGGCTAGACTTTGGCTCCCTCATTACCACAATGAAGTTAGCTCTGGTCCTTTCCCTCCTACAATTTGGCGTCGTCAAGAGCGCTAAAGGTGAGTAACTTACCGGAACAGAAATAATTGCTTCTTAAGAAATGCAGCACTCGTCTAAAAGTATCTGTTTTGTACCACAGTGACTCCCAAGGTGCACCCGTTTTCATTCCTGGGAACCGCAAAGCCGGGCAACAATGCACGTACGACTTGCTTTTTGGTGGAAGGTGACACTCCTGTAACTTTTACTTGGCTCCGAAACGGCGTTGACGCGTCAACACTGAAGAATGTTCACGTCCAGACCCAAACTGATTTCTCCGTTCTGTCAATCAATCCTGTGGATGCCAGCAGCTCGGGTAACTTCACGTGCATTGCCAAAAACAGGGCCGGCTTCGACAGCTTCACGACATACCTCGATGTTGAAGGTAAATCCTACTCTGGAACTACTACATGAGATGTGACTTAATCACGGGTGCGAGTTGCAAATTTGTACTCCCACGCTGTCAAAAACATAGTTGCCCTCGAAGTACGGTTCGCATAGAGAACAGTGCAGAGTAGGATACGTTATAAACGTATTCCACGAAACTCGTAGTTCAGTGCGCGTGTGAACGACATGGGGTTATAGTATATCCCACGAGCATGCTTGGCAAAACTCCATTATGATTTAATGACTATTGATATCTTAGAATGCATGCTACATTTCCTCTAAAAAAAAAAAACAAGCTAACACGCTTCATGTTGTAGGAGAAGCGCTAAAGTATACTAACTCACACTCACACCAGAAAAACGGTCACTCACGTCAGCGCGACGTGAGTGACCGTTTTTCTGGTGTGAGTGTGAGTGTGAGTGAGTATAATTTAGCGCTTCTCCTACAACATGAATATCCAACTCGCCCAAGCATCCCTTCTAACACGCTTCATCAAGAAAGGGTCGCGTTCTATAATAATTGAAGGCTTACGTTTCTTATTAATCTGGAAAAACAATTTCAACTGATGAAATCGTTATCCGGATGCTTCTACTTTCAAGCTTCACCAGAATGGAAGCACGAACCACAAGACACTGGAGGAGCCCTCGGAACGGAGTTGACCTTACTCTGCTCTGCTGCTGGATCGCCTCTTCCAAAGATTCAGTGGTACAAACTGAAAAGTAAGTGGAGGCCTGTGCTCACTGAAACAAAGACCGGTTGTTATGATAATAATTTCTAGATGTTTTGCTCCACAGCAAACAGTGAGCGCCAACTGAGCAAGAAGATAGTTCGGCACCAGTCGGCAGCCCATCCCAACGGCACCTTGGTGCTGTCGAATCTCGACATCAACGACATGGGACAGTACATGTGCGAGGCGGACAACGGCGTCGAGCCTTCCCTCAAGAAAACCATCACAGTCAGAGTCAACGGTACGGGTAAAACGACGAGTGACTCCTTCATGAAACGTTAATACGGAATGCAACATCGCTTGGCGGAATTCACGGTTTTCAAAAGGCCACAATGGACGAGTAACACCAAGCTCGTCCGACATGCGGCGCCCCATGTCCAGAACTGGAAAAGACGCCCGATACCCCGGAGTACGCCTGTACGAGAATGGCTTCCACATAGAAGCAGTGACGTAGCGAGAACGTTATAGAAGCCTTCTACACAAAGTCGCTTTCGTTCCCAATAATGGTTTCACAAGCAGCATGTTCCCCGCGTTGTTCATTTCGAGCCTTTGCTCAGCGGTCGTTTATCTTCTTGTGGGTTTTGCTCTCACGACGCTGCTCGGCCAAAGGTAAGCTTTTTGTTTGCTCGTTTTTCGATTTTCAGCTATTGCAGTTGAATTGCCCCCGCCTTATAAACGTCTAATTGGTGACGTTATTTTCCAGAAGTACCGGAAATACGACCCTTTGCTTTCCCTCCAAACCTCCGTGTCGGCGAGAAAGCCCTCCTAACGTGTCACGTAACCTCGGGCAGTCAGCCGATAACTTTCTCGTGGCTCAAGGACGGAAACACGATGGCAGCAAACCAAGGAATCCGTCTCAGATCAGAGTCGGAGTATTCGGTCATGCTGATGGAGTCCGTGCACCCGACTCACGTTGGTAATTACACCTGCATCGCCAAGAACAAGCATGGCTTTGACAGCTTCACGGCAGTCCTCGAGGTTGAATGTAAGCTGCGAAATCGTTTTTTCGCCGTTTTATTTGTTAATGCTAATATTTAGCTTTACTGTTGTGTAGCATCTTATATGCCTATGCATGACTTCTGCCATAAAACAGAGTCCAGAATCAGGCATATTGTTAACAACTAATCTGTTCTGCATAATACTTCTCAGTCTTCGGTTCTGTCATTGTGTGAACTGACAGTGTGGTTCCGCATGTGGTGCCTGCGATGTTTACTAAATATAGGAAAATATGTAACAAAATACAAAAACAACATATATATCAGGCACGTAGCCAGGGGGGTGGCCCATGGGGCCCGGCCCCCCCTCCCAAAAAAAAAAAATCTTTTATTTTTTTGGGGATTCCTTTCCCCCCTTTCCCTCATACAACATTCTGTCATGGGCGGGCCCCCCCCCCACCCCCCCCCCCCCCCCCCACCCACCCGGAAGAAAATCCTGACTACAGGCCTGATATATATATATATATATATATCAGTGAGGGTGTCCCATTGATTTGTCGTGTCCCTTACTGTTCTTGACTACCATCTCATCTCACTTTTTAAAGGCACGTACTTGTCCCTTAAATGCTTTGCCTTCTGTTTCTTCCGATTCAGCGGCACCCACGTGGAAAGGATTAGCGCGAGACAAGTCAGTCGACTGGAACAAGACGCTCCAACTGGACTGTCCTGCCGTCGGCTATCCGCAGCCGAAAGTGAGCTTCAAGAAAAAAGCAGGTACGTCACATGCTCGATTTTACACATCCAACTAACACTGACCAATGTACGTTCCGAAAGTAGCACTCGCTAAGACAGAACGTTCATTCGTCTTTCAGGCAAAAGTGAACAGGAATGGGTAGACATCACTGGACCTGGGCATTATACCATTCACCGAAACGGATCCCTCGTCATTCATCAAGTCGAGCTTGCCGACGCCGGCAGCTACTTGTGCGAAGCCCACAATGGCGTACTACCAAATGCCCGCCACGTTGTGAGGATCACAGTCAACGGTGAGCGAATATCACAACACTGTCGGTTATTTAGATATCCAGAAATATTGACAAGACAAAATAAAACACGCTTTATTCCGGAAACCTCAGCAACAGACCCTTGTTCCTGGTACAGGTCTTCAGATAGCAAACCAACATTTTATTGTATCACAATTTTCTGAGATAACGTCGTCGTTTGCGACCTTCCCACCATAGTTCAATGCATCGCTCTGCTCAGTCTTTAATATTTTGACGAAGCTGGAGGTCGGCCATAATGGGCTGGCTAAAGCCCTACATTTGATGTTTCAGCACCGTTCGCCATCCGTTCTACAAATAAAAAAAAATACATATCTAAATTCAAACGCTAGTGATTATGGCTGGCTACACCAGAACCGGCACAAGTACGCAAAAGTCACGTATTCCTCTTTTTCAAATGCGCGGTTTCAAATAGGGCTTCAATATGTAGTTCCGCCCCTGCACGATGAGTGTCGCTAAGAGTCCACAAACGCGAAGGCCCTCGCACTCCCATCGTCCACCAGGAGTAACACTGCCCCACAACGCAAACATGGCCACCACTAAAGACAAGAACAACGTCGCCGCCCGTTCGCTTCTGTGCTGTGTTCTGCCAACGGTGAAATGTGTGTGTAATATCCATGCGATGCTCGAGGAGAGGTAACCACCTCTGGAAAACACAACAAGCGAGTGACAGTGAAGGAACGTACCCCGTGACTCACAAACTCCTAAAAGCGGTTCCATGATGAAGCCAACCGTTGTCTTCAGCATCGCTCTGGCGCTTGTGAGTAGCGGATCGAAAGCAGGTGGGTGTATGGTGGACGACTCGCCTAATCATGAATCAGTGTGCTAAAGGACACCACACGCAACTTATGATATACCATATTTCAGCGCCCGCTGACGTCCCAAGGCTGCAACCTTTCAGCTTTCCCCCAACGGTTAAGCCGGGGTCCCGGGTGTTGGTGGCCTGTACCACGACGTCCGGAGGAAGTCAGGTCACTCTATCGTGGCTGAAGGACGGGAAAGACATAGGCAGTGCAAAAAATGTCTTCGTCGAAACGAAGCGGGGTGCCTCAATGATTATCGTCGAACCAGTGGAAATATCTAATGCCGGGAATTACACCTGCATCGCCAAAAACCGAGCTGGTTTCGACAGCTTCACAGCAACGCTTGACGTTCAAGGTAGGCACTGAACGCTTCAATAATTATGTCAGACAAGTAGGCAGAACCACGTCGTTTAATCACTAGTGAAATATAAAAAGCGCTGCTTAACAAATCTATATCTATAGCCTATTTAGCCAGTATTGAATTCACTCAAAATAAGCATAATAGTAATTGTGGACGTTACCTTGAACCCATGCTTCTGCGACGCAAATAATAATGGCTCAGTGACTCGTTGCTTACGTATAGTAGAAATTATTTAGGTATTGCAACAGATGTTTTGCTTTCTTGGCTTAGCAGGTTCAATTTGTTTGTTCCAGTGTACTGTATCATTCGTTGGCCGTCTGTTTTCTAGCGCCTCCTTCCTGGAAAAAAAGACCCGAAGATCTTCGAGTAAACATAGGCGAACGGGCTGTCATCTACTGCTTAGCCACGGGATCCCCAACGCCCAAGATAAAATGGAAAAGACAGCGGAAGCCAAATGAAAAAGGTGCCCGTCAACAATATCACTTCCCAGCTATCCCATACCATGCCCTCTCACCGCAGTTCTTTAGCGAGAAAGTTTGATTATCCCCCCAAAGATATTCCAGCTCCATCCACTCTATTCAATTCCTTTTTTTTCTTCTTGTACGCATGTTTTTTTGTTTTTGTTTTTCTTACATTCAGTCCTTGGGAACATCTAGAGAACCAAGCCATGATGTATAACCTTAGAATCCTGAACTCATAGATCTAGGTTGTTTTCCTACGCAAAATATCCAGGGAACCAAGCAATGCAAAACCTTAGAACCCCGAAGTTTTTGCTCCAGGCTGTTTTCCTATGCAAACTAGTTACAACGTAACCCAAGCGCATATCGATCTCCATTCCACACGATCAACTTCTTCCTCGTCCTAAATAAATTTTCTTCTTTTGATCCGACCTGCAGGTGTTGAAGCCAGATGGGAAGATATAAAATTTTCAAACCTCGTCAGGCCGCACGAGAACGGAACTCTCGTTCTAGAGGAGGTCTCCACGGCAGATGAGGGACAGTACACCTGCGAAGCCGACAACGGCATGGCACCATCAGCCACGCTTACACTGTCTGTCACTGTGAACGGTAAGACAAATTAGTGACTTCAAAACTACTCGAGCTTTCCTCCACACAAAACGTTGCACAACTATCAATTACAAAGGCCTATAAGCAAACCATGGTTGTCTCTCATCGCAAATAGGGTCGGGACCAGGAAACTCACAACGCCAGCCAACAGAACGCGAATCACCAAATCACAATCTGCATTCAATAACAGTTCTACATCACAAAAAGAAAAAATCAAAGGACTTCTTTTTCCGCATTACCTGCGTTGTGAAAGCTCTCATTCACAACACTTTGTACTAGAAACCCGCGATCTCCCTCTTGGGTACTTGGTGCTAAGTCAAGGCATCGGTTGCCCAGTTTCAGTGGCCGCTCCACTCGTTCCTCAAAATTGGTACGAGTATGCTTCGTATCTGAGCCTCACTAATAGCTCCATTTGATTATTTAACTTGATGTATACCACATACCGACTGAAGAACACAAATTACGTCAATAAGACATTTTCTGACGGCGTCTACTCTTTCCTTCGATTTCGCTCACCAGTCTCCATTGAACAACCTCGCGATCCTTCAACTTAATGTGCCAAAGATCAAGAATAAGTAGTCTAAGAAAAACCTAGGAACAGAAACTTGTACCTAACCTTGTTACACGACAACCACAATGGTGCAATATTTCGCGTTCTAAATGCGCGCTTCTAAAGATACTTCCCGAACCTAGTTTCGCGTTTTCACGATGTGTGTCGCTAAGTGTCCACAATGCTGCAAGCAACAAACGTACACCCGACATCCCCCGGGAATGGGCAATGCACAATATAACAACATGGCCGCCAACACAGGCAGGAACGGGCACTTCTTGACCGCGATGGAGTGGGGAGAGCAAACCGTTCATGCCACTGTGAAAGCTTAATAGCAGGGGTATGCAACGAACATAGTGAATACCACCGTGTAATCAGCAACATCGACGACTCTTTTCCACGATGCAGCGAACCGTTCTTCTCGCTATTACGCTGGTGTTTGTCTACAACACGTCGAAAGCAGGTACGTTAACTTTCGGTAGGACAGTCGCTATATAGGTGCTCCCAGAAGTCACACAGTCGGTCTTGCGTATAATATCTGTTCCAGTCATGGCTGAGGTGCCAAAGTTGCAGCCGTTCAACTTTCCTCCGACCGTGAAACCAGGATCACGAGTATCGGCAATGTGCTCCATTACGTCCGGGGGAAGCCAGGTCACTCTATCCTGGCTCAAAGACGGCAAGGATATCAGCAATGTTAAGAACGTCGTCGTGGATACCAAGCGGGGTGCCTCACTTATTTTCGTGGAGCCCGTGGAGATTTCCAACGCTGGAAACTACACGTGCATTGCCAAGAACAGAGAGGGTTTTGACAGCTTCACGGCGTTCTTGGATGTTCAAGGTAAGGCCAGCCACAAAACCGAAAAATGCCAGTAATTTCCATGAGTATCTGTAAACAGGAATGCAGACAGCTTAATGTGTATGTGTGTTTCAGCCCCTCCGTCATGGAAAAAGAAACCCGAAGACGTTCGGGTAAACATAGGTGACCGAGCCATCATTGAGTGTCTCGCCACCGGATCGCCCGCGCCGAAGGTGAAATGGAGGAAACAACTGAAAGGTAAGCGAGCGTAGGTTACTGGCGCTAAACAGCAGAATACGTCTAAGCATTACTTTCGTCAAAAGGCGCTTTGGATTATTATGATATATTATAAACAGGACCATACTTTAAAAAAAACTCAAAAGAAGAATACGTCTAAGTATTACTTTCGTCAAAAGGCGCTTTGGATTATTATGGTATATTATGAACAGGGCCTTACTTAAAAAAGCGAAATCAAAAAACAAACAAAAAAAAAACGATGCGTCCTTTGATTAATATATATTTAACTAAACACTGTTGCCCATGAGAGTGCGTACCTCCGGAGCATATTTTATCCAGCGAAACGAGTATATCCCTAGTGCACCGATATAGATATTTTTTTTTAGTTAACAGAGTAGCGAATTGGGCCAGGTCGTGCGAGTATAAACATTTTGGGAAGGATGGATCCATCACGCTTAATCAGTTCATGTATGTGTACTCGTTAATACGTCATTCAATTGCGCTGTCGTACAACGAACTTACCACCATTCCCTAAAACATTTTTTTTTTTACCCAACGTCGTAATATAAATGATATTTTATTTCCTTTTTTTATTTTTAAAAAGGGACGTCAATACTAAAATTGCTTTGCAGCTTTCAGTCCTGGCGTCCTCCTGTTCTTTTTTTTTCTTTTTTTTTTATATATAGCGTTGCATAGTCAGGGCAGGGCGTAGCACAGCCTACTTCACCTGACTTCAGCACTAGTGCATCATTATGACATGTCACAAACAGGGAACCGTCTATGGGTCACTGACCTGGGGATGTGAATGAGGTCAAAATAATATATTAATTTAATCCAGTTGTCTAAGGACCTGTACTCATCTCCCAACGAAACCCTTTCAGTCAGAACGTGGTATATCTCTATTTATCTCCAGATGTCGAAACTGGATGGAGAGACTTGGAACCTTCGGCTCACATCAAGATTCCTCACAACGGCACACTAATTCTCGAGGAGGTGACCACGGCTGACGGCGGGCAATACTCTTGCGAAGCAGACAACGGCATGTCACCGACCGCTGTACTTGCATTTTCCGTCACTGTTAACGGTGAGATAAAGTGAATGCTTTCTGAGGAGAATGGATTCTGGGGCACCTGGGTGGAATAATTTGCTCCGATCAAAGTCCTTGCGACATTTATCATATCTTTCCTACCAGGACTAAGAGACAGCTGTGAACTCAATGAACCCAACCTGAAACCCTGCAGACGCAGACATGTGTGTGTCTACCGGTTCTGCTTTTGGTTTGCTCTATTTTTTTTTCCTTTAGTTAGTTTAGTATTGCAAGGCCGGTACAACTACCTTACGAGGCACAAGGAAACGCATCACACTCAGATGTTCTCCCTCCATTCTATGCTCGATCTCACATTAATCCGGGAAACAATCGTTGACATCTGCATCCCGTTCGATCATGGTACTGAGCATACCCTTCAGCCTCCGCAAACATATATTGCAGCTTTTGGAATGCCCCAGTCAATATTATTGATAACAAATGTGCGTACTTGTCTCAAGGCACTAAAGATTTCCCGAGGTACAACAATTGCTTCATTGGGGTCGACAAAATAATTTTATGGCGTCCAATTGCACGCCGCTGTGCGGAAGCAATATTTCGTGATTCTAACCGCGCGGTTCGAAATGGTGTTTACCAGTGTAGTTCGCAGTTCTCACGATGAGTGTCGCTAAGAGTCCGGAGACGCGACAACTATCGCGTACACCCAACATGCACCAGGAATGATTCATCCGCCATGAAGCAAAACATGGACGGGATTGGAGGAAGAAACACTTTTTCCTCCGGTCCTGGTTTGTCCACCGTCATAAATGTAAGTTACACGCTATGGGAATCCAGCAAAGGTAGAGCAAATATGTAACGACTGTACTGCGGAAACGGAAAGCGATTCTGGAGTAACGGCTTAGTAAAAGCTCTTAAACATGACGGACATCGTTGCCTTCATCGTTGCACTGGGGCTCGTGTGGAACACGTCAAAGGCCGGTAGGTAGATTTCTCTTTGCACGTAGGCATGTATGAAAAGTGCTTAGCTAGGGTAAAGATGACATGCTTTTATTTTCAATGACAGCTGAAGTTCCAAAAGTACAGCCTTTTATGTTTCCCCCGACCGTCAAACCTGGATCCCGAGTGTCGGCGATGTGTTCCACTACGTCGGGGGGAAGCCAAGTAACACTGTCCTGGCTCAAAGACGGCAAGGACATGAGCGGCATGAAAAACGTCGTCATCGACACAAAGCGAGGATTTTCCGCCATCCTCATCGAGCCAGTGGACATATTTAACGCCGGCAATTATACCTGCATCGCCAAGAACCGAGCCGGCTTCGACAGCTTCACGGTCTTCTTGGACGTTCAAGGTAGGAATACTGTAAGCTGAAGCTCGGGAGGATGTCAGCAAGCGCCCTCTTGCGCAGGCTTGTATAAACTGTTGTTATTTATTTATTTTATTTTATTGCAGCGCCTCCTTCTTGGAGAAAGAAGGCAGACGATGTTCGAGCGAACATAGGAGACAGAGCTATCATCGAGTGTCTGGCTACTGGATCGCCAACACCCAAAATAATATGGAGGAAACTGCGGAGGGAAGGTAATGAAGTTCGAATTCACTCCATAGTCCTACACGTCGAATGACGCGCCTTGTTGTCACAAGTTAATCGTTTAGAGCGATTTAGGACAACCTATGCTGCCCGCGAAACACTGTACCTCGCTTCAATAGACCCTTTTTGAAAATTCAGTGCCATCGGCTTAAAAAGCAGTTTCACTTTAGACAATCTAATGGTGGTCATGAAACTATTTCATCAGGCACCGTCATTTGCGCACGTCAATGGAAGACGATAATTGGTTCTTCGATCACCTCATCATTGTTTCTTGATTTGTTTGAGTTTCGATGGTGCGAATAAAGGAAGTGACCAGTACAAGGCGGCGCTCCATTAACACGACGATTAAATCTCCTCCATCAAAAGGCTTTATAATCAAACTTGTGCCAAAACACTGATCACACAACATTCCGTAAAAAACGCTTATGCCGCTGCTGTACGTAACTTGTGCGTCGTGGTGCGCTGACGTCTCGAACATACAGGTCCCGCATATCCTCTACTTGGCAGCATATTCAACTTCTTCCTTCTTCAGGCTAATCAGGCTCAAGAAGGCCGCTATTAGTTTGGCACAGATGCCATACACGTAGATGATGATAGCGATCAAAGTTGCCAGAACGAATTTCGAAAAGGACCGATTTATTAAGTCCGAGCGCATCAAACGCTACGAGACAATTAGGCTGATCAAGCAATGCCAAAGACGCAACTTCATATCGTTCTTCGTCTTTCTGTGCACCTGTTATATTCGGCTAAACCTACCAAGCGTAGTAAACCTGCCGTGACCATGTGCATTTAGTGTGCGCCTGTGTTCGCGTGTTTCTAGTCTTGAACAGAGAAATCGGCACGTGTTTCTAGTCTTTGAACAGAGAAATTGATACCAAAACAGCACTATTTAGGGAGAAAAACAAGACAGTGTATGGTCGCCTACATCGCCGATAATGTCACAGTTGGCAGTTGCTAGTACTGCAGAGGGTACGAGAAGTGGCAAGCACTTGATTTGCAGTTCTAAGTTGTTCTTGTACGACGCACACATAAAAATGCCGTACAGTCGTGGGAGCATTACTGGAATCCAACTAATCATTTAAGATTAAGCAAAATAATTATGTTATTTCTAAAGTGAACATTCAACCACACTTCATCTGCAGATGTCGAAGCTGGTTGGACAAACCTGAAATCGTCAAGCCTCGTCCAAGTACACGGGAACGGAACGCTTATCCTCGAAGAAGTCTCCGCGGCCGATGCCGGACAGTATTCGTGCGAAGCCGACAACGGCATGGTACCAACGGCCACGCTTACATTTTCGGTCACAGTAAACGGTAAGCCAGGCGACAGATCTGAGACAACGGTTCACCGGTGATCGACTAATTAAAGAGAGCACCACCCGAGCAAATGCCCTTTTGGAACGCATTTTATTTATTGTGCTGTACATACTTTAAGGTCAAACTCAGTGGACCTCCCTTTTGTATCCACCCTTTACAGAATTTCTCTAAAGGATAGTGTATAGAGGCTATATATTCGCGACTCCAGCAAAACGGACGCCGCCAAGCGGGAAAACCGGGAACCAGCCGGTCCAGGTCGCTCCGCGCCCCTCCGCGTCTCTGATGGCTTTCGCGGAGACGTGTTGTCGGCGCGGTGGCGAACGATGTAATTTGACGAAGGTCCGAATATTTCTTAAGTTTGCCTGAGTGATCATTAGTGTGGCGAAGCCTCAGTAGATTGTTTTCTTCTATTACGTGTTTGAAAGCCCGTTTACTCCACAGCACACGGTCGCGTGCTTTCGATTTCTTGGATGGGGAGGAATCACGGAAAAACTTTTTGATTTCTTGTCTGTCTCGAATCACATTCAAAGTGACGACTGCTTGGTAACTGATACTGGAGGAAACACCAATGCTGCAGTCAAATGAATGGGAAGGTTCGATAGCTGTTTTTCTTGAGTTTGGTTGCGTTCGGTTGGCTTCAAGTTTGAGCCACCCACGCCGGTCTGTGCGTTGGCTATTCATCTTGGCTGCTTTTCGCCGAAAAAGCCTCTGGACCACACTGAAGGAGTTGGGCTGATTTCGCAATTGCTTGATTCGGGAAAACCTGCTCGCTGCATACGATTAACGAGGGAAATTATCCGTTTTAAAAGGTGGGGGACGAGTTTCGCGACGTTAGAAGCTGTCACGGCATTTTGATCTATCGCGCCTCCCAATATTTATATTATACCCCCGTCAAAGCCAGCAGCAATATCCGTTTACAATACTCAGGTTGACCGGCCACAAAAAATACTCATTTTCTCCGTTCAGGATTCGAAGCAAAGTTCAATGCAGAGAGGTTCTGCGTGAATTTCCGATGAAGACTCTCTTCAGTTTGTCTTCGTGCTGCCGGCTAGAACTATATGGCTGAGTTTAGGTAGCATCTCTCTGTCTGTCAACTATACTTTTATCCAGCAGTTCACCTTATAGCTAGTCAACTAAGCTCATATTTCAACCCAAAGAATATACTAATATCGCTTTAGTGGGACATAGTACGTAATATAATACATAACCCGCTCGTCAAAATGACTTCTCGATTGCTACTAAAGCCTGAATTGAAATACGAGTATCAGCTGCTTAGTGGGGCGCCGGCGGGTTAACCTGGTCCTTGGCTCAAGAAGCGGTTGCTTAATTTTCGTAATTTTCCTGCAGCCTGTGTTGTTGGCCGAGCAGACTGGAGCTGTTTTGTAAACACGGATACGCACAAAAGCTCGATTTCGCGGACAGATAAGTCGCATAGTCGAGGCATGCGAGTTAGCTGTAAAGCTACTCTCTGTGGAACAATTCTATAGTAATCGCCGCTTTCCTTAGATGCTCAAAACTGATTAGTATATTACCGTCCCTCCGGAGCCCATAGTTTCGGTTTTGAACGAAATCTCCGAAACGAAAGTTTGACACGAAAAGAACAAAAAAACACCGGCAAAACAAAACTATGCTTTGCAAGTTTATCTGCACCGGCTACACTTAACCGTCTCAGTTCAAATACCTATAAAATTGGGCATTAAACAAACGAAAATCTGTTAAATTGAACGCGCCACCTGTTCAGGCGGCCCGGCCGAGCCGCCGCGACCTGGACTCAGCCGCCATGTTTGTTTGGTGGGGGCGCCCCCTATAGGTCGCTGGAGTCGCGAATATTCTGAAGAAGATGTATTCACTTTCCTATCCACAGTCATAGCCTTTTTGACGTTTTTTCTGTAACTTCCTATGAAAATTTGTGAATAGAGAGTTGATAAAAACTGTATGAAACACGAAAAGAGACTCTAACGGCACTTCTATTTCCCTTCTAACGGAAATAAAACGTTTGCGAGAAACAAGAATTAAATTCAGAATACTATTTTTAGATTCTTCACAATACATTCGCGGAAATATGCACTCGCCACTTGCCGTGTGCATATATGCAGACATCACAAATATATATGCCATTCATATAATTACACATCTAACACTAATAACTGAGTTGTGTTGACTGCTCCATCGCTATATATACCCTACACTTGAAAGGCAACCATTTGAAGGAGGACGATCCTGCAGAAGATAAAAATGTCACATGTCCATTTAAGCGCCGAAAAACAAGGACGAAGTTAATAACTACGACGATACAAGGCGCACTCGCAACTGGAATTTTATTTGAAACACATTGAACCATTAGCATAAATACCATTATAAAAAAATCAAGATGCCTATTTGTGCCCTAAAAATAAAAGTTCCTTATCTATCAAGTCCAATGAAGGCGCTTACACACTTATCAGGACCCCGTGTTTGATTACATATGCCTCATAAATTTCTCTTATAGCTTCTTTTTTTTTTTTTGTCGCCAAAGGATCGCTGCGCAGGGAAAACGAGGAGTGCACTCACATCAGTCGCTGTGAACTTCAACTTTAATTTTAACTAACTTTAGGTTCACTGCAACCCATGTGAATGCACTCCACCTTTTCCTGACACAACAATTCGGGGGCAATACAGAAAAAAAAAACGCTTTTTTAAATTGTATTTAAGCCAGTGCGTTTCAAATAAAACTTCAGTTGCGAGTGCGCCTTGCATTGTCGTCGTTCTTCACTTTGTCCTTGTTTTTTGGCGCTTAAATGTAAGTAATGAACTAACTATCCCAACTCACCTTTTTGTTTCTATCTTAAGTATATTGCTATTTTCTCGCCAAAAACGTACACAATATCTGTTGTATAGGGGTTGGTGAACTGCATCTCCAACTATAAACCATTGCAAGAGGCGAGAATTTTTTGACACGGTCGAAAAATGCACCCTTTACAAGAAGGCTTTAACTGGGTATGATGTCGCCCCTCCGCACAGCATTTTATAATTCTATCGAGTTTAGTCTACAAAAATTCTACAGAAATATGGTGACAGAAAATCTACGGAGACGTGGTTACAGAAATCATATAGCGTTTCTGTCGTCTTTACTTTATAAATTCTATAGAAAGTCTATTGAAAAATGCGAAACGACGTGACTGGATAGGAAGTAGAAAAAGCCCTTAAAATGGGGATATGATTTCTATAGACTGCCTAATGTTGTATTTATTTATTTATTTATTTATTTATTTATTTTTATTTAGTGTTTTTTTTTTTTTTTTTAGTTTCAGGGTCACGAACGTTCTGTAGCTTCTTCCTTGGAATGCTCAAGATAATGTATTTTGCTGTATATATATATTCAACCATATTTGTTGACACCTAATTGTGGTAAGTCAACGCGCTATTCGCGGTGTGTGCATATGTCTGCGTGAGTGACTGTTTTTGCGTGCAAGCTTATACCAAGGTCCCGCAGTCGAACGAAAGACATAATGATGCAAAATCCTTTTAATAAGAATCTATCACTTTCTACGGGCATCGTGCTATAGTCGCTCTTTATTTGCAGCACTCGCTGCATGCGTATGGACTGCGTTGTCCCGCTCTAATCTACAGCTTGCTTCAGCAACAAAAGATGGAAAGTATACGACCACCAGAGATTCTAGGGTTTCATCATAACATGTCTCCGCAAAATGAACATAATTCCGAATTTCTAAATCCGCGGCTCTATAAAGCGCATCGAAACGTAGTTTCGCCATTTCACGAGGAGTGTCGCTAAGAGTCCACGAACGTGGCAAATGCCGTGAATGCCCGGCATGCACCAGGAATGAACAATGTTCCGCCGAAAAACATGGACGGCAACACCGAGATGAGCAACGTTCTTTTCGGGGTGTTTTTATACGATGTTCAGTCTTGTAGGTGCAAGGGCATATAAGTGCAAGTCTGGTAGAGTCTATGCCAACAGCAATATCCAGCAATATCAAGTAGAACTACGGGGTTGTAATGCCGACACAAGACACAGCTCATTGAATTCTGTTGCTACAGCGCAAGATGAAGCCGTACGGTGTCTTTGCTTTCGCGCTAGTGATTGCGTGCAAGACACCAAATTTAGGTAAGTGCATCTTTTTCTTCTTTTTTTTTTTCAATAGATTTATATAAAAAAATATTTAATTTTCAAAACTAAGTTTTCAAACTGGTATTTTCAGTCGCAACCGAAGTACCAAAGCTGCAGCCAGTTATATTTCCTGCGACCGTGAAACCCGGGTCCAGAGTATCGGCTGTCTGTTCCACGACGTCGGACGGAGGACAGGTGACGCTGTCCTGGCTTAAGGATGGCAAGGACATAGGCAGCATGAAAAACGTCTTCATCGACACGAAGAGAGGCACGTCTGTTCTTATTGTCGAGTCGGTGGAGATTTCCAATGCCGGAAATTACACCTGTATCGCCAAGAGTCGGGCGGGATTCGACAGCTTCACAGCGTTTCTGGACGTTCAAGGTAAGGCCCATATAAAGTTCAGAATGGGCTTCAGTTATGAAAGCAACCCATGAGCGGAATTTTCGATGCCTAACTTTGTTCTTATTTTCTTTCAGCGCCACCGTCTTGGAAAAAGAAAGCCGAAGACGTCAGGGTAAACATTGGTGATCGAGTCATAATTGAGTGTCTTGCTACTGGATCTCCAACACCCAAGATCAAATGGAGAAAGCGCACACAAGGTGAGAAAATGTGTACGAAGCATGTCGCTTTCCAAAACGTACGCGCGGGTCCGACCATCACTCGCCCCCCGCATAGCTTTAATCTAAGCGATTGCCGCATTGTCTTGTGCGCAGATACCGAAACCCGATTGGCAGATCTGGCACCTTCGAGCAATGTCAAGATATACGACAACGGGACCCTGGCTCTTGAAGACGTCACCACGAATGATGGCGGAGACTACTCCTGCGAAGCCGACAACGGCATGGCACCGTCCGCCACGCTAGAATTTTCAGTCACAGTCAACGGTGAGACATATGCGACCGATTCAGCATCATGCAATCAGAACACTGAAAGATATACCACGTCTAGAGACATCGTGTGCCTGTCTTATATTAATGCGAAATCTTTGGTAATGCCTTTGACGGGAGCTAGACACACCAAGAATGAAGTCGGTGTCCCGAATTCGGGGACACCCAATAGCCACATACATTTTGCTAATAAACCGTGCGCGAGTACTCAAATCAACACGATATCCCTACACGTTACAGAAGTACCGCTACACGAAGTACCGTGATAAATCGTGCACCTTAAGTGCTTAAAAATTTTGTTATTAAGTTTAAGTACTTATTATTACACCACGTGAACGTCCAAAACATTTTCCATGAGCCCCCTCCCCTCAGTTACACGAATAATTTTAGTGAAAGACTTGCGCTGTCCCGAGGTATTGTACCTGTTCTCTTTTCCGCAGTTCGTCATATATGATGTGAACTGTTCCGACCTGTTTCAGCTAGCCGTTTGTTTCGAAATAAACAAAACAATTACAGTCATAAAGAAAAGGGTACCAGATAGCTCCCGGTTGCGTATTTGGAAAAGCTTCTGGGATAAGTCTAACGGCCGACTTCGGTTCTCTGGTTGGCGCGTTTTCATGGACGTCGCATCAGCTAGCTTACAAGGGGTGAGAGGAGGAGGGGGGGGGGGGGGGGGCGAAGCTTGATAAACACACCTCAGTGATTTACACACTAGCCTTTAGCCCGCCTCCCAGATTTGCCTATGCTTATCGGGTAAGCAAACCTGGGAGGTGAGAACAAGGCTAGAGCGTGAATCACTGAGGTGTGTTTACCTAAAAGCAGCGATTATTTCGACGTCTATTGTGAAAATAACATAACCATTATTTTGATGTTCGTTGCGCTACTTGAAGACGTGAAACTATTTTTCAAATAACTTTAACATCCACCCTTAAAATATTTACTGCACTAGTTTGACGTCTCCGGTAAACATTGCCACCAAAAACTGACCAGAGTTTGGACTGAGCTTCGGACTGAAAAGCGATCGAAAATGGCGATCAAAAAAATTATTACCCTGCTTGCGATTCGCGTCGCACATTCTTCCAACAACATATGTGTCAATCCAATCGACTGCAATTTATATAACAAGATTTGTTTAAAAAATCGCGCGATTCCAAGTAACCTTGCCAAACTACAACTCAGCTATCAGGCCACGCGTCAGGTCTGTTTGGTAGTACTGAACTCAACGTCACCAAATGCCTGATTTATTTCACGTTATGTATAACAAAGGAGAGGAGTTCTTAATCACTTCAAAAATCGGAACATTTAGTAGTCGAAAAATGCGTTGCCAAACTGGTTTCACCGCGGCTTGCACTGGTCCAGAAACATCGAGGAAGCAATGTTTGTATTCGTAACACTTCATTTAACGTCCTAATCGTTTAGAAGCCGCCCCAGACCTTCATACACGAACTAAAAGAAAACCTAAACGAAATGACGAACAGAAAAACCAGATGCAAAGCGAGTCCGGTGAGATTGGCATCCGTTTAAAGACGCACTCGCACCATATAGTGGAGGCGTAGATGTACAAAAACACATTCAAAACTATCAGTGCCACGTAGTGCACGCACTTACGTTTGTTACGTTCAGACTAGACATATAGATGGGATATCCAGGTTGCCCTCGTTGTGGGTTAAAAATTTTACCTAAGAGTACCTGCTGAAAAGACTTGCTAGAGCACAGCACCGCCGTCGGGCGATGTCACTGTCACGTCTGAAGGGGATCGTTAATCTGTCGAGCACGCAGGCACACACTCGCTGAATAAGACATACCCAGGGTCAAGTAGGACCGAAGCTTCTTATGCATGCGACACAGCGACACGTGACTCCGTCAATACAACACCATCCACAACCAAATAGAACGAAACAATTACCTCTGCAGCCAGAGTGGTGACGGCTACATTGCCGGCATAGCATAAATGACGGGAGACGTCAAAATAATAAAACCGCTATTTTGACGAAGGGCGTCCTAATATTTAAGTCGTTATTTTGACGGGGGACGTCAAAATATTAAATAAATTTGAAGTTATTTTGATGATTTACGTCGAAATAGTCACTGTCTTTCCTAACTCCCCCCTCCCCCTTCCTCCTCTCTCCTTCCGTAAACCAGGCGATGTGACGTCCATGAAAACGTGCAAATCAGAGTGCCCGAATTGGCCTGTTCACTTACTCCACGGGCTTTCCAGACTACGCCAACCGGTTTCGTCACAGCGTAGGCGCATATACCAGCAACGTCGTCCGCCATTTCTAAATTCGCGGCTATAAATACCACTTCCCAGCATGGTTCTGCACACTCACGATGAGTGTCGCTAGGAGTCGGCAATCGTGGTTCACACTATATATATTCACCACGTACCGGATATTGCAAACCTTCAATGGAAAACAGGAACGGCAATGCGGAGATGAACAACGCTTCATTCGGTTCGGTTTGGCCAGGTGTTTGATTCAACACTAAACCGTGATCCACTAAAATTACTCTTGTGTGAACGTAGACGGAACAGGCAACGAGCGTGCTACTGAAGCAAACACCGCCCTTGAAACGACTGCTTCCTCCGAAGCCCTCCAATATGAAGTGGAGTGTTGTTCTAGCAATTGCGCTAGCAATTCTGTACAACACATCGAGCGTATACACTATAGGTAAGTGCATTTGTTCTACACTGTAAACGAAAATGAAACGTCCGAAAGCCGCCAAGATAACATTAACTAATCGTATTTTCAGTGTCGGCGGAAGTTCCAAGGTTGCAGCCCTTTGCCTTCCCATCGGACGTTAAACCTGGATCCCGCGTATCCACGTTCTGCTTGACTTCGTCCGGTGGAAGCGAGGTGGCACTGTCCTGGCTGAAGGACGGCAGGGACGTCGGCGACACGAAGAACGTTTTTGTCGAAACGAACAAGGGTCTCTCCACCATCCTCATCGACCCGGTGGATATTTCCAATGCCGGAAATTACACGTGCATCGCCAAGAACCGAGCTGGTTTTGATAGCTTCACGGCCATCCTGGACGTTGAAGGTGAGAAGCCACACCTCAATCTTGAAAGCAGACAGGGAGGAAATCCGTTTACACTTTCAATCTGGAATGTATACAAGGTGAATGTGCTACCAGAGAGGAGAATGTGGAGCGTGACGTTCATCATACAGGGCCGGCTAAACGACAGCTTTTATTCAAAACGAGTCGGGTCAAATGCTAATGGTGTTAGGTTTTTGGGAACGTCTTTAGGTTACCTCAAAGATTTCTCATTCCTTTTAAGTTTTGGTCTGATTACGCGTATCTATTAAAACACCGATTGAAACCGGCGCGCGCATACACGAGTGCTAATTTGAAATAACCTTCGATCTAGAGCCTCATTCTCGGGGGAAAAATGCCGAAGATGTTTGGGTAAACCTCGGCGAACGAGCCGTTATCCAGTGCCTCACTACTGGATCCCCGGCATTCAAGATCACATGGAAGAAACAGCGAAAAGGGGACAAAGGTACGAATAAACGACATCCCTTTATCAGGTTTATGCCCGTTTATCACGGCTCATCCGCACAGTCTGCCTCTTCTTCCTTGCCTAAGAAGCAGACACTGGAATTCTTTGATACCTAGTAAACATACGCTATGGGATCCAGGCCGGAAGGTGTTCAGCTGTCACCCTCAACCTGTACAAACACACCAATCACTAGAACATCGCTACTTTCGACTAAATGTGTCGCGTAATACGTGGTTCTGAATGACTTGAAATGAGATGTGACTATGGTACCCCTCATGTCGGTAGTCGAGAGGGGCCAAAGAGAGTTCGATACACTTTCCCCGACACATGCACCGAAGTCAGCACATTTCCGAATTTGACTTTGCTCCATACGCTTTATAGCATTGCGTCATTGTGTTGCTTCCGCCAACGCAACGCTGGTCCCCACTCTGAACGCCTTGGTTCTGTGTTTGATCAACGCTATAAGACGATCTTTTTTAACGTGCGGGTATAAGAACTAATTTAGTGCATGCGTATATTTCTGGTTTATGGACCATGATTACACAAATCACTCAGACACAGTTTTAAAATGTGATCAAATCGTTCAAGGTATTAACGTAACAGCAGCGTCTTGTGTGTGAATTATCCTCCCGAAACCTTACAGATTCGGAAGCCCGGTGGAAAGAACTGGAATCTTCGAACCTCCTCAAAGTATACGAAAATGGAACACTCGTTTTCGAGGAAGTATCTACGGCCGATGAAGGACATTACTCCTGCAAGGCCGACAATGGCGTGGCACCTCCGACCACGCTCGCATTTTTCATCGCGGTGAACGGTGGTAAGAGAAATAGTTGATTCCAAGGTTCCTAGCAATCAGTCAAACTGGTGTCCTCTGGCACAGAATGACAGCTTCCAGGTATTATGAAAGAGTAGATTGACTTCCACCTGATATGAAGTTCAATTCGCGCTCTCAGGTGGAAGTCAATATATTCCTTCTCCAGCTTGAGGACTTCCCCTAAAATCATGATATCAAGCTTCCAAGAATTGTAGCATGTACACATCTTATAACACAACTTGATTAAAGAAAATGTACATGCATATTTTACCTTACTTGATTCAACTGTACTAATACGTGTATTTCACTATTCAAATCTGGCACGTTTTCCTGGAACTAATATTTTTCTGCGCGTAATAGCACTTCTAAACGAGATGTGGCGCAGCCTGTCCGTCGTTCTGACCCTGCACCACGCACCGCCTAGATGCGAATTCGGGAACTAAACCCTATTTGGTTGAGGCGCCTGCAAAATGATAGCGAGGCAGCAAGATCCGCTGCATTTGTCCTGCCATTGAACAGCCAAGATTGCAAACTATACAATGACGAAGCTTGTCGCCTTCAACCGGTATCCTGGAATACATCACTGCCTACTTGTGCTTCTGTGTACCGACGCCGGAATCAGCTCAAGTAAGTAACCCTCGCTGGCGATTATAATTCTATATGTTCACCAATTCCGCTGATCCACAAATGCCAGTGTCGTATATCACTTCAGCCTTACTACACTCAATTTCGGAAACTTAGAAGGGCCATGTATAGCCGGTCTAAACTACTGGAGAAGTAAGCTGATGTCTGCATGGAGAAACTCTTAAAAAACATGTAAGGCTGCTGCGCGCTGGTAATACCCAACACACTAACCGGCGCTTTCGTCGCAATTTACTCGCAGCTCCTCCCAAGATACGACCCTTCTCGTTTCCCAAAGTGGTCAGCAAAGGAGAAAAAATAAGCGTCATGTGCCTCGTGAGCGAAGGCACACCACCGTTCTCCTTCTCGTGGTTCAAGGGAAGCGGCGAACTGGCCTCGGTTGGGAACGTGAGGATCACGGCGGACGTGGACTACTCGGTCGCCGTGATCAATCCCATTGACGTGAAGAGTGCGGGAAACTACACCTGTATCGTCAAGAACATTCACGGCTTCGACAGCTTCTCTTCTCTGCTCGAAGTCGAAGGTGAGACGTGTAACCCTTCAACATAACCGTTCAACATTAAAACAAAGAACAGCCATGCTTAATTTTCTACATTGTAAAAAAAAAAAGAGTCCGCACAACTTTTTTTTGTATTTAACATTGCAAATATATTGAAAAACATTAGAGAAAGTTCAAGATCCAATACGGTTTCTGAATAAGAACATTGAGCTCTGCTGCTACACAAGACATGGCACACTGCACAGTTAGTGTCCCAGCACGAATCTCATATCTGAACAAGAATGATTATCTTATACGCTGCTATTTTCTGTACCCAATCTATGCAAGGACTGGAAGGCTACCAGAAAGCCTTCACGAGGAGATATATCCGCGAGTCAAGGTTGGAGTAAACAGATCATTCTAAAATAACTATTCTGCTTGCCCACCGTCATCTGGAACCCCAACAAAGTATTGGACAGACAACAAATACTGTGGACGATAACGCTATCGCACCCGTGGCCTAGGTTCGCAAATATAGTGTTGTCGTCAAGGTCAAACAGAGAGGCAAATTCGCGAGTTTTGGTGCGTATAAATGAAATGTATAATTATTTTTTCAGCAACAATCGTTAGCAGTGTTTACTAATTAAATCATAGGCGATGATCAATAATCATTTGTTCTTTAGCCAAATGTGAGACACTGAATTGGTACATTACAGCAGTTACGGCTTGGAATGTTTGAAAGTCTGATTTTTGTTTCAATCCTTGTGACTTGTCATTAACTTTTATTAAAGTTTCATAATTTACGATACAGATTTCACAACTACATATTCCAATATGTTTCTATTACATGTGTGGTATAGAGAACAGAAATTCTGGAACCTCAATACACATCACGATCAAAGCTCCAGGGCTGGCAGGATTAACCAAATGGAACGATACGTCTAGCGGATATGACAGAGCAGTCGCTTATCCCGATGACTCTGCCATATCGAACTGTAAAAGCGATATATTAGTCAAACGCCTTGCAATAGCTTGAGGTTGCAAATAATTATTCACAAAACTCACCGCTTGCCCAGCCCCGCCATTCTTCAAAAAGACATCTCCGGACACCGACGTAATCCAAGGAAACAGCGTCACCTTGACCTGTCATGCTACTGGATCTCCCCAACCGAGAATAGAATGGACGAGGACCATAGGTAAGCCTCATAAACCTAAGACATTACCCGCCTGCGTCCAGCGTAATTTTCCATGTATCTAACTAAACATGATTGTTGTTGTTGTTCTTCTCAGGGGACAGTGACAAGCCCGAGGATGTGCGGCGGTCGCACAGGGCACAAAGCTTGCCCAATGGCACGTTGATTATAGAAGACGTGGCAGATGAGGACGAAGGAAAATACACCTGCACGGCCAACAACGGCATCGGGACCGTCAGTCATTCCTTGTTCATGCACGTCCGTGGTATGAATGAGTGCTTCGCACACTCATTTGCTTAGCTGATACGACTGAGGCGCACCGAGGATCAGCACAAACGTCTTCCTACACCGGGCCAAAACAGATAACACACACAGAGACCTTGGCTAAACTCATTCTAAGCCAGCCCCAAAACCCAGATGATGATACGTCATATCTTCGTTTTCAGTTTCAAACTCAAAGCAACAAAGATACAAGAATAGAACTAGAAAGTAATACTATTTTTGATTAACAGTATGACATGAAAAAGTATACGCACTACCTACAAGCGACCGATTTTACTTTTAATTACCGTCCCACACTCAACACAACGACAACTTATTTCGCGCCAAAAACCACCGTTCAATTCAAACATCGTACGGTACAGTTTCAGTCCTGGTGCAACGTTTTACAATCATCCCTGAAGCCGCGGAACAGCTACACTAACTCCCCTTCCACCACACCGATTTGGACTCTTAAAGACTCCAACAACCGAATAGAGTTCGAATTCACCCACAACACGGCGCTAGTCGTCCGTTTGTTCTTGAGCGGCGGCACAACGGAACTTGCGTACATCCAGTAGCGTTCTGCTCAGCGTCCTCCCCCGCAGGGTTGGCAGCCGATACGATTTCGGTTCCCACGTCCCACAAGCGAACGACAATGCGGTTGACCCAGCGCCGCGTGTGCTTCTCTCGACGCCGAGGAGAGCCAGCCATGCCCCGTCCCTAGGTGCGACGACACTCCACCTCCTCGGTCGAACTACTTCCTACGTTCGTACTTTCGCGCCAACTCTGCCATGCACTGCCGGCGCCGTTACGTCGGGACTTACCTGATCGTCGTTGCGTTCCTCGTTCCAAACGGCTTCGCTTTAGGTAAGTGCACCAACTTCACTCGTGCTCACAAACGAGACTGCTTTACCGATCGTGTGTTTGATCAGCTTTCGGGAGCGAGGAAAGCTCCACTGTTGCTCGATAACGTCGTGGGAAGTCCTGGGAGCGGCTACTAAGAAACGATCAGAAGCGCTAGACTTATAGCTTCCTCGTATTATAATAAAATTACACGCAGTAATTTTCCGGAAATCTGGAGAAATATAAATATTAATTTCAATAAATGTGGCGAGAAATCTAAAGGACGAATGAAACTTTGTAAATTCAGCCCGGTCAACCAAATTTGAAACTTTCAGACCTGTTGACCGCGAAAAGTTGTCATTTTTTAACACTTGTCCGGTTAAACCGAGCGTGTTGTAACCATAAATACTTAAAATAGAAAGAATAAACTCACGGAGGACGTTCACAAACAACCACACTTTTTCAAAGAGCGTAATTGTGAACGTCTTCCGTGTTTTTATTACTTCTATTTTAAGTATTCTAACACTTCCCAACAAGAATCCTGGGAGATTTCTCTTATTTCTTGTTAAGTTCAGGAGCGTAACGTTACTCTAAGTTAGAAGTAAAAAATATTTATTCTAACACCCGTACCTTGCCAGCTTGAAAAGTATAAGCAAGCAATTGCTTCAGTCCTTCAGCCTCATACTGTCCATGGTTATGGATTATTCGTTTTCCTATCCTCTCCTAATTTTAGTGTATACTCATGTTTAAGGGCTGTTCGTATTTCCCAAGGGGATGTCATTGGGCCTAGTGAATAACTGTCGACTCAATAATAAAAATGCTTCTATTCACCAGTATCTGAGCAACGAGCCTTGAAACGAGGGGCCCATGTTTTCCAGTGGCTCCATCGATCCAGATCTTCGCTTCATCTGAAGTGAAGGCTGGCGACAAGGTGACAGCCACGTGCGTGCTCAAGACTGGTTCCCAGCCCCTCGTGTTCCTGTGGCTCAAAGATGGCAAACAAGTGTCGTCGCTCCCCAACGTTAAGGTGAAATCGGCTGAAGACTTCTCCTTCCTGATTATCAACCCTGCCGACGTCCACTCGTCCGGACAGTACACCTGCGTGGTCAAAAATGCCGATGGTACCGACTCCAGAACCGTCCAGATAGATGTCGAAGGTGAATGTCTCATTCACTAACCGGCGCTGCAGATTCTGAATTCATTCTTTCGATGCTGCAGCACCGCCGCAATGGCAAAGGGTGGCCGGCGATACCGAGGTTGGTCTGGGCGCCACCAAAAGCTTCGAGTGTATCGCTTTGGGGTCTCCCAAGCCCCGAGTTACGTGGAGCAAGCGGACAGGTAAGTTTCCCACAAACCAAACTAAACTTCACATGAAACATACAGCATCCGGTTGCACTCTTTCTCTAAGCTGGATGCAGCCTATGTCTCGAGACGCGTAAACTGCTACCCTAGTGCTCAATCAGCAGTAATGTCCTCACCCATTATCCAGCCGCCTTACTTCGCTAGGAACTTGAGATTTTTCTGATAATACACAATGGTCCGTGTGCACCAATTCACACGCACCTCAAGAAGGGACGATCAGCACCAACAACACCGATGCAGCAATTATCACGCACCGTTTTGTTCTCATTCACGATATGTTCTGCATTTTACCACTCCAGACACGCGTATCGAACATTTCACCGCATTTTATCAGCCTGACTGGCGTTTCGGCAGCTTGCCCAGTACTCTGCTATCCTGTTGATATGTCGGCAACACCGAATGTAGGCAATTCACGAATTAATATGATCGCTGGTTCGTCGTCGCATTCGAGCTACTCTCCCACTATAGAGAATGACAGCTTAAAAAACTCAGGACGTGGCGGGTCCCTAGTATATTTTCGCTCTGCAGCCAATGAGACTGCGGTATTGGCCGATAAGAACGTTCAAGGACCAATCAGAAAGCGAGAAGCGTAAACATAATTAGCCACACCCTTCGTTTCTTAAGCTTAGTACCCTGTGTTTCTTAAGAAGGAAATAGACACCACGTCCAATTATTTTTTTTCTCGTTAAACATGTTTAATCGGCTTACATCCGATATAATTGCTTCGGGTTGTGGGTTTTCGAAACGGGAAATCACCACACCGTGAAGTACGAACCTACCACTTCGTGTTACTTTCTCTTTGTCGCAGAGTCACCCAATGGGTGGTCACCACTACATGGTTTGTCCAGAGTCTCCCTGGAGGGAGACAGGATGACTTTGATGGACATCGAGGCCTCCGACTCTGGCAGCTACTCTTGCGAAGCCAGCAACGGGATCGGAGATCCACTCAGATCCATTTTTCGCCTCGTCGTTCCTGGTAAAACGAATTTCCTCAATGCCAGTATACTTCGTGGGCCACACCAAACATATATTCCACGTTTAAGATTACGCAATCAGTCAAGACGATCAATCAAACCGACTTCAGAAGCGCGTTTGTCTGATAAAATTCGTTACTCGTAATTTTGTTTCAGTAATGGTTTAAAAACTATAGTTGCAGAAGTGGAAAACTTGACTATCTACGAAAGATTAAAATCCAGCGCTCAGCGTGTTACACCTGGAGCGCGTCTAGACACGGACTCGCTGCCTTGAGACCCGAGCAACATTCATATCCACTCGTACCAGCACTGAACTGGATTCCGAGAACATACTTTTAGAAGAGTCCACGACGTCGAACGAAACTGAGCGAAATCTTTCTCCTTCGCGTGCTCATTTTTGTGCCTTGCAAGTGTATGCTTAAAACTTTTAACGTGTTTAGCGGCACAATGAAGTTATTCGACTTCATTGTGCCGCTAAACAAGGACCATGTTCGACTAGCTAGAAAGAAAACTCTTCTTAAAGTACCAAGACCTGAAACACAAACGAAAACTAATTAGTTTCAGAGGCGCAGAACACGGTTTCGGCACAAGACAAACTGCTCCACTAAAAGACGCATCCGCGCGGGACAGTGTGTACCGGGGATCTCGAGACAATGAGCAATTCTTTTTCTCGTCCGACCTTAGACGATATCCCGCTGGTCTCCGACCTCGTCTTGCATGAATCTCGAAGCGACAGACACGGTACCGACGTCGTCGTGCTGACAAGCTCGGGTCCACACAGACGGGATATCGTCTGGCCCGTCACTTGGGCAAACACGAGCCAAGACTTTGTCTCAAGACCACAAGAGCCTGACTTTGGTTGGCGCCCCATCGACAAACCATCCGGGGAAGCGGGGTTTATAAGCCTCCCATAGCGCGTAACATTTAGAACTTTGTTTCAGTGGGCGATGAATTGCCGAGAAACTTGCCTCGGTACTGCCGCACGCGCGACAGTAGAAAGCAGGGTCGTACGGCTACATCAGTTACTATAGGGCTGGTGGTATTCAATGATGAGAGTAAAAGACATGAGCAAACTAAAGTTTTGCCAGAACTACGCCACGCCGTTCTCGGTCTCAATAATGGTGTTGTATCAACATGTAGATACAAAAGATTTTGTATCTTTTGATACAAAAAATGTATCAAAAGACCATATATTTTTTTCAAGAGGAGAAAGTATACGTACGAGCTGGCTTCGGAACATCCTAATCTAAACCTTCAGAAAAGGAAAATAATATAACAGAGGTCACGACACAAGATATTAATTGTGTCTAGTAGTCCGTTATTTCATTTTTCTTGTATAAGGATTTAGATCATGATGTTACTTTTGTTCCTTCTCCAATAACAAATAGCATGTTAGTTATATTGTATTATGTAGTCACGACAATTTGTCCTCAACAAAGAGTATGTGAGAACGCGGGTGCGGTAATGTTAGCCCCGTGACATACATAACGTCAGAGCAGTTGGTATCTGACTCTTACGATGTCAACTACACGGAGGAATAACAAATTGTACCTGAGTGGTCAGCGCCATGCGCAGTTTCCCGTTTCCTCTTACTACTGATAGGCCGCACAAATACCCGAGGCGCTGAACAGCGCGTTATTCAAGTGAGATGTCCAATAGCCTCATCACACGGAACGAAAAATGACGACGAAACACCTTACAGCACCACTAGAACGTGGGGCCACAGCTGGTAGATAAATAGATGGACGACGGTAGCTCTCCGCGGTTCGAAACGTACTGCAGCGAGCGCCACCTAACCTAGAGAAACTACTACCCTATTTTCCCCCTACTATACCCTACTTTTTGCCGGCAACTGTTACCCAGCATATGACGGAAGCTCCGGGAACCTTCAAAAAGAAAAGGGAAACAAAAAAATACGAAAAAACTACTTAATTGACAAAATAAACCATCCGCACCTTATCATGTTCACTGGAGGAAACCAAACTGTTTGCTTCGTCCGATTACCAGACCCAATGGAGTACACGTTCGAATCGAATTTCTAGTGGGTTACTTCGGATACTGACCTCAAAAGAAGCTACTTACTCGTAATACTTATCTCCAACGCGATCCTCACCTGTTTTCGTAATCTACAGTCATAGGTTGCAGAACTATACGTTTCGCCACACCAAATGCCCGCATACTGTCGAAATACGACACAATCCTGGCCACCATAGCAAACCCTCGAACCGGGGAAAACATTTTTCGACCGACAGTTATTCGCATCCCTCGATGTGTGGCGCCTGTTGTCCGATAGTGAGCCTTAAAAGTTCCAACCAGCGTTGCCAACGCTACGAAAGGCTTATTCCGGCGACGTTTCCGCCGCACATAACGTCATAACGTGCTTTTCAATAAGAGATCGCGTGTTTAACCCCGCAAACCGTATTCCTCTTCCTTTCCGTGTCGGTGCGAGTAAAGAGCTGCCAAGACGTCCGAAATTAAATCTCGGGATCAAAGCGTGAACCATGCTGAAGACGCTAATAGCGCTTCACATCACAGCCTGTGTCACCGGACAATCGCCTTCAAAAGGTAAGTTGTACTTTGCCTCATTACACGGCGTTAATGTGTCGGTGTTCTGTGGTATGAAACCGAAGCCCATGAGCGTATACATCCTGCCTCTTGGACGCAGCATTGCACAACTCTTGGCGAAATGCTCGGCAAGGTTTGGAGCTGTATCAGAGGTCTTTTTCCACTTTACATCTTAGGGAGACGCTGTTTGGGGCATTTACTGCCCTGAAAGCGCAAGCGGTGCTCTCGAGTCGCTCCAAAATCCATCAGCCCACCTCGCCATTACTTGAAGATGAAATAAGTCTCGAGCAATCAAACTACATGAAGGTTGCATAAGGCAATCAAACTACATGAGGGTTGGTTGCATAAAGCTATATCACAAATTTGTCTAGATGTATGCATCGACTTAGTTTGCAATCAGAGTCACGCACTTTTACGCGCATTACTTATTAGTACGGCACCCTCCAAGACGTCTAATATTGTAAAACAAATAATAAATAAAATGAAAAACAGCGCACTGATTCAAAACTATTTGTCTTGCAGATCGGCCTATCATAACGCCTTTCAGCTTTCCAACCGACCTCTCGGAAGGAGCATCTGTGCAGGTGTTTTGTGCAATCTCGAAGGGAACCCTTCCCGTGTACTTCACCTGGCTCAAAGATGGCAAGACGCTGCGCGAGACCCGAGCGAAGATCACGACCGCGGACAAATTCTCCGTCGTTCAGATCGACGCCGTGGCTCCGGTAGACGTCGGCAACTACACGTGTTTCGCCAAGAACCTCCAGGGGACCGACAGTCATTCGGCCATGCTCGAAGTCAGAGGTAAGCTTAAAGTGGGAATGAGAGACTGCCGCAGGTTAAGGAAAGCGGGACCAGCTCGTCCCACAAAGCCCTCCACCATTTTCACTCTAGCAGAGCGAAAGCTGAAGAGCAGGCGACTGGAAAGGGGGAAGCTACTAATCATTGCGAGCAGAGAGCTTCGTGGGAAGGGTTCGTCCTGCTTTTCCTAACACGCAATGGACTATTCGCAACTCCAGCAGCTCGCCCTCTCGCGGACGAACGAAGAACCAGAGAAGCGGGGACAGCGGCGGAGACGGTGGCAGGGACTGTCGCCCTTGGTGCTCTTCTTCTGGTCGGCGTGTTCGTGCATCATGCAGTTTTCACGGAAGAAGTCGGTGCATTAAAATAGGTCCGCTTCCCATAGGCGTTGCATGAAGGAACCGCGGGATGTCTCATTTCATTACGAACTTCTTGTGGATCACATACGCTGCGAAATGGTCTATAGACCAACGACTCGCGTTGGTCTACAGACCTTTACCACGAGGGCGTCGTTATCTTGGATGTCATCACTTCCAGTATGGGCGAAAACAGTTTTGCCATCGCCACGCCAATAGAATATACATTTAGGACGTAAGCGTAACCTTCACCCTTTCTCGTTTTGCCTCCCCTTGATTTTATGTTTAATTTTGTTTTTCGTCGCCCATACCGTAAGTGCCTACCAGGTGGCCGGAGACGCAATTAGACGAAAAAGGTATCGACCTTTAGTTATGTTGCGAAGGCTTTAATTGAGAAACGAGTTCGAGTTACCTTGGAAAACAAGGGTTACGTGGCTTGGTTGCCGCGGTAATTCGTAGTCGCCTAAAGACGAAAGAACACGCAACGTAGTGAAACGCTGCAGCCTAAATGGGCCTTACGGGGTGAAAGTGGAGAAACTGCGGCTCTTATTTTAGCCCAGTATGCCACGATGATATATGACGTTGGATTTCGCAGACATCGCAAACGACAGTGAAAGAAAATGGCACTTTCAAGACGTGAGACTTGGTGGATCAAAATAATAATAATAATAATAATAATAATAGCTTTATTTGCACCATGCTTTTAAGCATGGTGGGGGCTGAGGAAACAAGCTGTCAAAGCAGCTTGACTGGTGCTCAGCCCCCCATGTATATAACAGTAGCAAGAAAGTTATTTAAAAAGAACCAACTAAATTACATAATAATAAAAGCTTCTTCCATCATAAAAATGATATCGACGAGTTCTCCGTTTCGTTGAAGACCGCGGCAATCCGTCTTGTTCTGTATCTGTGTGTGCGTCTTTGTTCTGTCTGCCCTGATGAGTTGCCGCTGATTCCTTTCAGCTCCCCCTCGCTGGCTGCGCGAACCCAGCGACGTCTCGGCATTGCTGGGAAGCCAAGCTGTGCTTTCCTGTCCGGTGGCGGGCTACCCAGCCCCAAAAGTAACTTGGAGCAGAATTGCCGGTGAGGAAACTGCGAGGCTTCAACTTAGCGCCAACAAGTCATACCGAAAAAAAAAAAAAAAATTACTTTATATGATACTTTGACGTTGCTTCTTTTTGAGAACCGTAAAGAGTAAACTTCAGCGAACAGGATTTTTCGTTCATACTGTTGTTGCGTCGATTGGTGGCTTTTATAACTGTAGAGGCAAAGCTTCTTCCTTTTGCCAGCCGAGAGCTACTCCTGTTTTGATGCTCCAGCAATGGTGTTAAGTTGTGAACTTTGACGCAAGACTTCACTAAAATGACAAGCTTTCGTTGGTTGTTATATCTAAAAGAGATTAAACAATAAAAAACAGAACCAAGCGAACGGAAAGAGTCTGAATAGCAGCAACGTAGCGATACAGATGAAAAAAAAAAACTCGATTGTCCACCAACTACTAGCGCTAAGAGTGCAGAGTGAATTTCTGCAAACATTCGTATGATCGGTGAAGAAACCCGCACTCGGGACCGCGAAATTAACGGAAACAAACCCAGCACTTTTGGGACGGCCATCGCAACGACTCAGCGTCACCACGTTCCTACCTTTCCGCTCTGCGCGCAGTGTCTCAACCTGAACCTTTGTTTCAGCCAAGATAATAATACGCACAAACGCCAATAACAAGCAAAAAAATATAATCGTGTTGCAACTCATGTCACGGGTCATAGCACGCGCGAGTCGACCGCAGAGATAATGAACTCAACCACGTGCCTCGACTGAAACGAACCGCATACTACACCGGAAACTTGCAGTAACAGCGCGCACAACCGCGAACCATAACCGCAACCTTGACATGCCTTCAAGAGACGCAAATACGCGCACAGCATGCAACCCGCGTCTCGCCATTAACTATAACACTACCTAGAATACTTCAAAGCCCGTGAGCAACCTTGTCTACCTTCACGTAATGTCATCGCTCTGCATTTGGGCCCGAACCTGACGTCACGCGTCTTACGACGCTTGATTGGACACGAGGCCCAGCCGAACGCTAACGGTGCACTCGGGTCGAATCCCACTGCGATGACGTCAAAGTTATGGTGCACGGGTTTTGAACAATCTAGGTGGTGGTATACCTATACACACTGGTTTCGCTCTCAGTGTTGTTTCGTTTTGCGTTCTCCATTGCAGACGGCGAGCCTCCAGTGCGTCTGGAAAGCAGCCAACCCCTTACACCGGCCGAAGACGGCACGCTGGTGTTTCGCGAGGTGTCTCTTCCCGACAAGGGCACCTACTTGTGCGAAGCGAACAATGGCGTTGGAGGTGCCATCACTAACCGAGTTAGGCTGCTTCTCAACGGTAAGGAAGTCCAATACATGAGCCGTCAAAAGGCTTTCCACACGGCGACAAGAAGAACCGGGCCTGGACGGCCCGTGTCAGCCTTTCGTTACAAAATAAATTACTTCTTTTTTTATCTCTTTCCCTTCTTTTTTCTTTACACGTCCATCAGCCAAAATGTCTAAATCAACACGTTGATGATAGCGGCGCTCGGTGACACTTCAGTTGAGCGGACGATTGTTCTTATCATAAAAAACAAGGCGTTTCAAGCAACGTCATCATTTGGTCGTTTTTTTTTTTTGTTTTTTTTTGCAGTCACTGATTAAGTTTTCAGTATGCGACTACGATATAGCTCTACCATTGAAATTAAGTCAAAAAGGGGAAAAAATGGGAGGACTGATTCAACCGTCATACTCTAACGTGAACGATGATTTCGCGTTCAAATTATACGTGACACGTGCATGCTCGCCAGAACTGCCGATTTTCCCTTTCTTGGGGTGCTGATCTACCGCTTCTGCGCTTCCGTTCTAACTTGTGACAATGGTTTTTATATCCTTGTGGTAATCTTCTGCACCTATACTCATTACAGGACCCCTCATCGACACAAAATAGACGTCTGTATAGTTGTCATATGTGCTATCTCAAATCCTCCCCTTCTTTCCGAATTACTGATTGTTCTTTGCGTTTTTCAGTGCACAAAAGGAAGCTAAGTACATTCGTGTTGTGCTCAGCAGGAAATTCTGTTTCATTTTCCAACATGGGGACTCCATAGAAGTTCTTACAGCGAATGGTTGCCAATGCACGGAAATAATGGCGGCAGAAACAAACTAAATTTGGGGGTTTCATTTAGAAAACAATCAACAGTCGAAGGGCGCGTGGCACGACCTAAGAAGGGATTCAGGATTAAGGATTGCTTTGGGCGATCTAAAGATTTTTATGTGCAACGTAAATCCGACTGGCACGTCGTCTACACCGCAACAAAATGTAAAGGTGCGTTCCCACCGGCAATTCGATCTAGTCGCGCGATAACTTTCATCGCAAAAGCGACCATCGCAGGCAATACGCGATGGTCGCAAGAGATACGCAGAATGGTCAGTTAAATATCTTTTTATTATTTTTCAAAAATCACTACAGTCAGCTGCTATACCGGATGATTGGAAAATGGCTAAAGTAATTCCAATCTTAAAGTCAGGTGATGCGTGCAGTGCAATGAACTACCGGCCAATTTCATTAACATCAAGTTGCTGTAAACTCCTAGAACACATAGTTTCAAAGCATATGAAATCCTTTTTAGCCACTGATCCTCTATTGAGTGACAAGCAGCATGGATTCAGAAAGGGTCTATCTACTGTAACGCGACTAACTGAGGTCGTACATTTTCTTTCTCGCTTTTTAGACGCCAGAAGACAGGTAGATTGTATCTTTCTAGATTTCCAGAAGGCCTTTGATAAAGTAAACCATGAGAAGTTAATGAATAAATTACGTCCAATATTAAAAAACCAGCTGTTGCTAGATTGGATTGAATCCTTTTTAAAAAATCGTAGACAGTACGTAAGCATCAAAAAAGGCTATTCAGATATGTGTGATGTTGCGTCGGGGGTTCCTCAAGGGTCCGTGTTGGGCCCGTTGTTGCTCTTAGTATTTATAAATGATCTAGTAGAAGATCAAGAGGTGCATGCTAGGTCTTTGCGGGTGATTGTCTTATATTCACTGAAGTTCATGCGGCCTCTGATCAGGAGAAATTAAATAGATTTTTGACTAGAATAGATAAATGGTGTGTTACTTGGCAAATGTCTCTAAATCTAAAAAAAACAGTATGTATTACAATCACTCACAAACGTCAACCATTAATATTTCCCTACAACCTTAATGGCACTTTGCTGTCTTGCGTGAATGAATTCAAATACTTTGGCGTCACGATCACAAACGACCTAAAATGGAGTACGCATGTTCATAATATAGTTAAAAAGGCCAATAGTAGATTGGGCTTTCTCCGAAGATCCCTTAAGTTTGCGTCCGTAGAAACAAGGACAACGACGTACAAAACGCTGACCAGGCCTTTACTTGAGTATGCGTCAGAAGTGTGGGATCCTCACGTGATGTATCTTGAGCGGGAACTGGAAAGAGTCCAGCGCCTTGCAGTGCGCTTTATATTTTCTAGTTATCGCCGACTTGAATCCCCTACCCAGCTTTGTTCGCAAGCCGGCCTTCCATCGCTTAGCAGTAGGAGAAAAACCAAGCGTTTAAAACTTCTCTTTATGATTCTTAATGACCTTGTTTTTATTGACAAAGCATCTTATATTACGCCTCACCGATCTAGAATTTCAAGAAACAAACATAGTCGACATATACAAGAATACAGATATAACGAGAAATGTTTTGAAAATTCTTTTTTTTCCACGCACAATACGCGAGTGGAATTCCCTGCCGGAAAGTATGGTGGCATGTCACGATGCAGAAAAGTTCTTTTCTTCATTAAGTGTGTTTCTAGATATTTAGGTATATTGGCATGATGTGTATGTGAGTGAACGGGTGTGCTTTCGAACCATGTGTACCATTGTTGATTTGTTCTTCTTTCCCACTCCTGTAAGAGTCCCGACTCGGGACTGACAGTATGTGAAATAAAATAAATAAATATGAAAAGCGACGCGATTTGAGCAGTCGCAACTCGACCCAACTTTTTTGCGATGCGATCTAGTCGCGGAGCGGCTGAGCCAATCAACGGCGTTTGGAGCGAGAGTTTTCGAGAAACGACTCGCCAACGAAGGCGTTGGACTCGCTCATCGCGCACGCCGGTGTGACCATCTAGCTTTTTTTTGCGATGCGATCTAGTCGCATCGCGCGACTGCTTACATCGCCGGTGGGAATGCGCCTTAAGAGACAACAGCACCACACCCCTTAATCTACAACCGATTGGTTACAGGGTATACATTGTTCCGCAGCGTTGCCATGACGGTTTAGTGGTTATTTCTAGAAACATTCTCTTTCCTCGATGCCGTTGCCTTCTCTCACAGATGACCAAATATTTTTGTGTCACTATACGTGCATTTTGTTACAAATAACCTTTCTTCAATTTGCTCGAATTTAATTAATGCTCAGTGACAAAATTAACCCCATCAAATCGGCGAATTCGGTACAGAACGCGACAGGTGAACTCAAACAAGCGATCGGTGTTTTTTCCCGCCTTGCTTTCGCAAATTACATTCTCTCGTCAAAACTACCACGGGGCGAAGTATACCACTCATCATGAACCGGAGGCGGTAAAATTCTGTGGTCGTTACCCTGTTTTGCATATCGTTTTCGAGCTAGTTGTGTAGCGGAATATGTATATACATTTCTAAATGTTCTCCCCCCCCCCCCCCCTCCCACACACACACACAGAGATTTTCAAATAAAATGAAAGTTGCATTTTTGTTTGTTTAGTTCAAAACCTGCACCGTTCTCAGGTCCAAAAGAACTTAATTTAATTCAAAATGTTGTGCCCCGGTAATACTACGGTAATGGCACGGTCAAATCAACCACCCCTTAAAGTGAGTAGTTACACCACGGGTGGATTACCTTAATTTAATTTCAAAGAGATGGCTACTACAACGAGGCCCTTCTCTCCATCCAGTGCCGGCCAGGTTCGAGGAAAAGGCGGCAGTCGTGACGGCGCGTCGCACCGAAGTGACCCGCATGAAGTGCCAGGCGACGGGAGACCAGCCCCTTTCCATCTCGTGGGCCAAGGGAAGCGTCAAGCTGGACAAGCGGACCAGTGCGCGGTAAGCACCCAGCTCGAACTATGCACCGACTTTCTCTGTGGAAATAGCCAAGCGCGCACAACATAATCCAGAACACGCGAACATGCTTCACCGTTCGTGCTTACGCGAAATACGCGTAAAGACATGTATCGGTACGAACTAGCATATATCCAGGCAGGCACGGAGCCAGGGGGGAGGGGAGCGGGCATGGGGCCCGCACCCCCGCCCCCCCCCCCCCCCCCCCCCCGAAATCTCCCATTTTGCTGGGGCATCCTCTCCCCCCTCCCCTTCATACAACGTTTTGTCATGAGCGCCCCCCCCCCCCTTTCCCAGAAACAAAATCCTGGCTACGTGCCTGTATCCAGGTGGAACCAACAACTGGACGAAACCCCTGGCTAGGTGGCGCGATCCGCCGTCCTATTTAAAGAATTCAGCCGTATGCACGTATCCGTTCATGCATACAACTAAGCTTTCTTGATAGTATGACCCCTCTTTTACAAGCAGCGACAAACAAAAACGAAGCACATTTTTGAGCGAGAACATACGGCGCCTTCTAATTCATTCCGTGGGTATATTATACGGCACGCAAGTTCGTCGGGCCCTTGCGCACCTTGTGTGCTTCTTTACGCGCCAAATGCGTACACGTGCTTTTGTTTACCCCCGACCTCAATCAATGACGGCGCGTGCTTGGCTGCCGCGTCATCGCGCGCTCCCTGGGCGTTCTCTATGTTGCTCTTCAATTAGCGTGCCCCTCCTTGAGATCCAATGCGCCAAAGACGCAAACAGCTACTTGCCGTACCCCGTCATGCTCTTCCTCAAAGCCTGCACCGTAACGACCGTCGACGTAGCAAATAATGTCGCTACTTGTAACAAAACGCGGAGTGCGAACTCTAGAACAAACGCGTCGACTCGTTCTAGTTGGTTATTTTTTTATTTTCTTTTTTTTTTTACGCAATTGTACTCCCTAACGACTGCGCAAATGAAATCTTCTCTTCTTACGTGATTCGCGAAAAACCAAATAGCCCACGTCGTTCAACAACGGCACAAAAAGGCGCGGATGATGATGGTAGAAAAATGCACGACCGAAGGAAATTAATTATGCGGGTCGGAATGTTATGAAAGTTGGTACAGAAGCGAAAACGTACAAAGACCTCTTGTCGGCGAGTGAACATTAATGAATGCAAATAAAAATAGAACATCTCTACATGGAACACTAGTGATACATATATCTGAATAAACAGGATTGCTTCTATAATCAAGACGTTGCGGTGGAAAGACGTTTTTGACGCATGCACGCAGGTACGAAGTGTTCGAGACCCTGACGACGGACGGACTCCTGTCCGAACTGGTCATCCGAGACACGGACCGCAGCGACGGTGCCCTCTACACCTGCAACGCGGAGAACAAGTACGGCAAGGACGATCGCAAAGTCAAACTCATCGTCCAAGGTGAACATGCGCCCAACTCCCCATCGGACGATACGAGGAACACTCGATGAGCGTGCGACTGATGCTCGTCACATATTTATGGCATTTGGAGTCTAATTTTGATTGCACCGACCTCCATCGTTGAATCGATTAATAACCTTTTGCTCAAGAAGGAAATGTAATAGGAACTTGCTCCTGGAGACGAAAGATGACACTGTTCCTCTGTGCGATGACGGACCAAAACGTAAGGTTTCTGCGGAAGATGTGTAGAAGAATGCCTGATGATACATTTCCGGTTCATCTCTTTTCATTTTCTTTCAGCGCTAACAAACTAAAGTGTACAAATTTATTTTCAAATACTCAAGCTTTCGGTATCAAAGTGAAACAGACATCGCGAGCTCATAGCCATTCATATGTCCGAAAACAAGATGTTATTATTTTGTCCTTCAGGCTTATCTTTCATTTACGAGTCGAGTTGATAATTGGCAGAGTAATCCCAAGCAGGACAACAAAGCCGACCAATGAAATTTAATTATAATTGAGTGAGGGTTGAGGGTTGTTTCCGTCAGAAACGGCGAGTCATTCCTTCGTCACGTTGTCCCTACGCAGAAGTACCAGGACCTCCGCAAGACGTGCGCATCAGGGACGTCTGGAGCCGGTCGGCCAGCGTGTCCTGGTCGGCCTCGTACAACGGCAATAGTCCCATCTCCAAGTACATCGTGCAGTACTGGAGGGACCATGGTACGTCTGTCTTTATATTCAAGTGTTTGTTAGGGGGAACGTCATGTTTGCTGACACCCCGGTGATTGGTGAACCCAACAGCAGGAGTAGCAAGAGTGCTCGACACAATTTGATATTGGAACCCTTGGTTTGGCGGCAGTGCAGGGAACGACTAAATGATGTTATGTTCTAAATGTTCACAAAAGCCTCAGATGATAGATATACTTGACCACAGATGTTTCCAACCAAAGGTTTTAGCACACACAGAGCTGTGATTTCTTTATTTCAATAGGGAACCATAATGTCACAGTAAATAGACAGTTTCAGTATAGCATTGTCGGCTCTTGCGTACGCGATAAAAAATAGTATAGCGTACGCTAAAACCGACCGGCTCGGATCGATTTTAGCTGTGCGTTACGTTTTCGAGTTAAGACCTCGCATGATATTGGTTAAATTTGCCACAACCTTTGAATTTTGCGCGCAAATAGCGCCACCATGCTCCTCAAAAGAAATATGGAAAATAAAAAGGTTTCCAATGATTTTATTTCAAACTAAAAAAAGCCGCAGCTGCCTGGTCAAGCGCGCTTTTCTGCGGGGTACGGAGGCTACGAGCACGTAGCAAAATTCGATATCGAAACCTCCGTCAATCATGCCCTGGAAACGGCACCTTTTATCAAAGCTATCGCAGGAAGAAAGTCATGGCCTATTGATGTCCAGCGCAGAGCAACGACTTGGGCAATATGTTGAAAAGTCGTTCGCCCGTCGGCGATGAACTGCGCGAAGAGGCTTAGGGTTGTGCAGATCGCAGCGTTCACGTGCATTGCGAGCGGTGAACGTTTTCACTATGCACTCCTTCAGCTGCATCCGGATCTGACTCGATCGCGATAGGTCCCGGAAAGAATTGCCGAGCTAAACAACACGCAATTTCACGTAACACTGAACTTCGCGAACACCGCACCGCCCTAGCTACGCCAGTCGAGGTAACCAGCATCTTGAAACTGGTGCTCTGGCTGGGCTTGTGATCTCTCAAAACCTTTTCGCAGAGCCCACTAGCCCGCAACGCGAAGTCCCTAGCGTTGCGTGCGTACGCAATACGCTAGCCCTTCTATTGCGTTCTGCGCATGCGCACTCCCGAACCGCAATTTATTTTTCACTAAAACTGTCCACTCAAACTGTCCAATGTCAGTAACCAAATGGTGAATGACCAAAAATACCCCTTTCCCGAGATTCACGCTCGACGACATTATATACATCGTGTGTACTAAACCCATCCGACTTACCTCTTTGCGGCACGGCACATAAAAATGTTCCAGTCGCGGGTGCGTAATCTTCACTAGTAGGCATTTGTTCAGAACTCAAGCAAGTATGACGACATCGTCAATACACAGTAAAAAATGAAGCCGAGGAGCACCAATGAAATTAATCCAATAACAACCAAAGGTTGAGCACCACGTACCATCCTTTTCCGTGTGATATCTCAGCAACAAAACAAAAAAATGTGTCCTGCAATATTTTACATCCGTAAAAACATGCATACCTTTTTTTAGTTGTTTAGGTGTATTCACACCTGCGAGATGCAAGTAACCACCCATGTTCACACCAGAGCAAGCGACCGGCGTGTCGCGGACTCACAGTCGCTTCTCAGAGAGGTCTCGAGAGTCGTTGCTGACACCGACGTCAATCCCGTTGCACCCACTACAACGCGAGTTTCCGTTTCGCTGCTTTCAAATTTTCATTAACGCATAACTACCTACACATACGTCGCCTTCGCTGCTACTTCCTCTTACGCAGTAAGGGAAACGCTCAAGATCAAACGACAAATGAAAGCACAATCACTACATCGACATGCACTAACTCAAGCTTGTGTGGTACAGTAAGTAACCATTAAGTCGAAAGGGGCACTGATTTGCTGCCGGATCAAGCCCTTTTTCGGGCGCTCTTTCAAAGCGGGCTGATACTTATTATAAATTCATAGCTACAAATAAAATGCCGGAATGCCGGATACAAACAAACAAGGCGCGTTATATCTAAGACGCCGCGGATTGGCTCAGCCGCACGGCGACTCGGCGACCAAGGCTTTTAAAAAGTCAGTCAGCGAGCGACTGCCCAATACAGGGCGCCTTTAAACCTCTAATAAAACTCAGCAATGAAGACGCTGTCGCGCAGCCGCTGCAAATTCTGAGTATGAGCACAGAGTGGTCCCCAACTTTATAACGCCAAGACATGGTTCGTTTTTTTATTATTTTTGGGCTGTTTCCTCACCTTCCGGTCTAACTAAGTTTTGTCTCGCCGATCACAACTCAGCCCGGGGAAGACATTCCGTTTCTCCGGTGACCAATGTAGCCCTAAGTAGCACTTGGGAAACCGAGTAGCGGCGTCAAGTCTGGAGAGCACTTTGTACCTTAGAGACCAGGGACGTCCGATGTACAACTTGCCAGACGGTGCGCATCTGCAATGAGCTCCCCACCTGTAGAAGGTCGAGTCTGAGGGAATAACAAAGTACCAGATGGCCTTTAGCCACTATAAAAATATCACTCCGCGCGGAAACTAAACAATGAAGGGAACAGCCTGGGTCTTGATGCAACACAGCCGCACCTCTCGCCTCTAGAAAAGCATCTTGCGGGAAGATGTCCAAAGATAGCACTTCCACGACGCCTTGCTGTGTAAACAGACAGCCGTATTCAGACAAATCGGGCAAAAGCGGTAAAAAGGGGGACCAGGAATGACTCTGACGAGCCACGAAAAGATGGCTACAAACTGCTCCTCTGACTCGCGGGATCTCACGAACTCTCGAAACGGCCGTAAAAGCGCGCCAAATCGGGACGGAACAAGCGATAGTCCTTGTGGCAGCAGGCCCTTCTACTTCAACGTCGGCAAGAATCCCCAATGTCGTTTTCTCTACTTCTTCTCTCTCTCTCTTTTTCTTTTTTCTCTTGTAAGATGTTTACAGTCAATGAACTCCACCACTTCGCCGCTAGCTGAGCGATTTCACGTCATTTCCGGCAGCGTCACTTCGTGAGATTCACAATGCCACGAAAATATGCTTAACAGCCCTTGCTGCTATGTGTCGGTATCTCAATTCAATGGGGCACCAAGCACTGATGTGACATTTGTTACAAGTATGATAAGCCGCACTTTAAATAAAGAAAGTATGTGAGTTGATTTTCCTCCGGAACACGGAGACAACCAATCACGGCGAACAACAGAAGTATCGCCATGAGTTAGTAAGCTGATAATACGATTATATCTCAAAAATGCAATGTGAGCAGAGACAAAGACCAAGTGAAACGTCTCTAATTACGTCGCATCTTCTCTTCTTCTCTTTTTTTCGTATTCTTATTTTGAGTTTCGTCATTCCCAGGGGGATAGTCCTTCAACTGTTTGCCGTGAATCGTTGTCTCGTGTTCTGTAGGAAAGTAAACTCAGACTTTATATTTTAGTCTATAGTACCAGCATTGTATTGCTGGGTAGAAGCTGTATACAAACGCTTTCCATGTCAGCTATCTCCCCATTTTAGAGATTAAACGAGATAACGGCAGCAGGTTTCGAAGCCGGCGACAGACTTTTTAGAAGTTCCTTGTCTCACATGACTCTGAATGCACCAACACCGCAGGCACGGCCCACAGGCTTCAAGAGCTCGAACTGATCGGTTCGACGACCTGGGCCATGGTCAGGGAACTGTTGCCCGGAACGGCGTACGTGCTCAACCTGGTCGCAGAAAACGCCATCGGCCGAGGAGAATCTTCGCGGACCGTCGTGTTTCACACCGGAGAAGAAGGTGAGGTGAAGGAATGCTAAAAAGATGTCGCTCTGGCCGAGGCAAACCAGAAACAGCATTCGCTTAAACGTCAAGAGCAACTCATAACGTTACAACTGATCTTGTCAAACAATGGCAGCATCACGTACGCAACGAAATACCTGAATGCATGTATAGCAACGTGCGTTTTCTTATATTACTTACAAGCATTCTTAGTCTATGTTGACATTAGAATCGAATGTCCTAAAGCACGAAAGCCACCGTGTCCTTTCCATTCTATCCACACACTGGCCACTACATATTTAACGATCAAATTATTTAAGCTACCCTTTCCCGGAATGTAACAATATGCGTCAATTTTAGTGCCCTATTGAAACTCGCGCCTAACGTATGTTCTTCTCAATGTTGGGAAACATACTAAGTACATTGTACTTAAAGTACCACGTCAAGTAGGTTTAGAAAACTTGTACTTTACTTAAAGTAGATTCTCTGAGTATGTACTTATACTTTACTTAAAGTATTTTTTTACTTATGCTTTCCGAAGAAAGAAACCTCTCGACTTCAGCGTACATTACCCATATTTGGTCTTGTTAATTTTGTGTCACAAAATGATGCTTTGTCAACTCTAAAGAAATACTGGGGAGGGATATTCAACTCTCCACAGAAACGCGAGCAGACGACTAATCGCTCCATTTGTTCTGGGGACGGCTTTCCCGTAGCTTTTTGAACTCTCGCTACTTCTTGCTCGGTCAGTGCAAGCGAGGAGGTGAAAAATAATAGTGGAGGACAGTTAATCAAACACCTGAAACTGTGGTTCGGAAAAATAAAGAAACTTTCAAGTCGAAGAAAAAGACAACAGAGGAGAACGTCGTAATGTTTTGAGACATTCCCCTCTGTTGTCATTTCCTTCGACTTGAAAGTTCCTTAATTTTTCCGCACCACAGTCTAAGGTGTACCATTATGCTTAATTATCACCAGCTCGCCTGCACTCGCTGTTTTTTCGTTAAGGAGAGGACACACTCCACGAGAGGATTGCTTGCGGAAGTTACGGGGCTGACGTCATGCTCTCTCCTAGTACGTTTAACGCCCTTGGGTGCAACAAGCCAGTGCAAGCGGAACCAGATTCAGAAGTCGGAGGGACTTGTAAATTTGGCGCCATTTCTGAAAATAACTACTCTTCCTGTGACCACTTGACTTTATCCAATATTCGCTGTCATTTCTGAAAATAGGCGATGCACTCCCGATAATACCCTGGGGCAGTGCATACGAGTTAAAAAAAAAAAAAAAAAAAAAACACTGTATAGGGGAATGAAAGGACACCACGAAAGAAAGTGTTAAGAAGAACTTGTACTTTACTTTGAGAACACAATCTATTTACAGTACATCACGTCTCATTTACTTTGTACTTTACTTAAAGTACTTTCTTTAGATGTACTTTACCCAACACTGGCTTCTTCTACCAACTCACTCATCTTCCACGAGAAAGCGGGATATATATTTTCCTAAACGTCGTTGGCTGCAGCGATGCATATGACCCAGCTTTCCATCTGTGTTTCGAGCTACTGATGAACTACACATTTGTCATCTGTTTTTTTTTTTTGTTTTTTTTTGTGTTATCGGCACTGAATTTTCGGGAGTGAGCAGAAGTAACTTTTGTGTCCCGCAACGTGCAGAGCCGGAAGCAGCGCCTGTGGACATTCTGGTGGAGATGAAAGGACCCTCAACGGCTCTAATATCTTGGAAGGTGGGTCCACTCGCTCGCCCGAGCGGATGTCACATCAAAATGGCACTCAAGCGCTTTTTGAAGAAGCTTGTTTTCGGTGGCATATTGTCAGTAAACATTACTCGTTCTAGATGGCAAGACTCACAGCAATAGTGTTGAGCATGTTGGGCATCTTGGGCATTACTGAATAAAAATGACCAGCTCTAGGTGGCAACTCACAGCATTAGGAATAAACGGCCACTATTTTCTCTTGGGAGGGGGAGGGGACCAAGCATTCTCGGGTCACTATCCCCTTCATAAAATATGACCAATGAAAATAGCGCTTCGCTTGGAGATTCCGAAAGTTACTATTATGGCTCTTTTTAGGCGCGTTGTGCGTTATATTTTAACAAAAACGTCAAATATCTGGGCGCAGGAGACGTAATACGAAAATTATTGCTTGAAAACGCCGTCTCAAGGCGCCCCCTGGTGTCTGCTCCAAGGCGCAGAAAGAGGGGCACGTCACGATCTTTGATTATATTTTTAAGAGGGAAGTCGGCCGTCCATGAGTGTAATTCCGAGTTTTTTAGGATGCTTAGAGCCCGTAGACATGAGTTATCACCATAATAGAAGATCTCACAATCCGCTTGAGTGCCCCTTTAACAGTAATATGCCCTTGAACCACGGCATTAAATGTAAACGAATACGCAAAGATTTCAGATATAAAGGCACAACCACGATAATTGCCACCAAGATGTTCGATCACTGCGTTTAGGGAGGAGGCAGTGGCACTAAATGCTTAATCACAGGGGCTGATGATTAGCCTTATTTCAATCGAGAAAATCTGTAGTGGAAGCGCATCTAAGTGGCTTTCCTTTGTTACGTCAGAAAACATAACTGTCCGCAAGCTTCAGGCATCGTCCCAGTCGGCTCTGAAATGGGTGGAGATCCTTTCTAGACTAGTTCAGATGCTACCAGAGTATACCTCCTATTAACTCTTCATCATCGCACCACTCGGTGCGATGATGAAGGGTTAATAGTTAGTACACACACGATTTTTGTCTTGCTGTTTGATTAGCCATGCCAACTCGGCGCATTATTGACCCGTTGTTGATACAGTTCTTGGCAACCCCAAAGGATCAGACATAATAGTAATCTCACCTTGGCTTTTAGTCTGTCTGGAGCGACGTATGAATAGGCTCTAATATGACCTGCAACCCAAATTAAACACAACCTGATTCCGTGACAAAATACATATGTTTATGTGAAACAACATGTGGAGACTATGCTAGCCTCTGGTCATTATGGCCATTGCGTATAATAATAATAAAATTGGCAGCGACCTTTATTTTCAGCCCTAGAAGGCATGAAATGCTGTCAAACAGCCTGGCTGCTACATCATCTATAGTAGGTGTTAGGTTAAGAGTTCAGGGCGAGGGAGAGGAAGGCTGGGGAGGAGCAAGCAGGTAGATTGCTGGAGAGGACGAAACATCCCCCCTCTCCATCATTCGGCATGCTTCCTCCTCCTCAGCCTTCCTTTCCCTTGCACTGAACCACAGCTCGTTGCAACTCAAAAAGGCAGGGCGACGAAAAGGAAGGCCGGGGAGGAGGAAGCAGACGCAATGCTTAAGAGAGGAGGAGGTTTCCTGCTTCCTTCTCCAGCGTACCGTCTGCTTCCTCCTCCCCGGCCTTCCTTACCCTCGCCGTACCTTCTTGAGGAGAGGGAAGGGCGGACAGCGGTGGGGAGAGGAAATTGGCGTCAGGTGGCGTATATTTTTCCGCTAAATTTAGCCGGGAAACTGAACGTTTGTATAGGTCACGTGACGTCGATTTCCCCCGCTAAATGTAGCAGGGAAACTGCGTTGGTGTCTAGGTCACAAGACGCGAAATTTCCCGCTCAATTTAGTGGATAACTGAATAGGTGTATAGGTGACGTGACGTCAATTTCCCGCGAAATTTAGCGGAGAAACTGAATTGATGTTTCGGCCACAAGTCGTGAATGTTCCCCGTTAAATTTAGCGGGTAAACTGAGTTGACATACAGGTCACGTGCCGTCCATTTCGCCAAGATGTACAGGTCACGTAACGCCACCTTTCTTACTGGATTTAGCGGAGAATGCACGAACGGACGGACGGACAAAATATTGGGATTGGGGGGTAGCACTAAAAAGCATTTCATCCTTTAAGAATAATAATAATAACAATAAAAATAGTAATAGTAATAATAACAATAATTATAATAATAATAATAATAATAGAGGGGGGAGGTAAACAAAAAAAATTTACAATCTTCGCGGTAAATGTATTTGCTCAGTGCGCAGAGCCGGATTCCGACTGACCGTCACCGAAGGCGACATTCTCGCTCACTCTTTTCTCCCGCTCTGTGCAGGCCCCTCCACGCGAGCACTGGAACGGCAACCTGCAGGGCTACTACATCGGGTACCGACCCCGGGACGACGCGGACTCGCCCTTCTCGTTCCGGAGGGTGGAGGCCTCGAGCAACGTGAGCCACGAGTACCTGCTCGGGGGCCTGCAGAGGGGCACCGAGTACGCGCTCGTGCTCAGGGCGTACAACAGCGCCGGCTCGGGACCCGCCTCGCAGGAGAAGACCGTCAAGACCCTGGACGGAGGTACGCGCCGGAACTTGGACCAGTTCTTTCGGTTGTCCTCACCCCTCAAGCAGCAGACATGAAGACAGAATCGCCCTCGGACATGCCTCATGCATTTTCGAAGCGTGCTTATTCCATACATGCTTAGAACATGCAGACAGTTTATGTAGAACCAGTGTGATGGACCTTCATACGAGCCAGAAACGCGTTCCAGACGGTGTCTGGAGACTGCCTTTTGTATGATATGTTCGCAGTCCGACCGCGGCCTTATGTCGTCTAACTTCGCCACGGAGATTGACCGGGCCTGGCTCGTTAGAAACAGTCATAGCTAGGACTGCGTGAAAGAAAGCACTGCCAAAGCTATGCGGAGCGCAAGTTTGTCTGGTTCTTTGGCAGGGGTCGTGTTGACGTCAGAACGACGTCGAGCTCCGAGTGGCTCTGATTGAAGGATAGTGGGTAGACCTCAAAGCAAGCTGCCTTGAGGTCTACCCAGTACCCTTCAATCAGAGCCAATCAGAGCTCGGCGTTCTGACGTCACCACTTTTGCAAAAGAAGCAGACAAACTTGCGCTCTGCATAGCGCACGAGCGGAGTGGCACGTGACGTCGTGTCCCAAGTGCTCGCGCGTCCCAGGCCTGGGCGGCATTTTTTGCACAGTTTTCGCCTAAGCTGTCTCACTGTCCGTCTCTTTAGGGTGATGCCATTATTTGTAGTATTCAATTGCCGACCGCACGCCGTCTAGGGGAAATATACGAAGAAATAGCCGGTAACGAAATGCTGCCGTAGCACTGCCAATGCCGAGAGCTCGTGCAGGGAGACGTGCTTTTACCCGCTACGGAACAAGAAAGATAAAAAAACAAAAGCGTTCGGAATCAAGTGGTCAGATGGCATTACCCTATGCTCCGTTTAACACTTATACTTTGTTCACCCTTAAGCTGAGGCTGCAGCCAATGCCACAAGCACGAGAGAACGAGCTCGCTGTTTCGAAACGAGCGTTCGCGCTAGACATGCACGTCCGAGAGCCAAGAGCGTGGGCAAGCTTGCGCTTCTAGCTTTTTCTGTAGTCTAAGCTTAAGGGTGAACGGAGAATACAACGCGGCCAAAGCTACTGGCGCGAGCGCGTGGCTTCATCTCTGGTCTCGTTTGCGCGAGAACGCGTGCAAATGATATGCGAGAACCCCATGCTCGCGCCAGCAACCTTGGCAGCGCTGTACACTAAGTATGAAACAGAGTATAGGGAGTATTCACTGGCGGCCATAGCTGTGTGCGCGACTGCCGAGCAGGTGCTGACGGCGAGCTTCCACTGTTATTTTGCAACGTGCATTGCACACCATCAAGATTGTCAGTCTTAGCAGCCAATTAATGTGAGGTCGATCTGAGCATGCGCTCTATACAGCGCCCTCAAACATTGCGTCCAGCAAATACCCCCCCCCCCCCCCCCCCCCTTGTAAGCAAAGCGCACATGAAGGCACCTTATCTTAGCCATACTAAAGGCTGGTTCAGACGTTCGCTTTCGAGTACGACCGACTGCGTTGCAAGCGCTTGTGACTGCTCACGACGAGAGAACAAACTTACGCCATTTATCGGTTATTCCTGGCCCATCCCCAGTCAACCTATATTTCCGATTACGCATTATTCTTCCAACATGGGCGTAAATTAACTGTGGCGTCATTAAAAAGCAACCATTTCTCATAGTGCGTATATTTCATCTCGCAAATACTGCGAGCACCACAGCCGCCAGCCCTCAGCTCTAGGTCAGGAAACATGTGAAATTGACAGTGATCGTTGCTTGCATGTTTCTCGTATGTGAGAAGATCAAGCAAGCGACACTGAAGAATTGTGGATTGCACAGAAGGGAATCAATTCCTATGTCACACGATATGCTCAGACAAGGAGGGTATATAGATAGGAAATGAAATGTTCAGATAAACAAAACTAAAAAAAAAATTTTCACTGCTTTCTGTTGTTCCGGGCAAAAGTAAAAACGCAAATCGGAGTCGGTGCTGCATTTTCGATTGGAAGAACTGCGGGGCTCGAGCACCTCATATTCTTCGAAACTGGCACTCGTGTCAAGGAGCACAACTAAAGAATAAGTGCAGACCAGCAGAAAATATATATTTTTGTGTCCAGGTTTCGTGCTAAGAAAACAAAATATAAAAAAACACAAAGGATATTTGCTGTGTCAGCGCTTTCTCCATTGAGGGTGTCTTTGTTTACAGTTAAAAGAAAAATTATTCGAAGAGACTGTTCTTTGTTCAAGCAACAACTTTAGCTTTCTGGTTGCAGTCATGGATAGCAACCACAGACTGCACGACGGCTGTGGTCATAAGTCAGCCGAAGTAACAGAAGCATCCGCCTCTTCTGACAGAACACCCTTGTTCGCAACAAAGCTCCGTGTGGAAGGGACATGAACGCCGCCTGCATGACCACATCCGCCCGTCCTCAAAATAATCACAAAGAAGCTACAAGATTGCGTCAGAGGGGAACGACGCGCTGGCGTACAAACGCAAGCTGTTACGTCAACAAATATTGTAATTATTTGAAGGAGGAAGCTATCTTTCGGGCGCTCGCGTCGGTTTTCGTGCAGATGCCCGTAACTTTTGCTTGTAGCGTTCTCTCTCTCTCACCCAGAGACTGAATCAAGCAGGCAGGAGGGACGCAGAAATGATGTTTCTGCGTCCCTCCTGCACCAAAGCGATTTCTCTATACGGGACACGAAGGAAGGAAAGAGAAAAAAAAATAATATCAGTTACTTTACGTGTCGTTAAGCTAAACGTTTGTAATCCAGTGTTCCATGAAAATTAACTGTTTACTAAAGAGATGATGTAGACAAAATCCTCGTAGATTCATCAGACCTGAAGTCCAACAATACTGTTGTATTCATACACACTCCAAGCCAACGGTCATTACAAGAAACGTCGGTGATGGTGCGCGCTACTTCGCTGAACAGACAACTCGTAGATAGCATCATGGCGAATATGCAGAGCGCCGAAGGCACTGCTGGCCGCTAATTGCTTACGAACTTGGGGTCAACATTCGAATCGACCTGATTAAACAATCAATGTGTCTGGATAACGATCCGCGGATCGACGTGTATGGTGCGACGACGCCACTAAAACTCGCCCTGTCGCGTCGGGGGACCACATTCGTCCAATAATTTCATTAAACGTATCGACTTCGTATTCGTCGTATCGGTATTCATATTCGTATTGCCGTATTCGTTCCTATGTGTCGCGAGGGACTGCGAGACGCAATTCTGGAAGAAACACTAAACACGACTTGTATTCTTTAACCACAGAAATAGCACTACCGTCCCCTGAGTAGTTCTGCTTTCCCAACGCGCTCCCTGGCCGCAGAGACGCAACGTCCCAGACCTACACTGCAGCTTTATCCACCTCTCGCAGCGAATCTGTTCTCCAGGACGAATTTGCTTTAATGATCCATATCAGGTAACGCACACGTAAAGCTAGCGTGGGAAAAATAGACGGTAAGTGCATAGAGTATTTTTTTTTTAATGAGTTTTAACCGCATAAACCGTACAGTATATACCTGGCTTACTTCTGGCAGACACTTCGCCTAAGCTGACTTACCCTCAAACCCGAAAAATAAGCACTCGGCGCTCTTACCACCTTCATTCCGGAACGAGTTAGGTACAAAGTCATTTTTAAAGGAGATTGCTGGGGTGTCCGATGTGGGTATACAATCGAAGAAAGCATCGACTTTGGCGGCTCTTATACCCCGTTTCATCCTATGTTGGCAAACAGGAAAAGCTACGGCCCCGGCGATTCGATCTGAGCGTCGTAGCGGGACACGCCCGACCCCGTATCGTCAGAGTCCACTCCTCACGCAAAAAAGTGCTCCGTCACGCTGAATCGCTCGCGGGGGCCGTGGACTGCGCGCTTCGCCGGTTGGTGCAGAAACGGATGAGCCAATGCGCTACTGCATACTGCTACACGATACTAGTTATAATACGCAATCTGTATAACTTCATTAGATTAATATTTCCTGCTCCATTCCGTCTCCATGTGTAGCGAGGAAGTGTCGGCTCGCGGAGTTGCGATATATTTCCTTTTTTTATATATATTATCGTCTGCTCATTCAGTTCAACTTGAAAAACGAAACCAGCGCGACAACAAAATAATCTGGGAATATGAGGATAACAAAAAGAACAATAGAAAAACGAAGCTTTTAGCGCCTCAAAAACTCCCAAATGACACCCAGATACCACCTATTTTGCCTCTTTCGCAGAGAACTAATGAGCGCTTTGCCGCGACGACCTTGGCGACATCGGCGTTGCGCTTTCTCCCAAAGTCAAAACCAGTCCGTGCAGCAGTACTTCTACACTCCGTTTCACCTAGCGATGGACCGGAGAAGAAGCTACGAACCACCAAAGCCTATCCAATGCCATGTGACCTTCTGGAGAACAGCGACGTGCGGGACACTTAGTCACGTGATGCCTTCGCAGCCCCGGATTGGCTAGAACTGGTTTGTAGCGTCCGCTGCGGTCTATCGTAAAATAAAACGAAGTATACGCTAGAGAGAGAGAGAGAGAGAGAGATTCCGAAAGAGAGTGGGCATTGCCACGCGCTTCGTCGGGCGGAAAAGTTCTTGGCGCACAGACACGCGACTCATGCGAGACCGGACGCTGCTGGCACCGATGCCAAGACATCGATTGCGGGGATGGGAAGAACTCGGTCCTTCGAAGACGCCCTTAATTACGGCCCGGAATACTCTTCCGCCACGCCGAACGTCTCACGGGAAGAGGAAGCAAAGAAACAGAGTCAGGACGGCTTTCGACTTCTCACGAGACGCTCCTCAAAGACCGGAAGCGACGTCACGATGAGACTGGTGGCTACGCATATCTTTCACGCTCGTTAGCGAAGCTATTGCGCCGTCGAAACGGAAGGAGGTGCAAAAGAGACTTCCGGTCGAGAGGCATGTGAAGACTACTAAACGTCTCCCATACAAACACCCCCCAAATATTGTGTAAACCGGCGTGAATAGTAGGGTGAATCCATTGAAGCATCCCGCCCCATAAATTCGAAAAAAAAAAACTAAAAAATAAAAGGCAGCTTGGACGTATTCGCCACGCGTTCCAAGGTGTTAATAACCACCTGACAAATTCTTCGCATTTACATCCCCTTTAAAGACAACTCTAGCTATATCTCTATAAACATACTTTTTCCACTTTCGCTAAATACTACTTGGAATCACTCCCTAAGATTAATAAGCGAATAAACTTGCCTTAGTTTTTCCTTCTAGGCAATAGCGGTCGCCAAAAAAAGTATGAGCATCGTTCATCCCCTCAACTCAAATCCAGAACAAGCGGTCACGTGACCTTGGTGCCGATCCTATGCCATCAAGTTTAATCATAACCACATGCTGGGGTTCGCAAAGTAGCAAAAGCGCGCAGAGCTCCGGGCATTGTTACAGTTCGGCTATTCTGATCACCGCAGCGGTTGGACACGGGTCACTACCCGAGTGTCCGCCGAGGCATAGATTGCCAAGAGCCGAAGTCGAGTGCTCACGCAGTTCTCGTATCCAATCCACGAGCCGCGCTAGATCCCACAATTACGTCATCTAGCTTTGCGAGGGCAAGGCTGAAAGAAATAGCCCCCTTTGATCCTCGCAATTTCAACGCGACAAAGACGCTTCTCAACCAGTGGCGGTCTGTGCGAGTATATAAGTACTTGGGCCACCAGTACACGCCTCTGCAATGTCGCGAACGTTCCAACTCGATATCGTTTCATAAAACAAAATATACTACCGTCGGTGTCCGATAACGTATGTCTTTACGTATTTGCTCGTATTTATTTTCGTTTCCTGATAACGAATTCAGATATCAAAACGCTTTAGTCAATCAAGAGGTTGACACGAAGTCGTTATTAATTATAAAAAAAGAAGAAAAAAACGTTAGATAGCTTACACCTGCTACGGTGACGATACAAGTTCGCAAGAGTCGCGTTTACACTGATAATACATAAAAAAAAAGTCTGGAGTGTGACTTCTCACATTTTTCGTACAAGAACTGTCTGCAGACATGTTCGTGGCATGTATGAAGCACACATGCTTCCAAAACATGCATAAGGAGTGTCCGCAGATCCTTCTGCCATAATGTCTGGAGCGAACAACATGCCTTTTGCATGACGTCTGACCAGCGTGACTGCGAATTAAGAGATCGCAAGGCCCGTTCACTGTCCAGGAGTAGGCGCATTTGCCAAGAGGAACTGCGGTGGGCATCACGCATGCGCAGAATCGCATTTTTCGAAAGCAGCGATGCATCTGCGCACGCATCGCGTCCCGCAGCCAGTGCTGCCGCGTTAAGCCAGAAACACGCGTTACTCGAATAAAAGTCCCCGTGCTCACATGTGATCATGGATGTCCTTGGTCCCGCAGACGTCCCGGAAGCGCCGAGGCTCTTCGTCACGGGGGTGTCTACGGACTCCATGACACTCCGCTGGGTCCTTCGATCCAGCAGCGACGTCACAGGTAGGCGCACTCGTCACCTGCGAAACAAACGCACCTCCGTGTTCTCACGCCGCTATAAGAAATCTGTAAGCGCCAAGAACTGTATTACTTTTAATTACTAGTATTTACTTCCGCAATAAATCGTATGTAAAAAAAAAAAAACGGAGGTTTTGCAGTTTCTGTTTGCCACAAAGTTAGCAGTCGTGACAAACAAACACATCGATTATCGGATAAGAACTCTACAACCAGAGGCAAATATAATAAAAGCAACAAAACAAGAAACAAAGACTGTAGAGCCAACAAAAAAAATTATAGGACAATAGGGAGTAAATTAGTGTCAAGGAAGTTCGGAGACATGTCAAAACCGCAGCACAACCTTACAAAACGAGGCGTATATTTGGGTTATTCCCGATATGCGCACGATGTTCATTGAGACATGCGCACTAAGAACTATTCCATAACTGATTAAATCAAACGCACGAGATAACCAGCTCTTTGATCGGTGGGCAGGAATAAAACGCTCCTGGGAAGCTATTTCGCACCACTCGTATCGCACGCCACGGTCGTGCATCCCAATTCGAACCGACGCATCTACGCTTCGTGCGTGTACTCATATACAACAGTGCCGAGGATAAGTCGCAGAACAAAATAGTACGCTCTGCCGAATGAAAAGGGTATATTGCGTAAGGTTGACTCTAGGCCAATCCACTCACTTTACACGTATTGCTTCTAAGGAAAGCCAGATTCATTTTATAAGCTCAGAGATACAGTCACGCTGCCATAAATGGATGTGCCATGGAAACGTATCAAATGTGGCAACGAAAAGGGACACAGTTTGACATAAAAGTTCTTCACTCGAAGGCGGCGTCTTTCATTGTTGCGTATGTATATTGTCGAAGCCCTTATCTTGTGATGTTCCTGATACCGCTTCCTGACTCATCAAGTAAGAGGCAACCAAAAAAAACTCAAAAAGTAAAGCTTGCAAATTCAGAACTGCGCTCCATTTAAGATGGAAGTCAATTTATACTTACGCAAGTCTTCTTCACCTTGGGGACTTCTCTAAAAGCATTATTTCATATGTCAAAAGGCTTCAGTAAACCGTCACCCATCAAACAACTATCAGTGTACAAACGCGAACACGCGCGCTTAAACCAGCGGCCGACGTCCTTCGTTCTTGTCCCCAGGCTACAACCTGCACTACCGGCAAGAAGGGGGCACCTGGCTGGAGCTGCCCATCGTGAACACGGCCAACAACGCGTACACGCTGACCAACCTGCACAGCGGCTCCGTGTACCAGGTGTACGTGACGGCGTCCAACGTGCTCGGCAGGGGAGACCCCAGCGCCATCCTCATGGTCCAGACGGAAAAGACCGGTATGCCCTCCCTTCGCAGTAGGCGACACTCCGAAGACGCGATCACGCGAGTGGCTCGCTGCACGATAGGCCTTGATGCCAACAGTGCACCTCCTACACTCTGCGATGTCCGGATGTTCATTGTCCACCGTTTCTCATTTGTAGCAGGCAGTCAGGGTCTATCGGAAGAATGCCTGTGGGAGGCAGCCATGAGAAGGAATCTATACTCCGTTTCACCTAATGTTGTACCGCAGCGAAGGCTAGAAGCGCGAGCTCATAGCGTTGGCAGCTGCCCTTGGTGCACGAGAGTTTGTGCCGCCGAGGTGTGCCATAGAGCAAGGAGCTCGTGCTTGTAGCCTTTCCTACGGTACAACACAAGGTGAAACAGAGTATAGTAAACTCTTAAGACATGTGCGTGTTTTGCGAACCCTACCAGTTCGCTGAGGCACTTAGTGTGGACGGTCAACATATATAACGATAGTTACGCCACCTCCGGTGTCAGCTTGCAAAAAGGCATTCGATCGATGACGTTATAGAAAGTAGCGCGCAACGGCACACAACGCGGCTGTACTCAGCATGTTCCAGGCTCAACGAGCATAGTCAGGTAATCGCCGCACTAATTCGTGTTTCGCTTCCCGCTTATTTGGAAGTTGGGCGTTGCCACGTTGGGACTGTTTCAATAACAATAGAATATGTAACGCCTTCTATAGTCTCATCAGTTCAAGAATACTCCAATGGAACCGCACACCATGGCGACATGTATTAGCGGTAAGGTTGTTACACCAAAAGTGTCGGAAGTGAGTACTGCTAGAAATAAGACGCGAAAGAACAGAGTTCAAGCATTGCCAACGAGAGGACCGCCGCGTTCGTTGAAATGCGATCTTCTCTTCTCAGTTTCAGGGTACGAAAGCTCCGCCATGGAGAACGAGAACTCTGACGACGGCGTGCCTTTATACCTGGACATGGCCCTGATCATTCCGGCGGCAGCCATCTGCCTCGCTGTGCTGGTCATACTTATCAGCGCTTGCATATGCGTCCGCAAGATGAAGAGCACGCCCAGGCCAGTACCAGGTAAGCTCGCAACCATATTCGCCGGTCCTGTGTTGCTCTTTTCCGCGAGTACAAGGACTGCTCAGAAGATAGAATTCGATGTATTCTTCTCGAGACCAATTCTAGAAGATTCGTCAGCTAAAGCGACTGACATCTGACTTTGAGATAGTGATGATCAGACAACAAAGTTCGTTCGCCTGACATGAAAATATCATCCAGATAAACAAAAATATATTACATTTTGCCGTTTGGCGGGAGGTTCAGCTTTGGTGCACTAGTCGAGAATACATGTTTAGAGTCGTTATTCAACATATTAAAAAGGCCAAAGCACAGTGCTCAACAGTGTGTATATAACCGGGCAAAACACTGTCGCCTGGACTGTCTTTATCTTCAAGCAGACGGGACACAATATGGCTTGTTTCAGCTAAAGGAGAGTTAGCGTTTCTCGGTAAGGTAACGTCTGTTACGGTCGACTTTCGCCGGGGTCATACTGGTCCTACATCATCCAAAAGACGGTGTGCAAACACGAGTCACTTCAATATTCGTGGTTCGAATGCCGTGTGTCAAGTGTCCTCCTTCACTGCCATGCGGCATTCGAAGCCCGAATATTGCGGTGACTCCCGTTTGAATTTGTATGCAGACTGTATTTTGTATAATGCATAAGCATGCGTGACCCCGGCTTAAGGGCTACCAGTGTACTTGCGAAAACGCTCCCCGTATACTGTATAGTTATCTATGCATGCTCGCACGTTTTGTTCGGTTTTCTTCCTCAGTCCCAGGTATTACCATGTCCTAAGCCCCAACTGGTCTTGCTTCTAGAAATTCTCCGGTACGACCCGTCCTCGCTGAACACGGAGACGATGATGTCCCAGCGGTACGTGGAGATGGAAAAGATGTCGGACAACGACGTGGTGATGGTGGCGCCCTACGACGGAAGCACCATGAGGAACGGGACGGAGCTCCGCGGAACCGCGGACCGCCAAGAGATGAAGACATACGTGCCCAAGCCGAGCACGCTCAACCATCAAAAGAGCCAGCTCAAACCGGTTCAGGTTAGGAAAGCAAACATTGAGTGTATAAGACTCTCGGACTTTAACGAGAAGTTTCCTGCAGACTTGTACATTGTTCTAATGCGTCCACATACGAGTGGGAGCAAATAAGTCTACATACGAGGGGGAGCAAAATCATAAGTTAAAACTGCAGACGGACTACAGCGTGACCCCGATGACGCGTTGGCTCTTTGAAGAGACCACATAAATCGATATCATTACATATCATGCTACAATTTATAACATAGGTGCCGCAAGTTGTCGCATGTAATATTTGTAAATTAAAAAAAAAAAAAACTCATTCCAGCAAAAAAAAAGAAGAAAAAAATGATGTACAAACATCTCCTTTATTTTTTTTATTTTTTGAAATCCTCAAATAGGTTGTGTGTCATTCTGGCCCTTATTATGGCAGAAAACAGAGTGGGAGCAAAAGGATATTTAACTGGCTTACATTTTACCTCCTTCACTTTGCCAAAATCCACGCCCGTGGCACCATGCCAAATGTTGCTTTCACGCGAACTAAATTCTTTGCTGTTGTTGTTTTTTTTTATTTAGGTGGATGAATTCATTCTTCTCTATTTTTTTACTAAGCATCTGAACCGTTTTATTAGACCCTTGTAATAAATCACATAGAAATATGTTAAGAAGCCGATTTATGCGGTCCCGTCAGAGCGCAAAGCCGCCCTCGAGGTCACAATGTAGAGCCGATCATCAGTCGAGGAATCTGACCATGAACAATTTCATCAAAAAGTAAGCTTCGTTTTTGACAGTTCTTTAGCCACATCACAGTCGCCGTGCCTTCTGTTTATCACCTCCAGCGTCGCACCCGACAGCCAATCACCTGGTCAGTTTGACTGCCCAGACCACACGTCAAAAGCGACAAAGCGCAACGTCGCGTTCCAGACTCCAGCTGTCTCGTCTTTTCCTCCCCAATCGCAGAACCCGATGAAGGACCGGCCGCTACCGCACCCGGAACAGTCCCCGCTGCGAATGGACGACAGCTACTACGACAGCGCCCAGTGACTCTCGGGGCCACCCAAACAACGATGCCTCGGAATAGACTAGTCCCAGCTGCTTCGCGGCGTTCTCTGGGGGTTCCCAAGAAAGCCGACGGATAAGAGTGCCGCCGACAGGCGGACTTGATACGCGGATGGTGTTGTGCGTGCCTCTCTATGCTCCTCGCGGTGTCACAACGCTACAGGGAGACCGACCGTGCACGCACCGAGAGCGACGCCATCATCCTGTCCCGCACCACCCAAGACAAATTTAGGCGAAGTCGTAGAACAAGGCAGGGGACAAGAGCGGGACGAGAAGATGAGGAATGTGCGAATGTGGACGCCGCTGTCTTCGGGCCTCCGCAACGAGGGCGGTGGCATGCTTCTAAGAGGGATTCGCGTTTTACGAGCTCGAGGAGTGCCATCGTTGGGAAGCGGTGGCGGCTGTTGTCGCTCGAAGATGGCGGCTTGAGTGAGGGATGGTTCACGTTACGAATCGAGAGTCATTTTCGCTCTCTCTGCCATGCACGTTGCAAATCGCTTCCGGGAGTCGTCATTCCGGACGTCGGATGCGTTGATGCGTCAGTCTATTCAACTCTGTCGATTCCAGATGTACAGGGGATTGCCGAGAAAAGAGAGCCGCATTTTACAGCGCGGGTAAATGACTTATGCATCGTAGGAAGCTCAAAATTCGTGAGAATGTGACGCTAGAGGTTGAGAGAGAACGCGAAAGTCTGAGAAGACGGCGTTATCTGAATCGAAATATAATCGTGAAAAAAAAAATGCTCCTATGATCCGACGTCTACCTAAGCCTAATGTCGTCAAAACAAGAAATATCATTGTGGACGCTTCCAAAATTTATAAAAGTGAAAAACAAAAACTTGCCAGCAAAAAAGGTAATATTGTTTTCTTTCTTGCTGACAAGTTTTTTCACTAAAATAGACGCTACAGGCGCCCACAATTGCATTTCTTGTTTTGACGATATTAGGCTTAGGAGGACGTTGGCTCATAGGAAAATTTTGTTTTTCTCAATCATCTTTCGATCCAGGTAATGTTACCTTCTCAAACTTGCGCTTTCTATCTCGACCGGTAGCGTCAAATTCTCACGGAGTTCTACAATGCAAAGTATATTTACACGGGCCAAAAAAAAACACTGTTCTCTTTACTCGGGAACTCCATGTACTAAGGTTGCTGCACAAATTGATGAGCGGCTGGCCTGAAACATGACGGCAGCTAAGCACTTACAAAATAACAATGCCTCAGTAACAAATTACGACAGTTTAGGGAGTAAATTCCCACATGAAACTTCAATCTCGATGCTTTCAAGAGTCTTGAAGTCCTACGTGTTTTTTCTCTTAGACTGGAGGACGAAAAGAAACCTGGTACACTCCGTTCATTATTTCCCCTCATACTTCCAGGCGTTATTATTTTTTTTTTTTTTTTCGGAAACTGTGGTTTTTCGTGGCTCTCAACAGAGGGATAGTCAGGAACGACGTTCACGCTCGTGTCAAAACCACGCGACTGCGACCACACAAAGTGTCCTGAGAGTTGTATATCCGAATCCAGTCGTCTCGGAGAACTTCCGAAAGAGACGACGACGAGGTACCGGCATATTTATCGTCGTGCACATAATGCCAACTGTCACGCAATACGTGCGAAGGTTTACACCACATCCCACTAATGGTGTGCCGTAATGGTATCCGGTACTTTGCGCTTACTTTCTTTTTCAATCTCTCTCTTTCTCTTACCTTGACGTCATCGCCATCGCCGTAATCGCCCACGTCGTCGAGGAAGGAAATGACGAACGCTGCCGAGTCAGTGACGGGAAGAACAAAAGGTGCCGTGCCTCTAGCTTCCACAGAAGTCCGTGGTTTCATCTGCGTTAAACCTGAGGACCCCGAGCCTCGTTAATAGGGAGTTTTAGTAGACCGTGTTTCCCGCTCCGCTAGCCCTCCGCTACGAACAAACCGCCACTGCGCCTGCGCGCCGATGGCCTTGGCTGTAGAGTTCCGGGTAGCGGAGGGGCTCAGCGGAGCGGGAAACACGGTCTACTAAAACTCGCTAATAACTTGCCATCACGCTGTGCTGCAGCAATTACTATAATCAACCCCGGGTCGACGCACCAGACGAACAATCGTGAAAGAGATGTCGGCAAAAGAGGCAACCTACCTTTTTGTACAAACAGATGTCGTATGCGGAGGCGACCAACGGTCAGGCCTTTGTTTAACTTGAGCCTATATGCCATATATAGGGTAATAATAGCGCAGTGAATTTCCCTTTTTACAATGTATGACAGGATCCCGCGAAGTGTGTGTGCTTGTGTTGTTGTTGTTTTCTTTGTTTTTGTTTGTGCGTACAGAACGATTTCAGTTCACGCTAGTTCAAACTTTTATAACTCAGCGGCAGCTTCAAGAAAGGCAGGGCGCAGTCAGCCGTGACCCGACTTGTTATTTTCTCACCGAGCACGCAACCGGACGTCTCAGATTCTTTCCAAAAAGTATGCACAACAAATAGAGATGCGAAGAACGCGAACATGGGACTGAGGGGTCAGATGCAATAACCAGATGTATCCGCCCATCTGGTCATTTCGGTAAACATGTCCTGTTGCCTCCTACCCCGCACGCGATTTCGTCCTTCACTGAACATTTAGATGTATATACCATACATTTCTCGCCTTTCCCAAAGCTAAATGCAACCCCCAGAGTTTGCTGCCTAAAAGTTAAACACAGAAACCATCCTCTCGAGATGCCAATCTGCACGTATCTTGTCCTTCTGTATGGCCACTCAGTTATACATATATGCTGCGGGATTACTTATGCTAACAACAGGATGGACGCTACGTGTTGGTTTCCACCGACCAACTGCCCAGCACGCACCACATGACTTCGCAATCTACCTGATAGCTTGTGGCAAGACCTATCACGTGACGGAAGAACAAGGTTTCATCATAACCGTCGCTGTCATATTACTAGAGAAGCGAGCACTGAACCGCTCATGATTGCCACCGTCGCATTTTTGTGAAACTGCATTGTCTTACGAGGAACTCGACCTTTTGACTCCAGGTACGACAAAAGCAATCTGGTCGGCTGGATCGAGGCAAGTGTTTGCGCTGCACTGTTGAAAAGGGGAAGGAGGGCACGCATACGCAAGAACGAAACGAACTGAGGAAACATCTTGCCGTTCGGATGGAATTGTATGTAACTTTAGAAAGACTTTTATACATATAGACAGGGAAGGCGACACACATCACAAAGATGTGTTGTCGCGTCCCCTGTCTTTATGTAGAAAAGTCTTTCTAAAGATGCATTTTTACCAACGCGTTCACCAACAAGAGTATGAAATTTTAATTGGTGAAGATGATTGCCGAGCGCATGTCAGCTGCGTTTACCACGTGCTGTTCTGCTCTTGCGCTAAAATTGCCCGTGCTTTCGATCTAGCTTCTCTTTCTTAGTTGAAGGTACCGACAAAAATAGAAAGCCAGGGCAGACGTGCATCTCATATAAGGGAAATTCGCTACCCGGCTTGGAGTAAAAAAACAACGCAAAAATAGTTGCGTGTTTTTTTTTTTTTGTTTTTTTATTTAGCAATGCGATGAGGCTTTGGCAGTATTTTGCAGCTTGCTGTTTTGAACGGGCAACATTGTCGCGTGCTCTTTTCTCGTGTGCTGTTCTGTGACACATTCAGCAAACACGTTCACTCAGATCGTTTCCACCATGGTGTCCCAGATGCTTATAACGAAACGTCGAAACAAATATCGACAGGCCATAGCATTTTCATCAACATAGCAAGTATTCATTAAAGAACCGGCGAGAGACATTAAAATAAATTAGCAATTAGTGTCCGCCGGTTTGTCCTCCTGTCTTATACAGGGTGCCCGTAGCTTGTAGCTTCTTCGCCTGCCAAATTTTTCTAAGAGCTGTTTTACTTAACCGCGTTCTGCGCTCTGGGAATTGTGATATATACGAGGGGCGTAAAACGTTGATGTGGTTGCCTGATGCTGTTTCACAAATTTGCTTCCAAACCTTTTTGTTTCTTTTGTCTATTTGATTTATATGTCAGTCAGGGTAGCGTGACGTGTACGCGCGCGTGCACGAAAATGGAAAGAAGTCGAGCACCGTTATTTATAGTAAGTATATAATTCAATACCCCACATTCCGATCGTTGTGCATTTATATTGATGACTCTAAACTACCGCTTTCAAAATTTTGAAACAGCAAGAAAAGCAAAGAAAAAAGGACCGTCCCAATTAAATTGATTGCGATTATAGTATAATACGCTCAGATTGAAGGAGTGATTAGTATGGTTCTTTCGTGATTAAAATAAAGAATGAATGCGATATATAAATTGTCGAATTTGTTGGACGTGAGCTAATCGGCCACGAGTCTGGCGTTTCATCTCTAATGACGTAAAGGATTGACTTGCGCGCGCTTGTAAATAGCAACGTATCTTTGGGAAAGGCTTACTGAAGAGCAACGTCGCTACCGCGACGATGTGTTGTGATGTTCACTCCGAAATAAGTACATGGAAACACCGTTTTCACGATGCGAGCACTACTTACCCGAAAGAGTTTCACGTGGTGACGACGACAAATAAAACGTTTTAAAACCTTATCTGGTCGATTCCCTGTGTGACATTGATTACAGATAGACGGCACCCTGGTAAGAGAAAAAAGGTAACTCTTCTAATAGGAGCAGCTCGCCGGTGAGGCAAAGTCTTTTAACAGGCAAGAAATAGCATGCCAAAGTAAGAAGAAACGCAGCACAGTGAACGACACACCTAAGGTCTGTTCACACATACAGCGGAGCGCTCTAAGCACAGCGCTGACTTTGCGCTAAGCGCGTGCTGACGTGAGCGTTCAGCATATTTGTATCGCACTGTCATAGCTGTTGCTCATGGCAGACACGTGAACAGCGCTACATCAGCGCTCCACTGCGTGTGGGAACCGCCCTTAAAACTCGCACGACATGCAGATCAGTAAATTACAACCACGAATGGGTTTTTTGCAGTAGACTTATTGCACTCCTGTCCAACTATCGTACGACTAATTTCGTCGTTCTATACATGACGACACGACTGGTAATGGTCATTTTTTTTAATGGGCCAACACATCACTTCACACACCGACATTCAGGCTTAAGAATGCCATGCCCTTGAACGTATACACGTTTGCAAGCATGGCGTCCCGACTGGTGCCCCATGCGTTCAATCACGTGCAGCTTCCCCGTGAAGGTGGCTTTTTCATACTTGCAATTTCACGTGCTTCCTCATACGAGCAGGAACATGGCGGAGGCCAGACGGCCCGTTTGCATTAAGCCGGGGTCACAGTGCTTATACATCATACAAAAGACAGACTGCGGACAGATTCGAAAGCCAGTAACCGCGAGAGCCTTGCTTCGAATGCCGCATGACAATGAGTTCAAGGAGGACACTTGGCACGCGCACATTCGAACCCCGGATGTTGCGGCCGGTGACTCCTGTTTACCGAATGTCTTTTGTATGATGTATGAGCAGTGAGACGCCAGAAAATATCGCATAAGCAATGAACATTCAAACCGGAAAAGAACACGAATGACGGAAAGTGTTGGTCGTCCTTTCCGTGCGTGTGTCTTTCTCCCAGTCTTAGCTACTGGTATTCAATTTACCACAGAAAATATGTAAGATAGGAAAATAACTCAGGAGACCAACAGCTAGGGCCTTTACGCTGTGCGTGAAAATCAATTTAAAAAAAAAAATACGGCAATTAAGCATTCAGTTACAGCGGCCTTCCCACGATAAAACCGTTACTACGTGGTTATCCCTCTGGGGATGTATGGTAGTACGTTTATGGTTAAGATTTCTAAGTTCGGAAACAACACCATTGCTCAGCGACTCAGAAATATGTCATTCTGACGTTCTGAGACAAGAACGAACACGACTTTTTATGACCAACAAGTCGAAAGTGTGAAAATCTTTGAAAACGAAGCTGCGAGGACCTAATACCTGTAATTCCACCTTCGACGCTCGCCGCCGATTCGACACATATATATTGCACCGTTATGGGGCTCCAGCACACTACAAAGCAGCGCTAGGCTAACAACTGTTCATTCAATCAATCTGCGCCTGTAAAGCGTATCAAAACCAAAACACGCTAAAGCGTAGAGGGAGCAGCAGTAGTATTAAAGCACCGACACGTCCGGCGGCAAGTTCCACTCAACTGCCCATTTCAGCCTCAAAAGACAACAAGAAAAGACAATTAAGGAAAAAAGAAACACGTAATATAATACAAGGTAAAGTAAGCATGTACCCCGAAAAATCGATGCTTAATAACGTCGCAAACACGGCACCCCGTATCACGGTCTCCTGGAACAGAAACGCAACTAAAAACGCCTCATCGCAGTTTCGGCATCGCCGTTTCCGCTTAGTACGATATAAGTGCCTCGGTTTCCAGGAAGAAAAAAAAATTAATAAAAAAATAAAACAACGTAGCGCAGCAATTGACACAATATCCGGCGGAAATGGGAGACCCAATACCACGCACCACAATACTCCGTTTGACCTAATGACCGCAACGGACGCTACGATTAATCTCAGCCAATCAAGCTCTGGGAACGTATCACGTGAGTACGCGTCCCGCGTGTCGTTTCGCCCTTCCCGAAAGTCACGTGACGCTCACACGGCAATTGGATTGGTTGAGGTGGCTCGTAGCCTCTGCTGCGGTCCAGCGTAAGGTGAAACGACGTAAAAGAAGGAGCGTCTGGTTTCCGAGGAATATACGTCTTCGCTGTAAGCGGCTTTCTTCTAACGACGGCGTAACAACGTCGGAAAAGTGACACGCGATTCCGAGCCGGTGGGGAAGTTAAGCTCTTTCCCTCCTTCGACAGGACTGCGAGGGAAGGGCCCCGGACGATATTTCACGGGAGGAACCGCT